GGTGATATTAACTGACTCATAAATAAAATTACATTTTTTTCTTGTAATGTTTATACAGCACAATTTTCTAGAACACCATTTCAGTCTGATCTAGTCTGTTGTATTTTACCACAATTTCCTGTTTTACCACAGGTCCTGTTTTACGACCTATACACCAGACTATTTTATCACAAATTCAAATCAGCCTCCTATACAAGAAGTTCCACAAAACTACCTAAATTACCATAAATTTTCCATGCCAGCCTGTTTTACCACAAGTTCTAAATGTTCTACATACCATCCTGTTTTACCACAAGTTTTACATACCAGCTTGTTTTACCACAAGTTTAACATAACACTGGACACAGTATACCAAGTTCCTGATGGGATTTGAACCCAGAGAGTTGATGTGCAAGTCATGTTAAATTCTTACATTCTTTCACAAAAATATTCATTCCTATGCAAAATAATGACCCAAAAAATAAGAACCTAGATGTCATAATATACATTTAACAATTTTTCTTTCTGTTAACATTAACAAGCATGTACATATAAAGACAGATTTCAAACAGCTGAAACACATGTAACAATAGTCAAAATAGTGGAACAAATTTGATAATTTCAACCAGAATATACATTTATACATGATGTATAGTTACACATTGGAAATAACATCTATAAAACAAATGTCACCATACTCTCAAAAAAAATAAAATCTATTTATCAACAAAGTCATTATATTGATTCTTAAACTGAAAGGTTTTCTAATAAAAAAATAAAACATATCTAAGAGATTCATTGTAACACACATTATATCATTCATAACAAAGCGAACGAATCACTATTCCATTTCATACTGGCCAAATTTCATTTATGATAGTCTTTAAAATCTGTGCTTTTGTTTTCATATACTGTAAAACACTAATTATTCGCGAGAAATTTATTTTCGCTAATATTCGCGAGTTCTCTAAGACGCGAAATCATATTTCTCGCGAATATTTCACTTTGTCTATACACTTGTCCGAAAATGAACACTATCCGAAAATGCGTACACATGGATATATATCTTCGGGAAAGTATCGAAACCAGTTCTAGTTACATCATGTAGCTATTAAAGTGTTTCAGAATAACTGTTTTGGTATTTGGTACAAATGCTTTAGCACCTGCGAGTTGTTTGTAACATTTCTATTTATTGTATCCTTTTGTATTAAACTACAGTTTAAGCCGGAGGGTAAACATAATTGTTTACTACAGGGTAGGCAAATTACAGTACCGTTTAATTGATTTTCGTCTGCTTGCCTTTGAATGGCCAATCAGTGAAACTTTAACACTTTGCATTACTAGTAACAATGCTAGAGGCACGGAGTATAATCAGGGACAATACATGACAAACACAGTGAACACATATCAAATAATTATCAAACTTTATTGACATATTTTTAGACAGACGGTTTCACTTAACAAGAAGATTAGCAAGCTATCAGAAAAATCGATACGGATATATTTGCATTCGTCGCACGATAAACGATGCAATGTTAGTGAACGGACAGGACAGCAAAATATCCGAATGACATCGGGTTTCCGGTTTCACATTTTTCGGGAAGACGCGAATTCATGTTGACGCGAAATAATTATTTTGGACATTTTGCCTCAAATTCGCGAAATAAGGTTCTCGCGAAAAATAAGTGTTTTACAGTATATCTTTGTCATTGGTAAAGATGATTTTGTTTACGAAGACTCATGTATCTCTATATTAAAAGGACCTCAACTGAGGTCCAAATGCCTTTAAATATAAAATTTAACTGGAGCACTGAAAAATAGGAAAAACATAATATTTAATATATTAGGAATTAAAAAAAATCAATACTTAGTGCTATTCTTTTTCCAGTTTCATTTCTAGGCACTTTACGAAACGTTTTTTCCTCGTCTTTACGTCACTTTACCCAATAAAAATGATCAGCTGGTAAAACATAATTTGCTAATGATCTGAAATTTTGTAAACAAGTTATTGGTATAGACCTACATCAAAATTCCAGATCTATCTTATCAAAGAACATCAGATAAATTATATTACAATATTGTAAGTTAATAAAATAAAAAAATCCCTAACAAAATAGAATGTATTTAACAGAGATTAAGCTACCTCTTGTGAAAGCACTGCTCACTTCCGTAGGAATTCAAAACCATCATTTTCAGTACAGGTGTTGTATTTGTACATTCAGTACAGGTGTTGTATTTGTACATTCAGTACAGGTGTTGTATTTGTACATTCGGTACAGGTGTTGTATTTGTACATTCAGTACAGGTGTTGTATTTGTACATTCAGTACAGGTGTTGTATTTGTACATTCAGTACAGGTGTTGTATTTGTACATTCAGTACAGGTGTTGTATTTGTATATTCAGTACAGGTGTTGTATTTGTATATTCAGTACAGGTATCAGTATTTGTACATTCAGTTCAGGTGTTGTGTTTGTATATTCAGTACAGGTGTCAGTATTTGTACATTAAGTACAGGTGTTGTATTTGTATATTCAGTACAGGTGTCAGTATTTGTACATTAAGTACAGGTGTTGTATTTGTACATTCAGTACAGGTGTCAGTATTTTGTACATTAAGTACAGGTATCAGTATTTGCACATTCAGTGCAGGTGTTGTGTTTGTACATTTAGTACAGGTGTTGTATTTTGTACATTAAGTACAGGTATCAGTATTTGCACATTCAGTGCAGGTGTTGTGTTTGTACATTTAGTACAGGTGTTGTATTTGTACATTTGGTACAGGTGTTGTATTTGTACATTCGGTACAGGTGTTGTATTTGTATATTCAGTACAGGTGTTGTATTTGTATATTCAGTACAGGTGTTGTATTTGTATATTCAGTACAGGTGTTGTATTTGTACATTCAGTACAGGTGTTGTATTTGTATATTCAGTACAGGTGTTGTATTTGTATATTCAGTACAGGTGTTGTATTTGTACATTCAGTACAGGTGTTGTATTTGTACATTCAGTACAGGTATCAGTATTTGTACATTTAGTACAGGTATGTGTATTTGTACATTCAGTACAGGTGGATGTATTTGTACATTCAGTACAGGTATGTGTATTTGTACATTCAGTACAGGTATGTGTATTTGTACATTCAGTACAGGTATGTGTATTTGTACATTCAGTACAGGTATGTGTATTTGTACATTCAGTACAGGTGGATGTATTTGAATATTCAGTACAGGTATCGTATTTGTAAAATCAGTACAGGTGTTGTATTTGTACATTAAGTACAGGTGTCAGAATCTGTACATAATGTACAGGTGTTGTATTTGTATATTCAGTACAGGTATCGTATTTGTAAAATCAGTACAGGTGTTGTATTTGTACATTAAGTACAGGTGTTGTATTTGTACATTAAGTACAGGTGTCAGAATCTGTACATAATGTACAGGTGTTGTATTTGTACATTCAGTACAGGCATCAGTATATGTACATCAGTACAGATATCTGTATTTTTTCATTCAGTACAGGTATCGGTAAATTCACTGTTTACAGGCAGTCACCTAATACAGTTTCATTCTCTTTCAAGAACATTTTGTGTCGACACTTTGGAACCATTTTCTCCCAAATCTTAAAATATGATTTTTACTGAGCTTTACCAATAAAGAGAAAACTAGAATCTACATGGACAAATGGTCTCCTTGCATTATATAAGACATGAGAGTTTACATCCTTAACTTATATCACATATGACAGTATAGTTACAGAACCTTCCCTGAAAAAATAATTACCACTTTGGTGTTTCATAAGAAATATGGCTTTATAAAATGGTCTCATATACAAAAGATGCATTGCGGTAACATTGCAAGACTGCTACAACAAATTAGCACTTTTTTGAGCATTTGTATTAACTAACAAGACTTTATTGATCTTTTGAAGAAGTTGTTTTTCAAAAATAAAATTGGCAGATTTCTACTTAAATTTCATCTGTCAACAGTTTTTTTTTTATCAAAACTTTTACTTAAACCTTTAAAACCAAGTACGGCCGCATGGTCCTCTTCTAAAGGTATATACATGACTCAAATGACTAAAAGACATGGGCAATATGCAAGAACAAAACAATAGCAATACTTATCTTCAGATATACATGTATAATCAAGTGACTCATTGTTAATACGGGAAACAGTTGTGTGCGCTATTTATAGATTTAGAATCATGACGAAACTTGTTGCCTCGAACTTTATACAAATATACATGTATACATCAACATATATACAAAAATCTATAAAAAATCTATATTTAGTAACAAGTTTTAAAATATTAACAGAATTTTAACGACATTTTCATATATCAGTAGACACTCAATAAACAATTTAGGGTAAAAAATAAACATATTCATACACTGTTAATGAACAGCAATATAACTTTAAAAAAAAATGTTTTTTAAAAATTCAAATAAATAAACAAATTAACACCACATGATAAACTCTCATTTTTGGTGTCCTCGCTCTACGTTTATTATTAAGTTAAATTTTACTGTAAGTACCCTTATCTTAATTGACCGCAGGCATGACAAATCAACACTTTACATCATTTTCAAAGATATTCACCTTATTGTTGATGATAAAAAATAATAATCTGAATTACCCTTCCTTGAGTTGTTGACCATAAGTATGAGTGGATTTCCATATTTGTATTATTTCAAAAGCTCAACAACAAAAAATGAATAAAATAAATAAATATCTTTAAAAGGTAAACATGTCCATTAATAAAGACAGAAATATATTAGATATCAGTAAATGTTGCTCTCTCATGAAAGTGGTCATTAAATACATCTAACAGTTCTCTTTAATACAGACTTCAGAAAGAAAAACATGTTTTTCTGAGGCCAAAAGTGGCTTAAAATTTATATTCATAGTAATTCTGTCATAATCTAATTTGTGAAGCACTTTGAATTTAGTAGCAGATACTATTTTCACATAATATTCACAGCATTTCTGTTTCTTGTGAAAAAAAGAAAAAGAAAAGAAATTATTTTCATGTCAAACAATAAAAAATACTTTTAAACTTTTAAGTACATGATGTGATCATTTATAATTTATAATGTATTTCAACTCTCTACTAATTCAACAAAATTATAAATCTGTACACATTCTCCTGTAATTTTCTACAGAAGACTTCTTGATCACTGAAAAAATGTCCAGAAAACTTGCTTTACAATAGTTCTTTTTTAAGAACAAAATAGTCAAACTTCGGAAGTGAATGTTGTTTAAAATGTCAATGTCTCTTCTAACATCATCACTCCTAAATGACTCAAAAGTCATCAATGATTCATCAGTCCCAAAATATTCATCAACGATTCTTTTTACTGTCATCAATGATTCAAAAAGAAAGGTATGTAAATCATTTTACTCCTGATAAGCAAAGCCGAAGCTGTCTGAATCTGTGGTAACCATAGCAATAGCTCGGCAAACCGGTTCGGTTGATCCGGAAAATGACACGTCACATACTCTTTGAGAACAGCACTGTAGCGATCCTGAACTTTGTTCACTATAGCATTTTGTGCCAGATCATCTACAAATAAGACAGGCATACATTAAATATACATAAAAAATGCTAACAAATATGAAAAAGGTCAGTATTCTTCTTCTTCTTCTTTTTTTAAATTCACCACTTTAATTCTACTAATTTCCTAACAAATTCTGTACATTTTGTCAATAAATAGGAAATACCAGTGGATATTAAATTCTTTAGGCATGGTTAAATCACTTTATCCACAAACACCAGACAACTCATTTACAACAGTTTTTTATTGCATAAAAATAAGTGCACCTGCATAGCTAAATAGGGAGAGCATCAAATTAGTAATCTATGGTTCTCAATTTCTCAATGGCAAATAGATCTCAAACACCGAGTCCTATGTTCATTTGTCTCTCATCGCTGATTTAGAAATCATTATGTGAGACAAGAACTCCGCGAGTCAGATGTGTCGCCTTGTGAACAATTTAGTTTAGGGGAAATGGCAAGGACAAAAATGAAATATGAAAAATAACAAAGGGCAATAACTAAAAAAATAATAAGTGCAGAGCAGCAGTTTCTGTACACTGCACTTCTTATCAATAAGATCTATCATTCTATGATGTTTCAAGTCCATAGCTTTCATACTTGAGGAAAAATGACCAGGACAAAAATAAAGTAAGAAAAGCAACAAAGGGCAATAACTCAAAAATAAGAAATGCTGAGTATCAGTTCTTATGCACTGCACTTCTTTTTAATGAAATCTATCATCCTATGAAGTTTCAAGTCCATAATTTTTATACTTTCAGAGAAATGGCCTGGACAAAAATTAAGTATGAAAATAAACAAAGGGCAATAACTCAAAAAAATAAGAAATGCAGAGTACCAGTTCTTGTGCACTGCACTTCTTCTTAATGAGACCTATCATCCTATGAAGTTTCAAGTCCATGGCTTTTATACATAAGGAGAAATGGCCCGGACAAAAATAAAGTTTGAAAATTAACAAAGGGCAATAACTCAAAAATTAGGAAGTTTAAAGTACTGGTTCTTGTGCACTGCATTTCTTCTTAATGAGATCTATCATCCTATGAAGTTTCAAGTCCATAGCTTTTTTAGTTGAAGAGAAATGGCCCGGACAAAATTAAAGTATGAAAATTAACAAAGGGCAATAACTCAAAAAATAAGAACTGCAGAGTACCGGTCCTTGTGCACTGCACTTCGGGTTATTGAAAGAAGCATGCATACCAAGTTTGAAGTCAATCAGACTTATAGTGACTGAGTTATGCTCCAGACAAGCTTTAGCGGACATCGACGCCGACAACGACGCCGACACAGACGCCGCCGCCGACAAAAGTAACCCTTATATGTCACCTTTTCAAGGCGACACAAAAAGTAGTCCGTCACTTTCGGATGAATAAGAAATTACTGGTTCATTATCCAAGGAAAGCCCAGATATTATCAAAAATCGGCTTAGAAAACTAGAAACACCTAGAACAAAGTAACGAAACAAACAAAAACTGTAAATTTGGAAAGGTGCGCCTTTTATTTCATCTATTGGATTGAAGTATTTAGAATACAATGAAGTGTGCCATCTGGGTATCTCGGTATGCTTTGATATTAAGATAACGTAATAAACTATAAAGATTACATTAAAGATATAGAATAACAATGATCGAGGGAAATTACAGTGGTTGCTATGGACAAAAGTTGCTTGATACACGTGGCCACATGGACAAGTTAGACTGTACATAGAAAATGATTAAACACTTACTTTGATTCAGTAGTAGAATCACCTGAAGACACACATACTCGTGTTTTGTGAGACCTAACCTCATGAACCCGTGCATCAGACTTGTGATTATTCTCATCATTTCCCCGAGCTCTGACTCCAACTGCTCTGTCGTAAACTCTTTCTGAAAGAGGCACTCTAGATATCCCTGAAATTCAAAAGATAAAAGTTAGATTCACATCTACATGTAAAGCTTTTTTCAACTTTGGTTTTACTTCTACACAACACTGTTAATGAATTTGGATTAGTTTATTTGTTAATAAAGGAATTTAAAAGACACTATGATTGAGTAGCCACAAATTAAGGCCAATCAGGCTAAGCAGGTGTCTTATTTCAAAAGAAGCTAAAAACTAAAATTCAGATTGTAGATTGTTGTACAAATTTACCTGTAAATGTTTTGTATTGAGTGCGTAGAGATCTTCTTCTGACATCCCATTGTTTCCCTGTCCTTGTATGGCCTTGTAAGCTGTTGTTATAAGTAGAAGAAGTTCATGCCATTTACATGACAACAGCTGGGAGTGGGCTTCTATCGGAATCTCTTTAAAGAAAGTCAGATGTTTTGTCCATTTTATTAACTTTCCAACAATCTTGTCACCGAGGTCACACAAAAGCTTGGTTACGTCTTTGGAATTAGATAGCAAATCCTCTGTCTGATACAGATCAGTGATGTCAAGCAGACGGTCACATTCTAACAAACTTTCGATCAAGAAATACGATCTTTGCTCTAAATGTCTGACCTCACAGTTCGACACAGTTTTTGGTAAATTGTTGTGTGACACTGACGTCACATGACTGTCTTCAGATCTAGAACTTACTGACCCTGAATATGAAGGTTTTGGACACATACGCATTGGAAAAAGGTCGTCTTTTTGTAAAAGCGTACTTCGTAAAATGGCATGGGAATCTTTGGATGTGGGGGTTTGAAAATGTTTTTTGACATCAGCATTATGATGCCATGATGTCCTTTCTTCAACTGATTCATCACACATACCAAGAGTCTCCGCAAACTTTTTATGAGAATTAATATTTTGATACTGCGATGGGTTTTTAAAATTTGGATATTCTGTCCTACTTTCCATGAATTCCCGCTCAGATAAATGGTACCTTTGATTATCATTTTCACTACATCTTAGTTTTTTTTCTGGCACTTCAACGGAATTACTGCATGAATCATGACTGAATCCATATGAAAACTCTTCGATATTTTCTAAGAATGAATGGTCCCGTTTACGAGATTCGTGATTCAGTGGATAATTGACACCGTTTCTTGTGACATCTCCCGGTGCCAACTGCTCATTGTAATTATGTGGCGACATATAGTCAGAATTTGATGTCATCGAAACGTAACCCAACCTGTCCTTTCCGATATTTTGTTGGTCATGTGACGCACTTAATGTTGATGGATGACCTTGACCTTGAATAGGATTATGACCGCAATGTGCACCCTGTGGATAATGACTATAGGAGTTAGTTGAATAATAAAGGTCATTTTGACTTCCGCAACTGGAACTCGTTTGAGAATAACTCGATGAACCTGGCCGTCTTGAATCATACTGCTTGTATCCGGGTTCAGGCATGTTAAAATATGGTACGTGTAAAATACTGCGATTGTTGTGACCCGGCTTCACTGGACTTATTCGTACTTGCTGGTTCTCTTGATTGGTAACAATTCTAGCAACACGCTCCTTACAAATCCTGGCCTCATCTCTACGTTTATGCTTCTTATACTTCACCTGAAATTACAGCCAATTCTAATCTGTTTATATTATGTCCTAATTATATTCATATTTAAACTATACTAGTTAAGACTGGTTTACCGCTAAGAAAAATGTTACCTTGTTAAGTTATAGTCCCAAGGTTATTAATAACTATTGAAAAAATGTTTAGCATTATTTCAAATTTCTCCTCTTCAGAGATGACCAACCCTTTTATCTTAGAATTCTTATTACCTGATGAAAATAACAAGACCCACATACTGTGATAATATCTTTCATATAAAACCTTTAGTCTGCAAGAAGCAACAGATTCTACACGTGACCAGTGCAGAACAAGATCAACTGGTAAATCTGTGCCGTCTGATCATGGTCTGCATTGTTAGCTATTCAGTTAATAAATATTTTGAATTTAAAAAAAAAAAAAAAAAAAAGACAAAGAAAAATGGGGTTTGTGCAAATTGAAAAATGGAAACGTCCATTTACGAGTAGTGGTGAGGGCACAGAGCTATATTTTAATGCGCCTTGGAGAGGGAGTTATGACTTTATACACTTATTCTCTGTAATGGATGAAAATGTAAACACATTTGGTTATTTAAAACAAAACAGTGGAAATTAATCAACTCCAAGTAAAGGGTTAAACAAAATCTTGTGCAAGGAATTGTGGGTCTGGATTAGAAAATTTTCTATTTTTAGAGCTTCTTATCATGATGTAACATAAGTCTCTGGTGTGAAGCAATAATATAGCACAAAGCTAGATATGGTTCTAGTCTAACATAAAAACATCACTTCAGCACAATCTATTTCTATTTCCTTGAGGAATAATTATTGGCATTTATTTTCAATTTCAGTGAATTCCTATCTCTCTCCCCCCCCCCCCAGTTCTATGTTAATTCTCAATTTTAAATGCCCTTCCATTCAGGCAAGGTTAAATAAAAATATGTATGAATTATAGTATTATATATCTAATGTAGGGACAATTAAACCTGTTGACAATGTCAGAATAAAAGAGAAAAATCTAAAATAAAATCACAATGTAATTAGTCACATGTAAATCCTCGTGAAAGATTATGTGTTTGTTTTCTTTCTTTACTTGGTTTCGGGTTTCACTTTTCACATACGTTTAAATCTTGCAGTATAAGGTCTATCTCTATAAAACTAATGTTTGCTTGCAAGTTAAAAAGTACTTATTATTAAATTTACAGAATTCATGAAACTATATCACGCAGCTTTCAAAAGAACAAAGACCGACAAAATTTCAACTACTATTATTTGCACAGTTTGAGCAAAACAAAAAGTGTTAATGTTGCAGGATAAATAATATACTAATAACATTCACTTAAAGTTGCACACTCAGGTGGGCTTAAAACTTTGACAAATCTTTAACAAGGTGTGCAAAAATTAAATTTTTTGGGGTTAATTTTTTGTACCAACTTTTAACTTAACTACCTTAAGGTAATAAATGTTTTTCTTCAGATAAAAAAATGTATGTTAATGCACAAATATACCCGGTATATACATGTATCAATAAAGAAGAAAGAAAGTTTTTTTGTATGTGTACATTTTATAGAATACTAACTGCTAGGAATTATTTGTTTTTGTGGGCTGAATTTTTTTGTGCATGCATAAATTTTCCAATACCCAAAAAATACATTTAACAGTAAAATTAAATCCATGGCATATTGGTTAATAATTTTCTTCCAAAAAAACCCGTCAAAAAAACAACAACTTAACAATTTAAGATTTCATACACTTGTAAAACATATGTATCTATTTAACAATGCCCTTTTTCTTATTATTTACCTTCCATTATTCATATTGAACAAAAAAGATTAATTTAGCATTATTTATTGCACCTCTATTTTTGAACAATTAACAGACGAACAATATTATTGTAATTTCAAAACAAAACTTTGTTTCTATGGTTACAATAATCCTTGTAAAGAAACAAGTTAATGGTCTATAGGAAAAAAATACATGTACATGTATTACAGGTATTAGGCATATTATCTCTTTTAAAAGATTTCTCATGATTAACAACAATAAGTTTGGCTACCTGTATAAAATGTTCACTTTTCTTTAGACACAATCATTATCATGTATAAATGATGCCATTAAATATCCCTTAAAATAAGTTTAGCTTTTTGGGAAAAAAATTGTATTTTTTGTTTGGAATTTTAAAGATTTGACTGAAATTGTTAAAATGTTCTATCAGAAGTCAGTATGGTATGACAAATAAATCTATGATTAAGAATACCAGATGGCAGGGAAATGAAGCTATGAATAATTAAAAAGTTACCTTGTACAGGTTATAAACTTCCCCTGAATTACGTCCCCCTGGCATTCTATCTTCCCGAACAGCTGAAAAGAAACAGGCACAATTTTTAAAAATTAAAAACTAGAAATGTGTCCATAGGACACGGATGCCCCCACACGCCACTGTCCTGTCAATCTTATTACTCTAGGTCAAATATTTATTGGACTAAAAGTGCCACAAGTTGAAAAGTAAAAATCAACAAAGGGCCATAATTCTGTTAAATTTGGTCGCAGCAAAAATTCCTTCCTTTACTACCATCTACACATTAAGGCTGTTAATCCCTGGAAGTTTAAGCAAAATCTGCCATCCGGTTTAAGAGGAGTTGCGTTCACAAAATTTCTACATAGTATATAATGAAAAAATCAACAAAGGGCCATAATTCTGGTTGCAGCAAAAATTCCTTCCTTTACTACCATCTACACATTTAGGGTGTTCATCCCTGGAAGTTTAAGCAAAATCTGCCATCCGGTTTAAGAGGAGTTGCATTCACAAAATTTCTACATAGTATATAGTGAAAAAAACAACAAAGGGCCATAATTCTGTTAAATTTGGTCGCAGCAAAAATTCCTTCCTTTACTACCATCTACACATTCAGGTTGTTCATCCCTGTAAGTTTAAGCAAAATCTGCCATCCGGTTTAAGAGGAGTTGCGTTCACAAAATTTCTACATAGTATATAGTGAAAAAATCAACAAAGGGCCATAATTCTTTTAAATTTGGTCGCAGCAAAAATTCCTTCCTTTACTACCATCAACACATTAAGGTTGTTCATCCCTGGAAGTTTAAACAAAATCTGCCATCCGGTTTAAAAGGAGTTGCGTTCACAATATTTCTACATAGTATCTAGTGAAAAAATCAACAAAGGGCCATAATTCTGTTAAATTTGGTCGCAGCAAAAATTCCTTCCTTTACTACCATCTACACATTAAGGTTGTTCATCCCTGTAAGTTTAAGCAAAATCTGCCATCCGGTTTAAGAGGAGTTGCGTTCACAAGATTTCGGGACGTACGGACGGACTGACGGACTGACAGACGGACTGACGGACGGACTGACGGATGGACGGACAAGTGCAACGCTATATGCTCCCACATTGTGGGGGCATAAAAAAAAAAAACTTATCAAAGTGTATTTGAAAAACACAACTGTCAAAAAGTTTGTTAAAAAGGGTAAAGGCTCTTTGTCACTGCACTTCTCTGTGAGATCTATCCATGAATGAAGTTTTAAATGACCACTAGACTACACCCAAAGTCTGAGATCATTTGTCACACAGAAATTCTGTCTCGCCCGAAGATCAAACCAGTGACCCCACCTGGATTACAATCAGTTGACCCAGGCTCCATTTTGAGCTAAACATGGCCTACTTGATAGATTAATATATATATTACAATACAAGGGTGTTAGCTATGATTTGTCTTTAAGGTTATTAGCACCTACAATGTACTACACATGTCTTTGATACAAAGAAAAGGCCTTAAATTCAAACATTTTTGACTTGACTTTTTGCTATAAACTATCTACGACAGTGTTTATTGTACCATTATTCATGTTGCACCTATTGTGATCAAACCATGTGCAAGTACAGAATGAAGGACAACAATTAAGCCACCATCATAAGATGCTTATAACAAAAAAATTCTTTAAATATCGACAGTCAGCTGATTTGCTCCCTCCTCTTAGCTGCTTAAAACCTTCATTTTTTTTATTATTTAATCAGCAAAATATCGATATAGCAACAATACCTGCAAGAACCATCCCTGCTTGTAAACACTTTTTGAAGCGACAAAACTGACATTTGTTTCTTTGTGCTTTATTGATCTCGCATTCTCCCGACCCACCTACACATGTATACACGCGGCGATTCTGTACCGTCCTTTTGAAAAACCCTTTACATCTGGAATGAAAAAGATTTTTTTTAATTAAAACAATTCAATTAACATATTTTGTATGCTAAGTAAGTTTTTAAATTAAAAAGTATATACATGTAAATTTGATAATTCTATCATTTGGGAGTCAGACAATTTACCCACATAGTGGGTAAATTCTACTAACATTGTTTTTGTTGAAAGATGTACTTTAGCTTCATCTTATTGGTAATTTAAAAAATAAAATAAACCTAGTTAAATTATCATAAAAAGAAAATTTTGTAGGAAATTATTGTACATTAAATCTTAATTCTGCATTTGTAATGATCTCGGAAGCTGTTAAAGTTTGCAGGTAATTTTATTAGTAACTACAATGATTCAATGTACTGTGTAAGTGGATATTTCTGAATATCAAAAAGTTAACAAGCTTTAAATTCCAGAGATTTCACATGAGAGAATTGTGCAGAGTAGAATTAAATGAAAGGTTGGTTGATATTTACATATAAAGCTCAATGAAATTTTAGTGATTATTTGTACGTAATTCGCCAATATTTCCGCGTCGTAAACTTAACCACTTATACAGTAATTGTAAACGATGAATATAATAATTCCCATCGCATTTTTAACCTGTATGATTCATTTGTTTATTTAATCTTCATCTTAATAATATAGTAGCATAAAACTACCATTCTCACCCTTCACATGTTATTATTCCATAATGAAGCCCTGTTGCCTTATCATTACATATACCACAGACCATTGGGTATTTGTTATCGTACGTTGGTGTTGGCGTTCTTCTTATCAACTCTTCTTTCTGAATACTTTGCACTTCTGTGGTGGAAGATTGAGAGTTCCGTTCACTTTCATTTTGATTTTCACGTCTTAAACTGCCAAGATGCCCTAAATATTCAAATGTTCCATTTGTGTAATGTTCTATGAATTCAGACTCAGTCTCTTTTGTCACAATTTTTTTCGAACTTGTTACACTGCTCTTTTCAGAGTCTGTACAACTAAGTCTATGTTTACGCACAGTTTCCCGCGGCTCATTTACCTGATTACTTGTGTTTGTATGAAGAGCTACCGGACCAGATGATGTCATAATGAAACCACTCGGCATAGCTGTTACAAAGATTGGCTTAAGACCTTTTGGTAAATCTTTTGGTAAGGATAATCCGGAAAGCCCATTCACTCCAAGCGGAAGAAACCCAGGCATTGATGGCATCACAGGAATAAGACCCATTTTCATTTCCCGATCTTGCTTATCAGACTCGTCATATGACTCCGAAGGGAAGCTTACATATGCAACCCCAATGTGCATATTCTCGCTATTGTTATTAGCAAATGGAGGTGGCACAAATAATCCTGAACTATAACGCGCCTGAAATGAATCGACGGACTCCTCTTTCAACTCATTCCGTTCATTTTCACTTGTTACTACATCATTTTCGCTACAGTCTTCCCATCCGTTAGTTTTTGGCGACGTACTCTTCTCATTTCCGCTGGGTGAACTATCGGCCTGACTGGCATAGCCGCTTTCACAACTTGTGTTACTTTGCACATCGGACTCGATTTGACAGTCTCGGCTAACGCTACTGATAATTTCACTGATGCGTCTTCTCTTCAACTTAAAGTCAAGAAAGTTTGCACCTCCTCCTGTATTTTTGACTGCACTGTCCATATCTTGGGCAGACATTTTCTGAAGAAAAAAAAGACGTATTTGAATAAAACAAAAAAAATATGTTAAAAGCTGCTAAAAAATTTTTTTTCCCACAGACTTTTTCCTTCAAATCAAAACATTTCACAGCTAAATGTATATACATGTATATCCTACATCCAGTACAAACTATAATTTATATATATACTACATCTGTACTACATGTATATCATAATTTTATGAGCTTTTTGAAAGAAAAAAAAAAGCACCCACTTATAATGTCCAAAATATACCTTTAGTCAAATTATGCTGTGAAAAATATTATAACATAAAAAAAATATGTTAAAAGCTGCTAAAAAATTTTTTTTCCCCACAGACTTTTTCCTTCAAATCAAAACATTTCACAGCAAAATTTATATATATCCTACATCCAGTACAAACTATAATTTATATATATACTACATCTGTACTACATGTATATCATAATTTTATGAGCTTTTTGAAAGAAAAAAAAAAGCACCCACTTATAATGTCCAAAATATACCTTTAGTCAAATTATGCTGTGAAAAATATTATAACCGAAGACAGTGAGTTCTTGTTATATAATAAAAACATGCAAGACACATCACTCAGTTATGATATCACTGTATGTGATAAGAGGTTTTAGCACTTTATTTTCAGTTTTTATTAGCATGTCCATTTCATTATTTGCCACAATATTATATGAACAATTATACATATATATACATGTAAACTATCTCTGCAATAAACAAATAATCCTAGTGTTAGCATGGAAACAAACCAATCCCAGCATGAGCTTGGAAAGGCACAAATCCTGGCATGAGCTTGGAAACAAATAAATCCTCGAGTGACTGGAAAATGTAGCATGAGCATGGAAACAAAGAAAACCTAGAGCAAGCTTATAAACAATAAAATTCTAGTATGAGCTAAGGAACAAACAAATCATAGTATGTGAACATGGAAACAAACAAATCCCAAGTACAAGATTGGAAATGAACAAATCCTAGCAAGAGCTTGCGGACAATCAAATCCTTGTTTGAGCTTGGAAACAAATAAATTCTAAACAATTCCTAAAATTTAATGTGCATAGAAACATATAAACTGATCCTAGGGTAAGCTTTAAAAACAAACAAATTCTTGTTTGAGCTTTGAAACATCTTAATCGTGGCAAGTGTCTTTTATAGAACATTATTTTCAGAAAAATATTGCCGGTTAAATTTACGTGTATTTTTCTAAATTACATTCCAAACAAAATGCAAAAGGAATTATCTACTCAAACATTAGTTTACACATATGTGGCAAACATTATATATATCAATTTAATATTATAGAGAAAATCAGTATTATTTTAAATTTATTTACTTGCTAAAAATTATTTAGCATATATTATTTAGCTTGTTATAATTTGTTCCATTTTGTGTATGTTGTATAATGTTTATTTCACTTTCAAACACTACCGATAGATTTCATAGAGTAAATTCACTTTAATAGACCTTTCCAAAACCCTGATCAGTTACTAAAGAAAATAAACTTGTACTAAGTTACCGGTACTTTAACTTATTTAATAAACTTGTACTGACTTTAACTTACTTAATAAACTTGTACTTACTTTAACTTATTTAAAAAACATGTACTAACTTTAACTTATTTTATAAACTTGTACTGAACTTACTTAACTTGTACTAACTTTAACTTATTTTATAAACTTGTACTTACCAACTTTAAAGACTGAAGAATTTCAGTTTCTGGAATGGTTATATGCCAACAAACAATAATTTGAAATAACATAAAATACTCTCATTTGATTTGATTCTGAAATTATTCATCAAACATTTACAATACATAATATAAATTTGGCAAGTAATGTATTCTGTATAAAACATTAATTTATTTACAAATCTTTAACATATAATAATTCCTTGTCAATTTATAAGTATACATAAACATTAGGTCCACAGACAAAACAATCACTGACATCAAATCCAGAACACTTTCTATTCACTAACTAAAAGTATTTATTATATATCCAAGAACACCACTTTTTCAGTTATAGTACCAATGTAATATGAATTCTATTCCAAATTTTACTCCTTTTTTTACTTCTTCAATTTTCATTGACTCCCAGAAAGTTGCCTTTCAAACATATCAGATATTTTTACACTTTCTAAGAAACATTTATCAAATGCGCAGAACGACTACTCAAACCAAACAAAACAAATTACATAAAAAATAAAATGTATATTATAGAATGAAAATTGTTCCTATAAATTTCTACATGTTAGAAAAAAAATAATTTTCCTCGATAAATGTTTATCTTGTTTTTATAAAAGAATTACAAGACTTCAACACTAACACATTTTAAATTTATTTACTTTATTCAATAAATAATAATTGTAACACTTTTAAATAGCAAAAAAATAAGTATTCTAAATAAATAAATAAATATCAATATATTACTTCTTGTTTTGTAGGTATAAATTTTCTCTCTGGTTTCTATATCAAGTCAATGCTGCCATATCGCAATGAAATATGGCAATATTATGTGTTATTTTTTTATTCTGTTGTCTTTCACATACCAGTATTATAAATATATTGTTATTGGAAAATCATTTTATACATATCACGATGCCAGACATGTGACAATACATTACCAATATCAAACTGTGATTTACAGAATATTAACACATGTCATTGAAGCAAGTGATCCAATACTACCTCCCTCCATCAATATGACCTTAACTTTCACAATATGATCGTATCACATCCTTACACGCGCTCCGGTGATGCCATCACATTTTATAAAATCTACGGTATTTATCCAACAAGTACAGAAATTGGTACTTTGAAACAATTTATGAAATAAAAACATTTTGAAGAGGAAGTACTTCGGTTTAATTAATTTTGTATTTATAAGAAGGTTAAAGGTAAAGGTTCTGTTTATTATACATGTAGTGTCACCCCTTAGTACTGAAAGGGCCAGCAATTTCTGACTTATGAAACACCTTTTGCTTGATACTATAAGGGCTGTGTATTTTTTTACAGTTACCAAAAAATCCCTTCTTTGTAGTCTAGATGCCAAAAATAGGCTGCTTCCCCAACCAAACTAGCCTCTTTTTTGCCCCAGTTTGGTCCTCAAATTTCCCTAGTCTTTTGAAATTAGAACAAAATTAAATGATAGTGTTGAATAAAGGTCTTTTACTGCCTTATTAGTATTTCCCAGTGCTTTATGCTTTTCTATTTTAAAGAACTTGTTAAAAGTTTGAGACCCCTTTTCATAAAGTATGCCAAAATTAAGCATATTTTCCCAAAGGAAAAGGCTGAGGCTGTTTTGACCCTGAGGCAGGACGTGCCAAAACTGAAACATTATGACGTCACATTTTAAGTCTTACATCAAAAACAGCTAGTTGTAAAGTAAAAGTAGGTTTTAGGCACTGATCGCTTGCTTTTATTTTAATAACTGTTGAGCGTAATTTGTACAAATAGAGTTTTATAGAAATTTAAAGAAAAAAATTTATTCCAAGAAAAAAATAAACTTGCTTCTTGATTTTACTAGACTTTGTATAAAAGGGAAGCAACTCTGTATAAGTTTCTGTACAGAGATGGGAATTTAAACGACAGAAATATAACTTATTCAAATGGTGCTACTATTAGATCTATCAAGACGTACTAAAGATATTAATACACATCAGAGACACATCGAAAGATGATAATCTATCCTGAAATGAATAATGCCCTTTGGCTGAAGTACTCAGGCTATTATTTATTTTGCTGGCCTTTTACTACTCAGCTGTGGATATAATCTTAATATTCTTTGGTAAGAAATAGGGCAATGACTCATCAAACATCAAAATTCCAAATCTGCCTTGTTATGTACTATATAAAGAAAAAGCTAATATAGTAAAAGAATTGATATATGATTTTGCATAAAAAAATTCCTGTAAATAAGTAATATTCTAACTTCCTTCACAAACAAAGAATGGAATAACACTGAAATTAAAAGTGCAATGAATAACACATATTCTTTTTCATTTCCAAAATGTTGTCAATACTTTTTCAAAATTCGACTTATGATGATAATTTTACCCAATTTAAGCAATTTCACAATACAAAAATTATGTGCCTAAATAAATGGCAGTCTCATAAAAGAGTAGCAAAATATCATTTCTTTATAGAACACTTAATGTAAAAATATTTTGTACATCATTAAACTAACCGACATAATTGTTAACATGACATGTTTACATGATCACAGGTGATCTCAAGTTATCTTAAAGTTACTAGGTGCACTTTACTTAATACGGTTAAACATGCATTGACTTAGAAATAAATACGGTGAGGTGATTAAATGGTTGCTACTTAAGTATTTTTTGTTTCTTCATTGTTCAACAATACAGTCAGTAAACAATTGGGCTAGTACTACTACTCAGGTAATTGCGGTAAGCAAATACATTTTATTTCATCACTTCACACACAAAAATGATATATAATGCAATCATTTGACCTATATATTTATTTTTGCTATATTTATTCACAAACAATAAAATATTATAGTTTAAAGACATGGTTACATTTAATGTATATTATACTTTAAATGTCATAAGATATGGGTATTTGTCAATGAGGGCAGTAAATTGATATAATTATAAACACACACATAACCCGGGTGTAGATTTTCCGAGGTTTATGAAAAAAACCACGGAAACTGCTTCAAAAACCTTGGAAATAAACCAGTTTTACAAGGTTTTTTTTTAATTCCAAGGTTTTTCTTAAAACCTTGGAAATTTTTTCCAAGGTTTTTGTATAAAAAACCTTGGAAATAAAGAAAACCTTGGAAACTGTCTCGGAATTTACATACTCTGCCAAAAAACAGCTCGGAAAAAGCTTGGAAATGAAGGACTTTGTCATTTTTTTGCTCGTAAAAGAACTTAGAAAATTTACGTCAAATTTGTTTGAAACACTTTGCCATTTTTTAGCTTGGAAATCACCTCGGAAAATTGTACTTAGCTAAATTTCATCTCGGAAAATGTTGAGCCATTATCATGATTTCACTTACAATATTATCACGAGTTAAATGATTAAAATATCATAATTTTTCATAATAATATAGAGCTTAATACTGCTTGACATACTATTGGCATACTATTAACAATTTATCATTAATGCATATGTGCAGAGACATAAATATGTCTCTGATATGTGATAAAAATAGCAATGATTCATACATGTAGTTATATGTGTCAGAGAATAGTGCATGTTTTTTTCCTTTTTAAGCTTAAATAGAATACCACTCTTGCTATTTTAATGTATTTATTATCTTTGCAGCTTATTGTCAGAACAGATTGCATTGTATTTCAATACAGTATTGCTGATTACTCATTTCAACTTAATGTTGACAGTTTTGAACTAATCTCTTTCATATGTGTTTGGAAAGCTTGCTACTGCAATATCTGTTCCATTTGTCATCACTATTAGTGGCTCAAGTAATTGTTCTGCAGGTATCACTTCCATTCCCTTCCTGTAGGTAGAAAAATTACAAATATGTAATTTGAAACATATTAAAAGCATTAAAAAAGTTTCACAGTGTAACGGTTAAATCTTTGAATCAACAATTTTAAGCAGTCTCACCAATATTAATTTAGATAAAACAGTAAATATGAGGGCTCAATTTAAAGCAGAGTAAACTGAATATTTAAGAATGTAGAATTAACATTTGTTTTCCTATTGATTGACTCAAATGTAGGCAGAACCAAACAAATAGTATAGACTTTTAACAATACAGAATTTGAAATTCTGAAACATGATTTGAAATGAATCTGTGAATTCAGATGAAACATTTTAAATGTATACAAACCTTCTAGTTACTTGTATTAGATGCGGCACTGTTCCTTCCAAAGTAGACCCAGTCTTAACCAGTGCTGTCCCAACTGCAAACACTTTCCTTTCTGCATCATTTTGCACTATAAAATGCTCTGTTTCTAAAGCATAAATATCCCTGTTATTCAATTTGATAGTATAAGAGTTTTGCTGTTTAACTTTTTTAGAATTTTTTGTGTACATTGTATACCCATTTCTCACTATTTTTGAGGCTGTAGAGAAATCAGCATTGCCAATTTCTTTCTCAATTTTTGCCAAAATATCCTGTTTGAATCCACTGGTATTATTGGAAAACTTTATAATCCAGCACTGATATGCTTCAGTTCTAGATGACTGTCTTTTTCGAATTTCTAGTGACTGAATGAAATCTTTTGACATGCAGTCTGGCATACTACTTGACAACTGTGCAAGCCGTTTTTGTGCCTGAAATGACCAGAAGATCTGTCTACAAACATTTCCAGTTCCATGAACAGATTGCTTTATTTCTCCATTAAATGACTCAAAAGGAAAACAAGAATACCCCCATAGAGGTCCCCATTGTTGTACAATATCAACAGAATGAGTAAGGTTGTGGATATTTAGACTTAACGTTTCTTCGCCATAAAGATTTTCCATGTTTTGAACAAATAATTTTAGTAGCAGATCAGCACGATTCAAGTCCTGGTTTGCTATTCCCTCACTAAGCAAAATGTATGTTCCTTCTACAAGACATGCATAATGCTTCAGATATACTTCTGGCAGAATTCCTTTCAGTAATGGCACAGAGTAAAACAGAAGCCAGTTCCTTAATTCTGATGCTTTCCAGTGAGAATATGTATTTGATAAGACTCTTGGGGAGCGATGAACTAGATATGGTGGACATATTGCTTTCATTAGATTGTCAAGAACTTTTACCCTGTCTCCTATGTAATGAGGTGTGTCTTTATATTTGGAATCAAACCACATATCAAGGAATTTCTTTGTTACTCCGAGGAGTGTGCCATGCATATAATCAATAACAATGTTCTTTGAGAGTGAAAAATATGGAAGGCAACTTAAAATACTTTCTCCAAAAAAACCATGGTAACGTTTGCCAGTTTGTGACGCTGTCAATGATGCTTCTTTAATCATATCATCTGTTCTTTTATCATAATCTTTGAAGGGAAAAGTTCGACAGTTTCCTGCACCGCTCTTCACAACTTTCCCACTGGCAGTACAGTATAAGCACGAAAATTCCCCATTGTGCTGAGTCATATTGGTCACATATGCTCTAGCCTGCAAATCCATTGTAACTATAATAAGTTTAGCTTTAACCAAATATGATGTACCATTTTTCACAATGTTAACACCGTCATTGTGGAGCATAAGGAGATCTGTAACTAATGGTGTTAAAAACATTGTCATTTTTGGTTTGCCTGTTCCTTGCCAAATTCCCCACAGAAGCATATTCTTTTTAAGAAAACGTTCCTTTGGTGGTATCTCATTTATGATAAAATACACAGGCCACATGGATACTCCAGAACTTTTAAAAAGTGGAACACCATCAATAAACATTGATAATGTGATATTTCTATTTGAATCTAGAAATCCTCCTTCTTTTTGTAGTTCCTTGTATCCACTTCCACTTCTTACATCTGCAATGCTAGATCTGTCATGATGATCTATAAAGTCACATAGTGCGTCCCAAATTTCTTTTCTTTGAATGATTTCTTTTATCTGCATCCCTAAATTGCTTGTAATAAAGTACTTCTTGCATAAATTATCAGACTTTTTGCCATCACAATTTGGAGTTTGACATTCATCTAAATGGTCTTCAAAAATTTTCTTGCAATTTTCACAATATGTATGATATTTCAGGTAATCCTTTTCAAAGCCACAAGCTCCCTTTAACTCATTTATATCTGTAACTCCTATATTTTGCTCAGGTAAATGCATTTGTATAAGCCCAACAATATCTTTCAGCAATGTATCAGAAATGTTGTGTCTAGCAGCTATAGCACACAGTGACATTACGTGATCAAATTTTGTAATACTACTTTGGTAACAGTTTGAAGATGGTGGTATAACATAAAGAGGAATAGAGGTTTTAGCTGCATATTCGTTGATGTCTAATATGGCGTCACTTTGATTATTAGTGTATGATAATTGTTCTGCTGTGTCCACATCTGAACTTGCATTGCCTTGTGAATCTTGTGATTTTTCTATATCCATATCCAAAACTGTATAATCAACTTCTTCACAAGCTTCGCTACATTCAGCATTTGTTGACAAATCCACTGTATCATTTTTTTCTAGATGACTCTCTCCAGTCCCAGGATGAACTGAATCCTCTTCCCTAAAAAAATGTTCAATATTGAATAAATATTCATGCAAAGGTAGAATGATCCATTCTGGAATTAAACATACATTTCAAAAAAGATGTATAGCCATTATCACCCACTTGCGTACATTTATTAGTACAAAAATTAATTTTCAATACAACACAAAATCAATTAAGTTTTATTTTATTTTCAATAATGTGTGTTCTTTATCTTCTTGGAAAGTCAAAAAATATCTAACCTCTTTGATATTCTGAATAAAGTTGTTCTTGGGACATTTACTCCCTCGTTTGACTCATAAAGCTTGTACCTCTTTGGACTGTCGCCAGCTGTAACGAAAAAAGCAAATATTCTTTAAAATGGAAGTATACTTTAAATTACTTTGCACATGTACAAAATTAATGTTTGGTAATAAAATGTATCAACAGAAAAGCCACAAGACTCTGTATCATTCTACAGCTGTCCAAGAAAATGAAACTTTTGAATATATTTACTACATATATACTGTATACTTTGATAACTTTATTAATTCACCTAAAATTATGATAATCGAAAAGTTGTTCACTAATCTATAACAACGTAAATTTATATACAGTAGATGTAAAACATGTACATTTTTCATTTTGTGAAATTAATTGATGATTTTCACAAATGAATGTCGTCCGAAAATCGGATTTTTTTCGTTTGTCACCTATTTCCGCGACCTTGGTTTTCACATGTTTATATCCCTATGAAAATACTCAAATCACACGTCAGAATTGTGTTATATTTAAACACACATCTGAACATGTTGATTCCGTAAAAAATGGTTTAATATTTGTTAAATATTAAAGTCATGTCAGGAAATGTTCAAACAAATTGACCCGTGATAAACTGGGGGTATACCTTTAATTTCATATAAACTGAGTTCAAACCTTTAAATTAAAATGAACTGAGCTTATACCTTTATTTTCAGTAATACACCATTAAAATCAGTTAAACTGTGCTTATACCTTTATTTTCAGTTATATTGAGCCTATACCTTTAAAGTTATTATTTTGGGTATATACCTTTATTTTTAATGTTTCATATAATCGGGAGACACATATACACAGTAGAAACTACTGTTAAACATGTTATTTTCAAATGCAGTTCTGATTTTTAATTATATGGGTACTGCAGTTTTGAGACAGCTGTTTTATAGGTAAATAAAATGTCGGAATGTCACGGGTCGATTTATTTGTTATATTAATTGTTCATTTTGCCGTGCACTGTTCGTCATTTAGTCGCGGGAAAAGTATAGTTAATGTCCGCGCATGCGTCGATTACCGTTTGTGTCCGTGGCGTCTGTTATCGTCTGCTATTGTATTGTATCGGTTGGTTCCGTAACGTACGCTTATAAGCGGAAATTCACGGAAACGTCCGAAACAATTCAACTATGTCTGTATCTCGTGCAATTTTGTGAACTGTTTTTGTTTGTCCAATCGTTTTGTACGTTGTATGAAAGAGATTTGAGAGAAAGTTTTACATTGTTTTTAACATTTCCTTTCTTCCGAATTCCCGCGAACTTTCCTTCTTCAGGTCACTTTATCTTTATTCTCTTACGAGTATAGATATACTGAGCGTACTTAATATAAAAATTTTATTTGTTTATCTAACAGTGTATTTTATGTATCTTTTGATTAACTTGTATTATAATCATGTATTTATGTTTTTAGGCTTTTTTTTTCGTATATATTACAATTAAATTGACGATCCTTCGCCAGTAGTTGTAGTTTATAATTCTACCCTGTGACACACTCATAATGCAACAGTCGTTGGCCAGTCAGTTACCATAAGAACTTAAGGGGCCGGAGATTGTGGCATATATTTCCGATCCAGTAACGGCCTTTAAAATTGTTTTCCCCCTTAGTGTTATCCGAATGTACATACTGTTTGCCTCTAAGAATGTAAAACAGAAACGGGCCAAATATGACGGAATATTAGATTATTATTTTTCAATATACCGTAAAATTTACCGATTTTTAAACAAGTAGATCATATAAAATTGAGATAATATGCCGAAAGAACACGTCTCGGATAATATGAAAATATTTTTCAAAGGTGTAACAAATAATTTATATGCGCATCAATCTATGGTCCCTTAGCAAGTTCCTTACAAACAACAGTATAAGACTAATCAGCTATACAATTCATTTTCTAGCGGCATAAATTAATAATTTTGATGTCAAAAAATTACTGAAAAAATATCGTAATTGGGGATTTCTTTATTTCGAGAGAACATCAAGTTATTTTGTTTCAGCAAACATGTTCTTCTCAAAACATTGTTTTTTCTGTTAAATATGTATAAATTTTCCTTTTTTCTACATTTGTATTGTGGTTACTTATTAAAATTATAAAGCATAATGATGTCCGACATTACGTATTTTTAGATAAACCCGAATACACTACGTATAAATTGATGTTTGTTTTCCTGCTGTTTATTTTAACAGTAGTCTTAGAAACTCTCTATTTTTATGTTTTGAAACATGGAACATAATAAAATGATATAAAGAATGAAAGGAAAATTGCAATTCGAAATGAAGTAAAGTAATTAACTCTCCGATGCACTAAAAAGCAATACTGGCAGACACTTGACTTTACTTCTGTAAACATTAAATTACGAACTCTTACATTATAATGAGTCTTGACAGCTTATATGCAAATAAGATAATCTTCCACTTCAACTCGCTGATAAGTACTAGTATGATAGAATGCACACGCTTAAATTTCCGCAAAATCAAAACTACGGATTGTTAAACATCAGTGCAAAATGGGGCTATATTTCAAAGTTTTCTCCTAATTTCATATTATTTGCATTTCAAAATATATACGATAAGATCCGTAGAATTGTAAGTTATCGCAAATTGCCATCCAAATATGACAATGTAACTAGTGTCCGTCAGTAGAAAATACATGTTTAAAAATCATAGTCGATTTCTTACATTCAAATCGACCAAAGTATTTCTGCAATGCTGTAAACTTTGACTTCTGTTTGGGAAAATATAAGAAAATAAATATCTATAAATACTACTCGCTAACAGCAAAACTAATCATTATAATGAAGAATACAAAATAAAGACATGAATAAGTAGAGATAACCAAAAACTTAATGGTGATCTAAATCGACGTCATATCAAAATGTCATCTTTCATACCGTGTATGTTGTGAATGGTGCGAAGGTGTGACTTGAGGGTCTGCTTTCTTGTTAAGACTTTCCTGCAAGACTCCAGCGGACATATCCATTGTTTGTCAGTGTGTTTGCAACCTAACAAATCATCTTCTTCCATTTTAGCTGAATAAAAAGAATCACGACTGTGTGAAACATAAACCTAATAAACACGTGCAAATGACTTTCTAATTACTAGCAATGTACTGTACCGTATTAGACCATTAGACCAAAAATGTGCATTTATAAAATCGCTCTCTAAAAAATAGAAGCGTAGCTTCATTTTGAATGAATCCTTCTGTTACAAAGGAAATGTTCAACAGTTCGAACATGAAAGTTTTCGGTCGGAATGACGGGTGGACAGTTCAAACTTATATGCCTTCCTTCGGGAGCATTAATAAAAATAATAATTATAATAATAATAATAAAAAAAGATCCTTAATCTGTATATTGATTGATCATTAGTTGGACAATTAAATACATGTACTCAGGGCTAAACTTTTGCCACTTGTTGTTGTAAAAATTCTATCATATTTCAAAAATGAAAAACAAATGTATATTATCATTCACTGTACCTTTTTCAGCTTAGACACTGGTGGGTTCCATGTATATACATTAACTTTAATCAATATTTTCGCACCTTGTTTTCCAAATTAAAAACCACTGGAATTTTGTATAATAATCACCGCCAAGCGCAAACATAAATCAGGAAGCTGTGCATTGGTGAGCGCATTTAGACCACATATACGTAATACCATATGTTTGACATTCTGGGAAAACCTCGTAAACTTTCGCCGGTATCCGATTGATGCTTATTGTATATGTGACTCATGCTGGGAAAACTTCGTGAACTTTCGCCTGTAACCGATTAATGCTGATAAAAAGATCTATCCAATGAAATTGCTCGGACATTTGAAAGAGGTATATTTATATTTGATGAGAAAATTTGAAATTACTTAGTGAAAATGGCAACACCCGAAAGCTTTGCGTTAATGATATGGATTAATGACAACCCAGTGACTGGAAATGCTGTAAGAATTCGACAAATAGTGGAGCCAAGAAAGGCATATCATGAATATCGTGATGGAGAGACCGTGAAAGTAAAACTTGCAAGATTTGGGATTGTTGAAGGGGTCATTGCAAAACTTGGCGGTAAGTGACATTTTTACCAACTCTGTGTAGTGCTTTCTTTATCTTTTTTTTTTTAATGATAGACTTCTAGACTTCCGAGCATAATGTACATATACCTTTGTAACAATGTGTTAAAATGCTGCCGTGGAAGTTTTACTAATTTGGTTGCTAATTTACCGTCACCATTTAAATACCCGGAATCTGAACAGGTTTTAGCCAAACGTTTAATCATAACAAGCGTCTGTTAATTGGGATTATAAAAAGTTAAATTTGAGATTTTAACGGTTTTATTCTTAAGATGTTGACAAAATACCATTGACACATTAAGTTTAAGTATTTAACAATTTAGCAAAATGCTTTTAAAGGTAGAATTTGAAGCGATAACACTTAAATTACTGAATATAGATATTACGTTACAGTTGAATACGGACATTTTTTTAATTAAATTTATTAGACATGTGACGATGTGTGTGCAACAAAGAATTAATATATATTGCTGTTATTTGGCCATTTACAGTTAAAGTTTTGATAATGGTAAGTAAAGATAAGATTTTAAAATATGCATTTAGATGCATCGGGGTCAGCTCGGCCCTATTCCAACTAAGCCTGGTCAACTCGGCCTACTTTTCAATGTATAAATATATTGGTTTGTTTTATCACTCTTTATTGTTGGAACCACATAATAAATATATGGACTTAAGATGTTTTCTCAAATTATTATTACATTTTTGGATATTGAAATTGTAAAAGCTCATTAATGGACTGCTATTATCACCAATCAATTACCATGTGTATGTTAAGAGTACCGATTAACAGGTGATAATTATGATTTAGGCAATCATTCAAATTTGATAAATGACCACCTACAACTAATTTGAAGCTGAAGATAATAAGTTAACACGTTTTTATTTCAAATTTTATTGACGATTAACAAAAAGCATCAACAGAAAGACATTTGTATTATATCAATTTGGGGTGTAACAATACGGTAAAAACGTATTGCAATATATTGCCATTTTGACAAAGCGTATTGCAATATATTGCAATACATATTGTCGGGTATATGTTTCGATGTAAAGATAGAGTAACATTATATATTGTTATTATTATATGTATATATTCTTAGTAGAAACTTAATAAAAATGTAAGGAATAAATAGAAAGTAAAGTGTCACACAATTTGATAAACAAAACTAGTGGCACGTGACCTTTCACATCTGGGCCGCTTATGTAAATTATGCGGCCGCTTACTTACTTTTAAGTGTACTTAGTTGTCGGATATTTTTATCTTACGTTGACGCCAATAAAATTCACCAATAAAAGATTTTATGCGAAATTTGTACGAAATAAGAAGGTGATTAAATGAAAATTAAGATTTTTATAAAATACCGGTCTTCCAAAAATCGTACCGTGGTACGAAAGTAATTTTTTCATATAATCATATTACAATATATCGGTATAACAGTAACTGTTACACCCTTAATATCAATTTACAACGAATCTGCAAGAAGTGTATTTAAGCGTAACAAATTTCTTCTATTAAAATATACTTCACTTTAATTCTGTACAATATATTATAATATACCGGATATCTTTTATTTTTCATTTAAAACAGCTTGCCATGATAATATAATCAGAAAAAAGACTGTTGAAATATACCTCCTTTACATTGCATAAGCTTGAAAGATAAGTAGGAGAAGATCTGTCACTCCTTGAACCAAACTGTGAAGAATTATTAAGCTGACTCTTGACTTTAAGTAGCTTCTCTACTTCTTAACTGGGATGTCAGTGTGTGAGTGAGTGTCATGTCATAATGATTCACTCAATATTCATTTTATAATTAAGTCACAACTTAATTTTTTATTTTATTTCTCTGTAATGTACAATGCAAACAATAATTCCAATGATAATACAAGGTGTGTAAAGAAATACTATGGCATTTGATATTATAACAGTGTCCTGAAATAATACATACTAAATCATACTTTTGCAAAGCACTATATGTATTTTTCTTAATTATATTTTTTTTAAAAGGCAAAGTTGACTCTGCACAAACGTTCAATGTTTAAAGAGTTAAGTAACATTACAACAATAAGTAACTGTCAAAAATTTTCTTACAGCTAATAATGCTAGGCACTTTCGTTTTCATTGACTATTTTTTTATGTATTTTTTCCATACATCCTGTATTGCTTCAAAACTAAGCATCTTTTTCAGTCCCAAATTAAATAAGTAGCCAGTGTTATGGGGTGCTGTCATTGTCAAATCTTGGCACGTTTTCATCATAATTTTAGAATTTTCTAATCTGAACAAATTTTCGAAAACAATTTCTCTTAGGCAGTTTAATATTTTGCATCATTATTGGAAAAAATATGATATAGAAATTGACTATTAAAAATTGATGATTTTCAGATGGCACTGAGGAATCTAAGAAAATATTAGAGAAGGAAATTGACAGCCCAAAATTTATTGACTTAGTAAAAAAATACTGCCCAAATGTCCAGAGGTCTGAAACTGTAACAGAAGAAACAGCCAGTGCAAATACTGCACTATGTACTGCAGAAAATAAGAAAAGAAAGTCATCCAAGCCAAGAGCTATCACTGAGAAAAAGAAGAAGGTGTGTAATAAACTTCAGTTTTTATTTTTTTTAATTTTATGAAACTGCTTCTCTAGTAACATTATAACCTAAACTTTGCCATTTCCATAGTCATGCACAAAGTTCTCTTACAATTCTTATCTTTTCATATAAAATGGTAAAGAATCCTATTTGATATTGGTGTTATAATCATATTTCTTCCCTGTTATGTGGAACAATTTTACTTTTCTCAATAAAAATGTAAACTATAATGTTAGAAAATGACTTCTTATTAAATGACAGATGCATTTACTGTAATTTTCTGGACGGTCCCATGGACAGCTTGCTATATAATTGTTACTTTTTTCATTTTACTGATTTTTTTTCTAATTTAAGTATGATTTGGAAAAAGCTGGTGAGGAACTGCAACTAGCTAAATTGAAAGAGCAGGTTCACACAGGAAGTCAGAACACACATTCAAGGTTTGTAAAAACAAGTAATTGTGTATCTGATAATATTGGTTTCATCCAATGACAGAGTTTACAAGCATATATGAGCCGCGTCACGACAAAACCAACAAAGTGTGTTTGCGACCAGCATGTATCCAGACCAGCCTGCGCATCTGGGCAGTCTGATCAGGATCCATGCTGTTCGCTATCAGTTTATCTACTTATAATAGGGTTGGTAAGCGAACAGCATGGATCCTGATCAGACTGCGTGGATGCTCAGGCTGGTCTCGATCCATGCTGGTCGCAAACACACTATGTTGGTTTTGTCATAACGCGGCTCATATATATATAGTAATTCTGTGTAAATCAGTTTATTAATATGTCTATATTGATTTATGATCAGTTTTGAAATACATTTAACTACACTGAAAATACACATTCAGCAGAGACGTTGACAATCTCACACTCATTTTCAGGGTTTCTCTACCAATTTGTAGATAATAATTAGTGTTAAACATGTGGAAATAGATTAATGTTTAGATCTGTCCTGTATTCTAGACACTCGAAGGATAAAGCATAGATTCAAAGAATTGATTATTTGTATAAGAGCAAATTATGTCACCAATGCTCTTAGCACCAAAATACTCATTTATTTGACAAGTCTGTATTAATGCAAGGGGAGTTCAATTTGAAAAGTAGAATTTTGATTTCAAAGTAAATGTATGGATATTCATGACACAATGGATTGATGAAAAGTTTTTACAAACTAGAATGTTTTTATTTGATTTTTTTTTACTATGAATGAATTTTAAAAAAGGAAAAATTTTCAATTTTAGGGATGTAACGCCTCCATTACTTACAGAAATTAGAAAATCAACAGAGTCAAGTCATCCATTTAATACTAGTACTAATTCAGCTATAAATACTGGGTAAGTTGTTGATTTTTTAATGCGATGATTAATAGGATTATCAAAATTAAAGAAAAAAAAACTTAAGGGTTGAGGTAACAGAATTGGAACCATCATTTAGCCAAAATCATATTTCCAGTTTTAGCCCTATGTGACCTTAAGGGCTGTAAAACCAAACCAAAATAATTATCTTGAAACCTATTTGCATAATGAATAACATATTTTACATTGTATATCTTCTTTTAAGAATATTTTACTTTTAAATACATTTTCTCAATTTCATTAAAATTGAGTATCAATCTGGAGGCATACCAAAATGAAAACAAATTTATTTTCATTAATTCATTAAGTTTAGTCATGTGATAGAAGTATATGACATTCTTTGTCATATAATGTGCAATTTTATCATTTATCAATTTTTTGTTACAAAATAATTTAAACTAGAACTGCCACTATCATGGCGTGAATACCCCCGCATACCACTTTGTCAGAATCAACAGTGGCCATTTAGAGCTCAAGGACAACCTCCCTGCCAAATCTGAGGTTACTAAGCCAGTGCATTGCTAAGTTATGTATTCTACATGCTTCAAATGTGAAAATGTCAAAATAAATACATTGCGGACAGGACATTCTTTAGCAATTGAGAAGAAAAGCTTTTTTTGTCAAGGTCCCTGTGACCTTGACCTTTGACCCAGTGACTTCAAAATCGATAGGGGTCACCTTATAGTCATGATCAACATCCATACCAAATATGAAGACTGTGGGTCAAAGGAATCTTAAGTTAATGGGTGGACAAACTTTTTGAAGTCAAAGTCCCTATGACCTTGACCTTTGATCCAGTGACCTCAAAATCAAAAGGGGTCATCTACTAATCATGATCAACATCCATGTCAAATATGAAGACTGTGGGTCAAAGGAATCTAAAGTTATTGGGCAGACAAAGTTTTTGAAGTCAAAGTCCCTGTGACCTTGACCTTTGACCTGGTGACCTCAAAATCAATAGGGGTCATCTACTTATCATGACTAACCTCCATGCCAAATATGACGACTGTAGGTCAAAGGAATCTTAAGTTATTGGGCGGACAAGCTTTTTGAAGTCAAGGCCCCTGTGACCTTGACCTTTGACCTGGTGACCTCAAAATCAATAGGGGTCATCTACTAATCATGACTAACCTCCATGCCAAATATGAAGACTAAGGGTCAAAGGAATCTTAAGTTATTGGGCGGACAAGCTTTTTGAAGTCAAGGCCCCTGTGACCTTGACCTTTGACCTAGTGACCTCAAAATCAATAGGGGTCATCTACTTATCATGACTAAACTCCATGCCAAATATGAAGACTAAGGGTCAAAGGAATCTTAAGTTATTGGGCGGACAAGCTTTTTGAAGTCAAGGCCCCTGTGACCTTGACCTTTGACCTAGTGACCTCAAAATCAATAGGGGTCATCTACTAATCATGACTAACCTCCATGCCAAATATGAAGACTAAGGGTTAAAGGAATCTTAAGTTATTGGGCGGACAAGCTTTTTGAAGTCAAGGCCCCTGTGACCTTGACCTTTGACCTAGTGACCTCAAAATCGATAGGGGTCATCTACTAATCATGACTAACCTCCATGCCAAATATGAAGACTAAGGGTCAAAGGAATCTTAAGTTATTGGGCGGACAAGAAAAAAACGACGGCCGGACGGACGGACGGCCGGACGGACAGCCGGACGGACGGACAAGCTGATTCCAGTATACCCCCCTTACAACTTTGTTGTGCGGGGGTATAATTATGTGTTCACTCATGATGAGTCATCCGAGATCATATAGCAAGTATTAAATTATGTGATTCTAAAATTCTAGGGATGAAACACTTCCATTACAAACAGAAATTGAAAGATCTGCAGAGCCATGCCCACCACTTATTTCTAATACCAATTCAGGTTTAGATATTGGGTAAGTTGTTGCTCTTTTCTGATCTCATTAAAATGAATACAACTAGACTATAAGTCTGCAGATTAGAAAATTAAGTATGAAAAGACAAGATATTAAATGTTGTTATGATATCACTTGCTTTCAATGTTTATGTATTTTTTGTAGTACAACCAACTGATACACCATTGTTATCACATAATTTTTGCCAATACATTTCCTTAGACAAAGAACAAAGAAATCAAGATGTCAAAACAAATTATTTTCAGTACATTCATAATTTCAATTTGTTTGGTTATGAAGTAAATAGAATCTCACTTTTGGTGTTGAATATATACTTGTCCTCTGATAGTTAGCTTTATAACAATTTCTTTTGCTCCTAGAGTATAATTCTATATTTTATGTCAAGTCATGTGAGGTCCTGTATAAAGCTATATGATTTTAAAATTTTAGGGAAGTCTCAATTCCATTTCAAATAGAAACAAGTAGGTCAACAGAGGGATGTCATCAACTTTCTTCCAGTACCAGTTCAGCTGTAGATATTGGGTAAGTACCGATTTAATACCTTTTATAATACTGCATGTTTGTAACATCAATTTGCATTGGATAATAGAGACATTTTTAAATATAGTTTTATATACACTGTTGCTGTCAGTTTTCTAAGAAATCTCACTTTTTCTGAAAAAGTTTGCTGTATCATAAATTTGTTATAAATATTCCTGACAAATTATATAAACAGTTGTTTGCAATATAACCCTCGCTTAGCTACTCTGGCTATATTTCCTAACAGCCATTTATATATGGCCATATAACCTGTCAAAAATATTTATAACTAATAAGAGAAATGAATTTAGATTTAAATTTTTTTTAGTTCTGATTATTTTCAGTAAAGACCTTATTCTTATAATGTCATTGTTTATTAAAAATTGATTTGTGATCAGTATTATAGTTATTAATTCAGTCTGCCTACTACATGTATATATAATCAAAGGGTTTTGGGTTAATTCCTCGTACAACACCATATTGCTAAATAAAACTAGATTAACTTATTTACAATAGTTATTAAAGATGGACAGTTCCCAAGACCAACCTTTGTTAATAGAATTTGATGTAGCATTTTTCTGAAGGAAATCTATTTATCCATGTATAGACAGAACTATAAATGTATTAGTTGATGTAACAGAGTGTTAAAAAGAAATGTTTTTCATTTGTTTATTTAACTCTATTTTCAGTGGTCCTGAATCAGTTTTCAGCACTGTGCGCAAAAGCATAGATGTTGTTTCACATCAGGGTATTGGCATGGTGGATCTTCTTAACCAGCCACTTGAACAGCAAAGAGAATGTGACGGTTGTTCTCACTTAAAACAAGAAGTTGCCAACTTGCGGCAGTATGTTTTATGGCTGGAAGGTAGAGCTATGACAGAGATCCAGAATTTAAGAAGTTCAATTTCATGGCTCTTTGAAAATCAAAAGGATGAGGTAAAAGAAAATTTATTCTGGTTTATCCATGATGATTATTTTGACTGTAATTTAAACATCATGTCACAATTTCATAATCTAATTTTTAGCTTAGACTGTTTCACAGAAAAAAATTATAGAAATATTGCTATAGTTATGTAGATGTTGTTATTGCTTTGGTAAGCTCTTACTTTGTAATTGATAAATGGATAATCTTATTACTTGAAACAAGACCTGCTAAAGCATTGTATTGATCATTACAAAGAGCTTTAAATGACCTTGAATTTTGTCTAAATAGTCATAACTTTAATGATTAATAAACAGGTTTGATTCATTCTTGAAAAAGCAACACTTGTTTTCAATGAACATGTTGTAATATTTTGATATGACCTTGACCTGTAAATGATCTTGACCATTATGTTATGTGATTCAATTTTGCTTACATTTTCATTACTTTGTCATTAATTTATTTATTTGACTCAAATTTGGACAAAACAATACAATACTTGTGACTAGACTGAGCTTTTTAAAAGTAAAAAAGAACATGGACAGATTTTTTCTTTAAAGGCACATTATTTCTCAGAAATGAATATACAATTTTTTTTTCTAAAAAGGGTGAAAATTGTTTTGTTTTTTATATTGTAATGAATTTAAAGCATGTTGGCAATTGGAAGTGAAATATTGTGTCATAAAATAGCAGTATGTAAACAAAGCAGTATTTTGACATCCACTCTAAATACTCATTCTTTATAACTTATAATACTAGTTCCAAAAAAGCAAAGAAAGCAAATTATATTCTTTGGAATGGAAAGTTAAATTAAATTTGATAATTTTGCGCTGAAATTATACAATATAATTTTCACTGATGTCAAAGATTTAATTTCTTTTCACCAATTTTTCAGTTTTTAGTTGTCCTAAAAATTTCAAGGGTTAAACCTTTTTTTACAGAGCAAGAATGTTGACAGACAGATAGGGGAATCAGTGACAAACAAGTTCTTTACTGAAACCAAACCTGCAGACCAAGCCAGTGAGGTAATTTTTATTTCTGATATCTTTTTTGTACAAGAAATCTTTTAAAGTTTTATTATTGCCCTCCTACATTGTGAATGCTTTTCATTACTGGAAACCTGAAATAAATGCAGACAGGCAGGCTGTATAAATCGAATTTATTCATCTAGGATTGTTTTATAAAGTTATATTTTCTGTTGTAACTTACATATTACTTGTTTATTACTATGCATAGAAATACATATATTTTAACAACCTTTTTATTTCAGATGGAAGTTTTAGTCGAATCAATTGAAGAGCATCCCAATACATTTTACAATAATTTCACAAAGGTATTGTTTTAATACAATTTTAATATGATTTACATTTAATGGAGAACTTAAAAAAATATTCTGTTTACATTTTGAAATTGCTGGTTCTCAACAATGCTTAGCAGCTAAATATATTGAAGTTTTTTTTCTTTTTGATAAAAGCTTGAGTAGATAGGCCTTTTCATAGTAATGTATTCCAAAGGCTTACCTTAAAATGCATGATAGTTCTTGATCAGGATAATTCAGCTTTTATCACATTTCTTTTGAATTTGACATTTTGTATTATTACAGGCACAGTTAAGGGTTATTGCACATGCAGAAAAATCATTTTCAAAAGCAGCCAAGGCCCTTTTCAGAAAAATGTTTACCATGGAGGAAGTGAAAGGAAGAAGCCTTTCTGGTTTTGCTCCAAATAAAAACACACCAGCCAAGCCTGCTTTGGAAAACCAGGAGAAACTGCAGGCTTTATACAGTAATATATATCTCAGTTTATTAATCTAAACAGATAGTAAAATAAAAAAAACTGAAAAACACTAGGATTTTCAAAAAACAAAAGTTGTAAAAATTATTTTTTAATAAGGGTTTTCTATTAAATTTCAATTTAACTGAAGCAAATGGTTTATCCATTATACTGTTTATCTTATATGATTTAAAAAGGAAAATTCCTGCTTTAGGGTGAGAAAGTACTATTGAGTGGATGACAAAGATCATAGATGTCCTTGCTACAAAGATGTTTTTCTATATATTTCAGAGATTGTCCAGGAGAAATGGCCATGGGCATCAAAGGCAATGATCAACCTCAAATTGGCTGACCTACTCAAACCAAGCTATCAACCAAAAAGTTCTAACTGAACATTAACTGTTAATATTTACCATTAAAGACTACTAACTTAACTTTTCATTTGTAGTGCATTTCTATTTACTTCACTTTGACATCTATTAATGTTTCAGTGAGTCATGTGATCATTTTTTGCTCTGTATTATCATTAAGAAATTTCCCAAGTCTTTAAAAGGACAACATTATTGTTGTTTTTTTTTCAGAATATTTCATTGGTTGTAATATTTACTGATTTTCCATGGATATTATAGAAATTTCCAAGGTTTTTCTCAAATAAACCTTGGAAAATGATCTTGATGCTATAGAAAGAATCCTCTGAAAATATTACAGTATTCTGGGTTTTTGAGAAATTTTCCGAGGTTTTCATTTGAAAACCTTGGAAAACAAACCACGGAAACACTTTAAAAATCCTTGGAAATCGTTCCAATACTCCGAGGTCACTCATTTTACAAGGTTTTCTTAAAAATTCCTCGGAAATTATTTTACGAGGTTTTTATTCTGAAATCCTTGGAAATCGTTCCAATACTCCGAGGTCACTCATTTTACAAGGTTTTCTTAAAAATTCCTCGGAAATTATTTTACGAGGTTTTTCTTCTGAAATCCTTGGAAATCGTTCCAATACTCCGAGGTCTTACTTTTTACGAGGTTTTTAACCACGGAAATTTTTTTTACAAGGTTTTTTTTTGCCCTCTCCCAATTTTTCCAAGGTTTTTTTTTAAAGCAAACTTTTGCATTTTCTTGTTCCAATACTCCGAGGTTTTTTTCCAAGGATTTTGAGCCAAAAACCTCGGAATATCTACACCCGGGAAATTACCTTATTTAATACAACTGATATTTCACCTAATTTATTTTATGTGTACTTTACAGACAACACAAGTGCCTTTTTCCTGCTTTTTCTCTGCTTTCTTTTTTTCTTTTAAATCGATACACTTTTATTTAACCATGTGTTTGACATTATAATTCACCTTATGTACTGTCAATAACAGTTTAATAAAATCATGACCTGATATTTCTATTTATAGCAACCATCTGTTTATACACGTGAATGAAAAAGGTCATACAATAGGTCAAATTGCATATAGTCCGCCAATGCAGTGTTCAAGGGCATGTCAAGTTTAGGAATTTTACCATTGAACTATATTTTGTAATGAGATAAAAACAATGTGTCATTGTATGGTATACAGTCAGTTTAACCTATATAATGATGGTTATCTTGGTACAGTTGTCACACAGTATAGATTAATGAATTATTAACAGGTACCATGTAGAGTATAAAATTAGAAGAAAAAAAATATCTACTAAAAGTCTGTTACTGCCGGTAATTTAGAATTGGGTTGGGAATGTCAAGTGATATACATGTAAATATATTAAATTAAAGAGTCATTCATGATGGCTTGTGGTGCACTAAGAAATGAAAGTATGAAAACTGAATGATCCACTTTAACAAGTTAAATAATTGGGAATCCCATTCACCAAGATCTGGTGTTGTTTTGTTTATAAATTAGAGATGTTTTTGCCCCACATTTTGGGAAGGGGTCCTTCCCCTTAGTATTGAGGAATACAACACAGCATTTTTTACATGGGAAGAAAAAAACTTGGCGTTAATTGAAATGTATGGGAAAACTGCATCATTTTTCTGAAGGGAAGAAACCCTTACAGACTTACACTGCCCCAGCTATAGAATGGAAATACATTTTCAATTGATTTCTTTCAAATATACTTAGAATGAATATAATAACCTTTGGTTCAAGTTCATCAATTCTAACATGAATTTGCTGAGGCAGGGCAATAAGCACCCCAATCACTGAGACAGCGCAGGGTAACAACACATAAGTCACTGAGGCAGGCCAATACACACTGATCACCAGGACAGGGCAATACACACCTTAGGCGCTGTGGCAAGAAAGGGCAATACACACCTAAGTTGCTGAGACAGGACAGGGCAATATACACCCAAGTCGCTGAGGCAGGAAAGGGCAATATACACCTAAATCACTGAGACAGGGCAGGGCAATATCACCCAAGTTGCTAAGGCAGGGTAATTAATACACAGCCAAATCACTGAGGCAGGGCAGGGCAATACAAACCCTAGGTGCTCAGGTACGGTAGGGCAATACACACCCAAGGCATTGAGGCAAGGAAAGGTTATACACTTCCAAGGTGCTAAGGCAGGGAAATATACACCTAAAACGCTGAGGCAGGGCAACGTTTGACACAAAAGGTGGAGGTAGGGCAAGGCAATTCACAACCAAGTCACTGAGGCAGGGCAAGGCAATACACACCCAAGGCACTGAGGCAGGGCATGTCAAAACACACTCCATGGCAGATTTAAAAGAAGATATCACAATTAAACAAATCAAAGTGTGAGCTTGGAAACAAACAGATACCAGCATGAGTTTGGAGATGAATAAATCCAAGCATAAGCTAGAAAATGAATAAATCCTAGCATGAGTCTGGAAATGAATAATTCCTAAATTGAGTTTAGAAACAAACAGATGCTAGCATGAGCTTGGAAACAAACAAATTCTAGTTTCAGCTAGGAAACAAATAAATTATAGCATGTGTCGACAACAGAACATTATCATATATACATGAAATTTATGACTTTTACAAAACTATTATGGTTAAATTAACATGCATTTTTCTGAATTAAAATTCCCAAAAAATGTAAAAGGAAATTGGAATTATCTACTCAAACATTTGTTTAATCATATGAAGGAACATTATATCAATTAACATAGAGAAAGATGAACATACACTGTAACTCAGTCACACACTTACTAAATATTATTTCACAAGTTCTTAAAGATAGAATTGATCAGCAAATTTAATTAATTTATTGACGCAAATAACTCAGATAATAACTTTTCCATCAAATGTTTTCCTCTGTAACTTTAACAACTTAACATACAGTTTTTGAATTTGATCTGTAAGTAAATTTGTAAATAGTCTTAGAAGATAATTAAATAAATTTTATGTGACATAATGTAAAGTCAGATTTAAAAAAAAATGATTAAAAGAAACCAATTAAAAAAATTAAATCAAGGATGCAACAAGATGGTTGGAGAGAAAATCTAACTTGACTTATGTTTTGATAGTATATACTTGCATGCATATAAACACATCCAACTTGAAATTCTATTTAACTTATTCTGTTTCACAAAAAAGGGGTATAACTCTTTTAATAACATGTCGATTGAAATGTGAGAAAATTGAACATATTTTTTGTTTCACAACATCATCTGGATGTCACAAGTGTTCTCTAGTTTTGATATTATATATGTGCATGTCAAATATAACCTGAATCACTGAATTTGAAATCCAATGTTAATCCATCACAAGTTATTCTGCTGAAACAAATAATTTCACTGAAAAAAATGTAGTAAACTTAATTTATTAGTACATCTATGCGTAGGCTCATCTGAAAGGGGCAATTTTCACTTTGGCATTTATCAAATACCTCAATGGTTGTTTAACAAAAAAGATTTTCTTAAAAGGTGTGAAATCTAAAAGAAAAATGGTAAATTATTAAATAACTTCAGACTTCCCGAAATACGTCGGTCCGACGGACATGTCCGATAAATTTTGATCAGGTCCGACAAGTTTTTATTCCGGATCGGTCCGACTGTCCGGCTTTTATCCAAGCCGCATGTATACAAAATGGCGTCGCTAAAGGTGCCAAACCTCGGAAAAATAAAAAATCTACGTCAGAGGAACAGGCAGAACAGCAGTAAAAGGATAAAAAGAATAGACCTGAGACAAAATTTAATGAAAAATAGAAGCAAGACAGTGAATCGTTGGTGTATGATAGGGAGGAGATGAAAATGCGCTGTAAGGAATGTGCCGATTTTTACGGCGAAAAAATTAAAAACAAAAAGTGTCTTAGAAATACAAACACAAGTCATTCTTTGATTTTGATAAATTTTATTTGGTCCGACAGATTTCGTTTCGGTCCGACAGATTTTCATGGTTTGTCAGACCAAATGTCTGACAGTTTTTTTCAACTTTCGGGAAGTCTGTAACTTTGCTCTTAATCTGAATAAAATATTTATTTTTTTTAGTTCTATATTAGTCCAATATATTAGATGTTATTGTTATAGTTTATGTCGGTCATTGAGCCTGTTGCTTTGCCCTGAAGCAAAAATATCTCAAAGCGACATCATATTTATAGGACTAAGTTCTATATGTAATAATTCGATAAAAATACAATAAAATAGTGGTTCCAAGTAAAACTACTGGCAGGTTCATTAAGTCCAGGAAGCACTTTAGACTGTTTAAGTCTGATACCTTGGAAATATGGATACCACAGAATACGAGGCACCAGTATACCAATGTTGTTACTTGTTTACTAGATTGAAAATTCAAAAATATAATAACTACTCACATGTAAGAGTCCAAGTCACTGCAGTTGCATTAGCAGCATTTAATGCTTTTTCCATTTTTGGATGGAGTTAAAGGGACACAAAGTATAGCAAGTCACCAAAATTCAAGAAAATATAACCTGGACTATGTATGCACTTTCCAAATAGTTGACACTTGTTACGAACTATATAGAGTGCGAATAATCAACATCCAAATATAAATCAAAGCGATCTACAGTGCAAAAGACAAAATGGAATTGAAATTCAAAAAACATGTCTCACCAGAATAATATTTCCAGAAATACTTTCTCTAAGACATTCATAATATTGCTGCAATAACGCCTGTAAGTATGAAAATTAATTCTACTGTTTACCACACTACTAAAGTCTTGTGTACATTACCGCACGTGACCTGTCTGAAACATGTGCCGTGTTTATTGGAGCGGAAAGCCGTCATATTCTTACGCGACCTTGACATAATGTGTAAAAAAAAATTGACCGATATATTAATTATTCGTTTTTCTTAATCTACTCTTTTTATGTGACAGTATAAATTTTGAAATTTAGGAAGATACCGCTCTGTAAATGATTTTTTTTGTACATGTATCCGAAAGAGTTTCTAAGAAAAAAAATCGACTTCAGAACTATTTCTTCATGACACAAGCAAAACCTAATTATAATCTCAAACACGGTTGAGAAGTACAGTCGCACCTAGAGAAAAACGTGACTCGTGACGTCGTGTTAAAAATCTTAGAATTTTATTTTTAAACGGAACGAAAATTTATTTTTTTTTTATTTTTTTTTTCGTATTGTTTTTTTGGTAGTGTTTGATAGCTCTCTTCTTAGAACTAGCTTTGTAGGCCTACTGTTCAGTGGATCTAATTAACTTGTCAATAATGATTATTAAAATGGAGGAGCTTGAATTCTGTCCAATTCCAAAATGCATTGTGTCAATATTGTTTATTATTATATATAATGTATATACGTTTACATTTTTCTCACTTTCACTGGCAAATCGGTTGTTTGTAACAGCCCGGAAAATATGTATTATAAAACTTAGACTTTGTCGGACCGAAGGGCTGATAACTTGTAGCAACCCTTTTGCAAGCTCTAGATCTATTCTTATTGTACATTTGTTTTTGTGTTATTCAAATGTATTATAGTTGAAATAAAACATTATTAAACTAATGAATACATAACTATATCGAATATAAATATGTTTAAACCAATTATTAAAATTATGAAGCATAAAATTGTGCTATTTCAAAAGATTGAGGTATGGATCTGGGGACTTTCAGTCCAAAATTATGTGCAAATGCAACAATAAATTTATTAAAATGAAACACGGAATTTAAAAAATCTATCATTTAAAGCTTTGACCTCTAAGTGTGACATTGACTTTGGAGGTAGGGGTGCAGTTGTTGCGCCTGACATATCGTCTTATTATTGTAACCATTTGTGCAAAGTATTTTTAAAACACCTTGATCTATGAAAAAGTTATGGATCGGACACAAATTATACACTATAACAGACTATGTAAATCTTTGACCTCTACGTGTGACCTTGAACTTGGAGGTAGGGACACATGTGTTACGCATGACATATCATCTTAAATTATCATTGTGACTATTTGTGCCAAGTATTTGCAAGATCCCTTGATCTATGAAGAAGTTATGGAAGGGGCACAAAATATACCATATAACAGACTCTGTTATCCTTTGACCATCTCAGTGTGACCTTGACCTTGGAGGTAGGGGTGCAGGTGTTGTACTTGACATATCGTCTTATTATTGTGACTTTTTGTGCCTAGTTATTTCAAAATCCCGAAGAAGTTCTAGATCGTACACAAATTTTACCCTAAAATTTTCCCCTACATTTGTATGTTTACTTTAGACCTCAAAGTGTGACCTTGAACTTGGAGGTAGGGATGCAGGTGTTGCACATGACACATGTTTAATGATATTGACTATTTGTGGCAAGTATTTACAAAATCCTTTGATATATGAAAAAGTTATGGATTGGACACAAAATATACTCTATAACAGACTATGTTAATCTTTGACCTTCAAGTGTGACATTGACCTTGGATGTAGGGACCGGTTGTTGTGCATGACACATCGTCTCACTATATTGTGGCAAGTAATTACAAAATCCCTTCAAAGATAAGAAAGTTATGGACCGGACACGACATATACCCTAAATTAGACAATGTTGACCTTGAATGAGAAGAGCGACCTTGACCCTGGAGGTAGGGGTCTGGTTGTTGCGCATGGCACATTGTCTTATTATAACAAACATTTGTGCCAAGTTATTTCAGATTCCTTTGATAAATGACAAATTAATGGACCGGACACGAAAGTGTGACGGACGAACAGACGAACGGAGCCCATTTCTATATCCCCCTTTTTTCTTCGAAAAGATGGGGGACAATCAGGGATTAAATGTGCAGACGAAATATATACTTCTTAGCAATTTGCGAGCATTAAATGTCTATATTTTGGCGGTGTGTATCGGTATTATCTAAATTTAATTGGCACTGTCATATGATACAAAAAGGCAAACTCTTCATATTTCCATGAATGTTGATAATATAAATAAAATTTTAAGTACTCGTCTAGTAAGGTTAAACGTGAAAATCCATCATTACTTCAAGAAAGGAAGAATGTTGACAAAAGCGTCAATATATCGTGTTTCTTCTTTGCATAATTTATGTACTGCGTTAATTAAAGATAATTTAGTTAAAGTCGGTTTCAATAAACGTAATAAGTTAACATTTTGAGAAGACCTGTTCAGCAGCTACCACACACATAGAAGAAAAAATAAACAAGATACAAATGAGCCACGTCACGACAAAACTAACATAGTGCGTTTGCGACCAGCATGGATCCAGACCAGCCTGCGCATCCGTGCAGTCTGATTAAGATCCTTGCTGTTCGTTATTAATTTCACTACTTGTAATAAGGTTTGTAAGCGAACAGCATGGATCCTGATCAGACTGCGCGGATGATGGTGTTGTCGTGATGCGGCAATCAAATGACATGACAGAAAGCAACCACAGAAGGTGCTGTTATCTCACCATTCTAGGGAACTCGAACTCAATCAGAGCACCTCCCCCCACCCCCGGCAACAACGGATGCCCCCGGGGTGCAGGGGCCATCACGTCCGAAATTATGATGATTAAGGGTCTGAGGGGTAAGGAGTATCTCCGATCCCGTCATTTCACTTGTGGATGTTGGCAGTTTACCCTCCTCATCACGACAGTAAGCCACATTGGACTTAGCAGAGCACAGTTTAGCAACGGAAGGCTGTCAAGCAGACAGTGAGTTTGCCCTCACTTTCGCAAGGACTTGATAAGTTATGTACATGCCAGAGGTACAGTGCGAATAACCGTCATGATCAATCACAACGGAAGAGGACCCGGGTCGTCCGATTTACAGTCACTCGCTCTACGTTTTGAGCTTTAAAAATGTTTTGTACGCAGAATATCGAAATGTTTATAGAGCTTCCAAAATAATTATGAAAGCTCTCAAAAATGACCCTCAATGATGTCCAGACAGTACCTTATCTTAATGTCTTAAATTGGGATCGTTCTTTTAAAGTCCAAAATTGTCTTATCTTCTAACCATAAAATGATATTTATATGCACATAAGTTTGTCATTTCATTTATAATATAAAGGAGTTTTGTGATCAAGAAAATTTTTTATTGATAAATATATAGTTTGATTTATCTAATATTTGAATGTTTTCGCTGCTTTTCCTGTGGTGTTTTGCCGGATTTGGACAGACTTTAGCCGGAGTGGAACTATTGAAGAACTATGACATGGAAATGGTTCATTTCGAGCATAATTGGTCTTGTAAAGGTGGCTGCACCTTAATATCCAGTAAAGATCATTACAGTGGCTGGCATAGTGTTATGGTTTCAAACAGGTGTTTATTATTTTTCGTTTTCCTAACAGTTAAGATTTCTTTCCAAATAGAATTAAACTGTACAAGTAACAAGAATGTTTGGTATTTCTTCATATCTACATAATACGTATTAAAGAGTACCTTGGTAATGGTACCCAATATATTCCGAATAATTTTTTTGTCTGCTTTGATTTCTAGGCGATATTTTATAAAATTTGCAGAAAATAGTCACATGTAAATGAAATAATATCTGATAATCATAAGTATTATATTCTAATATAGAGTCTAAAGAAACAACAAAAAGTTTTTTTCAAAAAGCATACTACGATCCCAATAATGCATGCGTTAATGACGTCATAATAATATAGTTTTACAAACGGCATAATTATATGCAATACTGTTGTTGCTTGCTTTTCAGACATCATAATTTCGATGCTTTAGCCCAAAATGTCGCCGTCACTCCCGGAAATGTGTATAACTTTACAGCCTACATTAAACTGTTGAATCTTCAACATGGTGCCAATTATGAAACAGTGGAGGCCACGATGACATGCCTAGGGAACAATGGTAAAGTACATAGTGTTTTTAAATTCAAGAGTAACTGTAAATAACTATGTATTTATTGCAAAAAAACCGACAGAAGCAAAATTATGTAAAGGTCATTGGCCAATCAGTAACTTTTTAGAAATAACTATATACAGGACAAGAAAAATAATGAGCTTTTGATGTATGACGAGGATTTATTGATGGACGTTTCATAAAGATACAAATAGCTCTCTGTCGAGTAAAGAATATCTATGAACTGCATATACTGATGTTTATAGAAAATTTTGAATATTTTATTTGACTTTAAATATATATATATTTTGAAATCATCTATTGAAAACATTGACTTACTTTGCAGGACACAAGATATATTTGAAGTTTGGACACGATCCGTACGTTAGACTGAATACATGGACACTGTTAGGGGGTATACACCAGGTACCTCAAGGTATTTATTTTGTGACATGTTACTTTTAAAATGATTTAAAAACCATACCCCAACATAAGATACTTGCTTACATATACCAATTCATGTAAATTACCAATTAAAGTTTAAAATAAGCAAAAAGACCCTTTATGCGATAGTAATGTAGTAGTAGAAATATGGCGAAAATACTGCAATATCAGTCCCTTAATGGACATAACACTGTTTCTTAAATTTTTGATATCTTTACATTTGTTAAAATCTTAGTGTACATTTTTTCTCAAGTAAAATTTTCTTGAAACATTTGGGCTCATCTGGATGCATGCAGCTTTAAATCACTTTCAATAAAACCAAAAATGGTGCTTACACAATTATAGAAGATTAAGTTATCAATCAATGAAAAATGGTTTTAGATTTTTTAGATTTTGGTTATCAAGTTTTGAATTTCAGGTGCGCATGCGTGTCAGGTGGTCATACAGGTTAAGGATCCGAGCGTCAACTATCTGGTGGACCATACAAGTCTTCAAGTTGTACCGGAAAATGCCAATTGGAGGACAGAAGCTAACGCGCGAATAGAAGAATTAAGAAAATCTGATATCACTGTCACGTAATTTCAAAGGAGATTATTTTACTATGTTATATACATGTATATTTTTATTACACGTAATGATTTCCTATGCACACAATCTGCATTGATTTAGAATTAATGAAAATCGGATTAAGGATTTTGAAGAAGAAAACAAAACAAACACAATTTTACGATTGCCGTTGAAAACAAAAGGTGTGTTTTTACCTCATACTAAGGGAATCAACTCGATACAAGAATTATGACGATATTAAACAGAGTAATATCCCTTCCCTACTACGGAAAGGAATTATTAATGATACTAAAAAAAAATCTAAAGCTTACGTGTAAATGAAATTTGTTTCCGAATTCAGTCAATGAAAAAATATGTTTATTCATAACATCATTTATATACTTCAAAAGACCTTAATATTGGCTCAATAAAAACCACTGAATACCCCTCTAAACCGGGGAATAAAGTTGGTCTGGAAGTCATTTGGCTAAGAAAAATTCCACTGACCATAAGTTGTGATACTTTAATAACCAAAATTCATCAAGTAAAAATGTTATCAATACCAATAGTCCTTTTAACACACGGCGTCATATTAATAGTGATGCCATGGTGGCTGCTTTCGAACGTTTTTGTGCGTCGTGTTGGCGATAGCAACAACAGGACAAAGCGCTAAACGGCGCGTTGTTGAACTTTCGTTTTGTCGTCCTGTTGCTAACGATTTACGCCGAACGGCGCGTTGTCGTTCGGCGTGTTGTCGCGATGTCAGGTTGTCGCCCGGTTCAAATAGAAGTATTGGCTTATAAGCAAAGCGACAGTGCGACATCGCGCCGCAAGACAACGCACCATTTGGTGTGCTTCGCTAGAGACAAGACGACAGCGCGACAATGCGCCGTTGGGCCCTCTATCAGCCACCATATGATACAGCACAATAATCTTCGTACTAGGTTAACCGATGTTGGTCATAATTTATTTAGTTTTAGATATCATACTTTACAATTGCATTTTCAGATTCCCGTCCGATCAAAATGAAAACTACCAGGTGGAGGTGAGTATTATTTTTTTCAATCAGATATAAAAACATAGGAGAAGTGGAGGATGTCATGACGCCCTCCATAACTCCTAGGCAAGGGTTGGGAGGCATATCATTTGAACCGAAAACACTTGATTGTCATTGTAAAATTTTGTGTATATTTGCTTAAAGGCCCAGTAAGCCTACCAATTCTATCATTTTCATTTCTATTTTTTTATTTGTAGTGTTTCAAAAGGTTATTGACTGTCATTAAGCGCTGTTTCGCTTCTCTTGCATTTTGGCAATTAGTACGCTGATAGCTATCTCGTATTTTGTATGGAAACATTTCACTTTGTTTAAAGTTTGCTACCTTTATCACAGTCTATTTTACACTTTATTTATATGCAGCTCACATGTTCTATATCTATAATTACATCATCATAAATGTTCTCCCATACAGCAGGAGAAAAAGTAATTTATGAAGCAAGTAAATTGTACAGTTACATGTATTTAAAATAATAAATATATTTCAAGTATATAAATGAGCCGTGTCACGACAAAACCAACATTGTGTGTTTGCGACCAGCATGGATCCAGACCAGCCTGCGCATCCGCGCAGTCTGATCAGGATCCATGCTGTTCGCTATCAGTTTCTCTACTTGTAATAAGGTTGGTGAGCGAACAGCATGGATCCTGGTGAGACTGCGCGGATGCACAGGCTGGTCTGGATCCATGCTGGTCGCAAACACACTATGTTGGTTTTGTCGCGACGCGGCTCAAATGTTGTCATTTATGTTATCTAGCTTATACAAGACTCTCATGAGTTTGCTTTTGGAAGCGCTGTTGGTGCCAGACAAATTGTTGACCCCGCCTACCGGAAGTATGCGCAGGCGTTCTATGATAATTTTGAATGGGCGGTTCTAGAAAACGCTTTGAAATGGAAACTTATGGAAAAGACCAAGGTAAAACCAAAAGCTTCAGGTGGCTGATTCATATCGTGTTTAAACTCTCGAAAGCTAGATTTGTAGTTAAAATTTGATCTTTCCGAATATATTTTTATGTACCATATTGCTTTTGACCCTGAGGAGTTTTTGGCCGAAAAGTGCCAAAAATGATCTTGCATACTTCACCAATGATGGAAAGCCATAAAATGAGCCGTGTCATGACAAAACCAGCATAGTGGGTTTGAGACCAGCATGGATCCAGACCAGCCTGCGCATTCTCGCAGTCTGATCAGGATCCATGCTATTCTCTACTTGTAATAGGGTTTGTAAGCGAACAGCACGGATCCTGATCAGACTGCGCGGATGCGCAGACTGGTCTGGATCCATGCTGGTCGCAAACGCACAATGTTGGTTTTGTCATGACACGGCTCATTAAAGTGTGTCGAGTATAAAACTGCCCTCTAAACCAACACTCAATTTTAATTTTTTTTTAAATTTTATTTATCTATCGTCATGGTAGTTGGGTGAATGTCTTTCTTAGAAAGTGGATATTTAGCAAACAAATTTTACCACCAGACTGTCCATCAGAAAATCATTTTAAGTAAGTAGAAAGTAAAAATATGTCTGAGTGATATCATTTAGTCCTCAAACAATAGATAATGCTCCGTTGTTTTTTTGTTTTTTTTCTGTTTATGAAAGTGTGTTTTTGTTTTTAAAAAGTAAAACCAATCTTTTGAAGCATATTAACATTTCATATAATTGCTATTTGTTTATATGAACTACAATGACTTAAACTATTCAACTCTCTCTCTCTCTCATTTCAGGGACATATAGATTACAACACACCAATGACAGCCCTTCGTGCTCTAAATGGAAACGGGTATGAATCTATATCATAAGTATCATTTTCTTTAAGTTTTAAATGAACTGTATCTTTTTTAATGTTGTACATATCTTTTAATTTATTAGTTTTACAACGTTTATAGTGTCAGAAACTGTTTCACATTTACATCTCATTCGGAACTCACATCCATAATCATAATCAGTCCATAAACGAAGATTGACGGAAAGGGAGAACGTGAACGATGTTATTCAGTCCAGCAATAGACAAAACATAAGTTATTCTTGTCCTTTCTGTATCTAGAACAAAGGTTCGCGCCCACAACATATTCTGGGGTGTGAGAACCCATGTTTCTTCTTGGGTATCAACGTTGAGTCGTCAACAACTTCTTCAAGAAATAGATATGAGGACAAAGGGGGTTGTCGGTCATACTGCCGGTCTGTATGTAACCTTAGTCATTTTTCATAATTATTAAACTTGTTAAATGTGTTTAGTTATAGAAATACACAGTACTTGTGAAGACACATGTTCGTAACCTGAGTTGGGCCAGAACCAACGGCCACTGGGATTAGAGTCACTAGGCCAACGTTCTCTTAAATGTAGTTACAGTACTTGATGATTGGCCTACATATATGATGAATAATTGAAATTTTCATTTATCCATTGTGTGACAAAAATATGAAAGCTTCACTAACTGAAGCCAAAATTTCTGCTGATAATGCCATTTTTGTTAATAATATTTTCATAATTTTGATTATTGAGCTTTTTTCAGTTTACAACGTTTTTATCATGTATCTACTTGTTCGTACTTTTTTGTTTTGCTCGATACATATATGTATATTGTAACAATTAATTACATTGAATCATTATTGCTATTTATTCAGTGTGTGTGTCTACGTTGATAAAAGAATCAATGTGAGGACAATAGTGTCCCCAATTTAATAGTCATTATGTAGAGTTTATACAACCAACTTTTCTATCTTGTTTAATTTGCTAATAATAAGAGATGATCTCAGTTTTACCTTTATTTAATATAAATGTCTAGAGTTAAACACTGGGATGTTAACAACGAAAATATCCACGGTGATTGGTATGAGCAGACAACTGGGGACCCGAACATTACCATGAAAATGTTTCACGATGCTCATGCCGTTGATCCCAATGTCAAACTGTTCCTTAACGACTTTGGTGTGATGGAAAGCTATGCTGCTGTGGTAAATACAAATCTTTATTTAATAATAAGATCGATTCATCATTATCTTGCAAAATATTTCATGTAACACCAATTCAAAGCTCTATCTGATCTGTAATTGGTCAATCTACTACAGTAATAAAATAGATTTGCCTTGCTTTGAATTTGGCTAAAAAAATAGAGAAAAAAAAACGGAATCTCGAAAGAACGTCAAAAAACGACAAAATCAAAATCGTTGCAGGCTCGGTTTAAATAGATTTCAGCAAAAAAATAAAGATGGCTAACTTTATCTCTGTCATGAACAGAAAAAACCCGAGACTGCAATTTTCAAACATTTATTTTTTGTTTGTTTCATAGCTTCCGAGAGATTTACCCTTTTTCCAGATTAATTTGATTAATAGAGTATATTAACTTAGTATTTATTTAAATGTATATCAATTATAGTTGCCAGATATTTTTGCTGTTTTAAAAGAATAATTTCTTTCAGCCGTTACGCCATCAAGCGGAATTTTTTAAAAGTGCCGGAGTCCCAATCTACGGCGTAGGAATACAAAGTCATATAAAAGATACAAACCTTGATATAGGCAAGCTGAAGGTATATTAGTCCTTTTCACATTTCACAAAGAACTTTATGTTGTTTGTAAGATGAAAGAAATAAAGATTTCAAATTTGAATCTCTAATTATCAAAGTTTAAAGAATGTTTTCATATCTATTTATATGCATCCGTCACTTTACGGTACCAAACTGTAATGTTGAAATTGCATAATAAAACAACAAATCGATAAAGTTGTACATGTACATGAGGTAAGGAAAAAGTTGCTAATTATGTTGTAACGGTGGTTTTGTTTTACGCTATAGACTTTAACTATTCTTTTGAATCAATATTATTAACTATAGTAGAAATCCAAGTAACTTTTTTCTTTAACAAGGTCATAAAAATGAAAAAAAAAGTGTTCATATTGTTATATACCATTATGTGTCCGACAAAATGTTTTTTTTTATCATTTCTAAAAAGTCACATGGAGATATAAGAATGACAGCAATGTAAAAAGGATTATGATGAAGTATTTTCTTTCTGTTTTCTTTCCGCTCTTTTGTCGTCTGCTCATCAAACTAAATAAAACAACAACGACAAGGAAACAACAACAGAAGAAGAAAAGGGCTTGAAATATAACCCGAAGCTTTGTATTTTTATTCAAAACGTTGACAAAAAGCCTTTGACTGATCGCATTTCAGCACTTGAAGACTTAATTTTAAAACCTCTTTTAAATTACATATTTAGCGGTTAACGGAAAGGTAAGAGGGACGACGATTTTGTACGAACTGGTTATATTAAGTTTTTTTTTTGTATAATTCAAATTCTATATGGTCCTCTTAACTTTATTAACGACAGGGACAGTTGGACACGGTCGCCTCTGCTGGTCTCCCTATCTGGATCACGGAGCTCAGTCTTGCATCAAATGATGTACACTCACGGGCGACAGCCTTAACAGATATACTCACCCTGTATTTTAGTCACCCGGCGGTAGAGGGTGTGCTTTTCTGGGGATTCTGGGACGGAAAAATATTCAACCAACAAACAGCGTTATTTGAAGGCTCTGACGTTATGGTAAATATGGATACAATCTTTAATAAATGCTTTGAATATTGTCGGCACTATGCTTTAGTGGTATAAAGGCTAGTTTACAGTCTATAGAGCTACATGTTTATAACTGCTGTCTATAGCAGTATAGCTTACAAAATTATTGTTTGGATTTTAAAACTGATTAGTATATTCCCCTAATTAAAAGCAAATGCTTCATGCAAGAAATCTTGCTGAACTGTTAAAGAGAATTGGTCTATAATGGAAGGTCTGTAATACATGTAATACAATGAAATACTAACGTTGATATAGTATTTAGTATTAGACATCACAACAAACCATATGAGCCGCGCCATGACAAAACCAACATAATGGGTTTGCGACCAGCATGGATCCAGACCTGCCTGCGCATCCGTGCAGTCTGATCAGGATCCATGCTGTTCGCTTACAAACCCTATGACAACTAGATAACTTACAGCGAACAGCATGGATCCTGATCAGACTGCGCGGATGTTATGTTTGTTTTGTCGTGACGCGGCTCATATATATCTATATAGAAGATAATAAATTGAACAAATTACTATTTTTCATTAGATCAAGAGACCGAATCCTACAGGTATTGTTCTCATGTGTTGTCAAGGATTGTTACATAATTGAGTGGCCCCTTAAACCTTATACAGTGAGCCGTCCGGTTAGCTCAGTAGGTAGAGGTTGAATCGGGTGACCCGGATGGTGCAGGTCACTGTCGGTGTGAATGATCATGAAATCCTATCTACGGTCATTCGCACTGTACATCTGCTCTGGCATGTACAGATCGAAAATACAGTTCCTTGCGAAAGTGAATGCAACTAGTACTGGTAAACTGCTTGACAGCCTGCCCAGGACCGATGCGGTAGCTAAACTGTTCTCTGTTAAATTCAATGTGACTTACTGCACTGATCCGGAATGAAGACTACCAATGCTACCATGCACTGCACATTCTACCGTATTCATTGTACATCAAAACTGACATTGACCTTCAACTTGACATTCGTTTTTGTAGTTATGGATATTACACTTTCAATTAACACAGTTTCATTTGTATTGTTGGGACTCCCGAGTTCTGATTTCGTTAACATTCAGCTTAAAATGTACAAGAATAGAGTACATCAGAGTTACCAATGATGTTGTATCCTTAACCAGTTTTAAAACAAAAAACAACGAAATACATGGTTGATACGCATTTTGTAAATAAACCAGTGTTACACTTGATTAAAAAAATTATTCCTCGTATCTTCATTTTCATTTACAGCCAAATGAAGCCGGAAAGGCTTATCAGACGCTCTTTAAGACAACATGGCGGACTCACGTGACCAAGGATGTAAACAAGATAAATTCATTCTCTGTCCGAGGTTTCAAGGGAGGTTACACTTTGATAGTGCGGCATGATGGCCGGGAAATCAAACGTGAAACTTTCACTTTAGGTTCGACAGGAAAAAACATCAATATCAATCTTGGTAAGCTCTGCTGTTTTTATTTTGACATGACGGGACTTGAAAGATTAATTTTCTACTTTATGCAAGTCTAGAGTAGTACATTATGTGCAAAATTTCAGATCATACGTTTTCAGAATAATTATCCAAATTGTGACAAAAAACCAAAATTGAAAAGCGTTGCAACAAAAGTAAAGAAATTAAAAGAGGAAGGAAGGAGGAAGGAATGAAGGACAGATGAACAGATGATAGAAATTAATAATTTAAACACGTTTTTTTTTTTAATTTTCAGGAACATCACCGAGTATCATTGTTGGGTAAATTGTGGCAAGAGAATTGCGTTTTATATTGAAATAAATCATGTGATTCTTTATGAATATTTGTTCATTGTTTAATGTCCCGTTGAAAAGCAAAATAATATTTTTTTGTTGTTTTCCCGTTCTGTTTCTTTTGTATCATTTCTTTATTTAGTGTTTTACAGTATATACATTTCTAAGATATGCTTTTAGTTTACTGTCAAAAGGTATGGTCAGTCTGGTTAAAATCAGCTCTAAATAACGCTCCGCTTTGAGATCTGACCGTGACCATATACGAAATCATTTCTGGTGACATTTCACACAGTCAATCATCAGCGAGCTTCATAATTTTGAAAGCGATGTGGTTTCTAATTCTAACCCTGGGAAGACCAATTTTCACGATTTCGAGAACAAACATAACGTATAGCCGACAGGTAAACTTGCAAAACAATCTTGCCCATTAAAAATTGACTCTATTTTTTCAAGTCGATTTGTTATAAATTACTTTAAACATTTTTCTTTTAACAAAAATCAACAATTTGTTAAACTTTCACGGATAACGGTATTTTGATACTTCTTCTAATGTCTATGTAAAACCCCGTTTGATCGCATGGCATAAAATAGCTTTCTAGGGAAATCCGATTCATAAAGAAGGCGAAACATATATTCGGTCGTCATCAGATCTACATATAAGAAATAAGTAGATCTGGGCTTTAGATATTTTTTTGGTGCCAGGTAAAAATGATTCGATTAAAGACCCATTAAGCATCAAAATGATATCATTTGTATTTTTCAAAAAGTTTTTTTCTGGTGTTTAGTACATCAAGCGGCCTAGGGGCGTGAAGTTGGTGGCCCAGCGGTCTGAACTTCAAAGTGTTGTAGAAGTTTGTCAAAGAAATTAAAATGACTATTAATTTAGTTATTAAAACATGCCTCGTCATTTTAAAGTTTTATTAAAAAGAAAGAAAAATACATTCAGAAAGAATGGCCTGGCAACCTAAAATTTTATCAAATAACAATAAAATGTCACTTTGTTAAGTTCTTTAGATAGTTCTTGATAACAATTAAAAGAAACGTAAAAAGAAAGAATAAACCCACTTTAAGATAACTTTATAATTTTATCATTTTTGAGTGTAATTTTTATTCTTTTTATGTAACTTTTAAATGAAAGATATGTATTTAAAACTTAATTAGAGTCGTTTTATTTTCTTAACAACATTTTACATTTTATTTTCGGCCGCCAGACCGCCAACTTCACAAATTCTTTTTTCTTTGAGTTTAAATTAAATGTTAATGGACAACACCGCTAAGTTGAACATGTTTCACGGTTGATTCAATATACACGTAGTTTGTTTATGCTGCTTTCGTCCATTTAATTAAAAAAAATAAACATTAATAAAGAAAACATTACTGTATAAATCGGAGACATAGATTATCTACATCTCTGTATATATATAATAGTACAAAAGAACAAACAACAGTCAATTTACAATACTTCAAGGTAGTTTTGATGATATAATACAAGAAATTTAGATAGACCAATAAAGAATATAACAAAATTTATAATACTGCTCATTTGTAACGCCGCTTTTCATTGGATAATCGTGACGTTTATATAGTTTTTATATACACGGCTACTGTCGATTCATTTTTCTCTAAAAAATGATGCGTGTTGTATTATAAATTCGTCATAAAGATCGTTGATTTGCAATATAATCCTCGCCTTATATTTACAAACAGCCGTTTATATAAGGCCATATAACCTGCTAACAATCTTTCTAATCCCGTACCTAACGAATGTAAACAAGAGAAAAGGAGTAGTCTATTGAACGCACTTTTTTGTAATTAATATCAAGCTTTCAAAGATTATATTTGTTTTCGATACAGATGGTTATATGTATCATTACTCTACGTTGGTAAATATTTATCATTTGACAGTTAAAAAGTGCTTGTAAATCGGAATTTACACCGCGTAAAACCAAACCGTACGCGCATCACTTCAGCGCATGTTGTTTAGAACGTCGGGTACCCAACGGGGAAATTTAGTGTGTATATTACCCGTCTGGCTCGGTTATATCAATTTCTTTCGGGTGATCAATATCCAATCAAAAAGACGGAAAAAATCTGGAAGGGTAATAAAGTTTTTATATACACGGCTACTGTCGATTCATTTTTTCTCTAAAAAATGATGCGTGTTGTATTATAAATTCGTTATAAAGATCGTTGATATATAAACGGCCATTTGCAATATAATCCTTGTCGAACGGCTCGGGTTATATTTACAAACAGCCGTTTATATAAGGCCATATAACCTGCTAACAATCTTTCTAACTAATAATATATAAAATGTTTGTAATAACGGCTTTTTTGAAACAAAAATAATATATTAAGTTTCCTTACTTCTTTCCATTTAAAAGAGCTATAAAGTTTTTGACGTATTCGTTTGTTAAAATCGTTATTCTTTAAAACCAATAATCATACAAAAAATAAGGCACAATCTCAAAACCATTTTACTTTGGTATATTCTAACAGTTTTCTAAATTTAGTTATTGACCATATAGATGAACTATCTATTGGTATATAGTTATAGAGATTTGGTATTTTGTATGGAAGTGAAAATACTACTTTATTTACATTTTACTATCTGTACAAACATAACTAAACGTTCAGCACTACTTTTCTTCAGTAATATCACTCAAACCGTGCACAGTATTCTACAACAATTCACCCAAAATTGATAAAGTTATTTTTTCTAAACATGCTCAAAATCCATTATAAAAGCATTGTTAAATAAACATTCAACCTTTCGAATTTAAAAAAAAAAATTAATGTCTGAGGCATAATGTGCTTTTAAATCCAAATTGTATATCTGCATTTCTTCTTTTAAAAGTGATCATTTTGTTCTTGGACTTTCTCGTACAATATCTAAATGACAACAAGGCAGGTTTGTTCACAGTTAATGGCTAATTTGTTTGGCTCCAATACATGATACGATTTCTACAGTCATGTAAGCTAAAATATGCGTAATTGTTATTTAACGACCGAATTATTATGCCCTTCAAAGACGCTGGGGTATATTGTTTTGCATTTGTCTATCGGTTGGTCGGCTGGTCCAAATGGTTTCCGATCACTAACTAAATAACGCTTAGGCAACTTGGTATGGAGATTGTCCATGACCAGAAGGTGACCCTATTGAGTTTGGGTACAAGGGGTTAAAGGTCAAGATCATATTGGCCTTGTAGGTAAAACAGTTTCCTATCATTAACTTAACAACCCTTGTGCCCTTAGTCCTCAAACTGCGTAGGTTTGTTTTTGCCAGTAGATTACCCCTATTGATAATTAGGTCAATGGGTCAAGGTTATATTGACCTTGTAGGAAGGAACGGTTTCCAGTCATTTATTTGACAACCCATGGGTCTTTGACCCGCAAACTTTATAAGAGCATTGATCTTGGCCAGTAGATGGTCCCTATTGATTTATGGGGTCAAGGAATCAAAAGTCAGGGTCACATAGACCTTGAAAGTAAAAACGGTTTCCGATCAATAACTTGACAAGTCATTAGCCCTTGGCCCTCAGACTGCATAGGTGTTTTTGTCTTGGTAGATAGATGATCCTCCCTATTTTGTTTTATTAATGGTCAAAGGTCATAGGAAAAAACGGTCTCCAAACAATAAATTGACATCCTATGGTCTCTTGGCATAGGTGCATTGGTCTTGGCCAGTTCATTGCCCCTTTTGATTTTGGGATCAAAGTTCCAGGTCATATTGGCCCTGTAGGTTAAAACGGTTTCCGATTAATAACTTGACAACCCTTAGTCTGTTGGCCCTCAAACTGTGTAAGTGCATTGGTTTTGACAAGTAGATGACCCTGATTTATTTTAGTGTCAAGGGGTCAACGATTAAAGCCACATTGACCTTGTATGAAATAACAGTTTCGTAACAATAACTCGACAAATCAATGACTCTTGACACTTCACAAATGCATTGCTTTTGGACAGAAGCTGACCTCAATTGATGTTTTGGGTCATAAGGGTCAGAGGCCAAGATCTCATTGACCTTTTAGTTAAAAACTGTTTCTTATCAATATCTCAAATTCTCATTGGTCCATTACATTTAAACTTAGAAGATGCAGGGTTTGGTCTCTATGTCAAAAGTATGTTACAATAACCTGGCCACATGACTTATTTGCTGCCGATAGGGGGCATACATGTTTTACAAATATATATTGTAAGTTACTGAATCTGTAATGGGTGACAAATGTTTGATCAAAAACTGCTGCAGATGCTGATATCATTTTAATTTTATGACATTTTCAAGCAAGTGAACATGATATTTCGTTTGTTTGGACTTCTCTTATACTACAAATACAAATTAAATGAAACTTTCCAGGATTGATTGATACATAAAGTACTTGCACTTGAATAACATTGGTTGTGTTATGGCCCTTGAATAAAAACAAGTTGAGACCTGTTTATGAAATTTGTTTCTGCTGCTTCACAGTAGCTACAACATGCACATGGCTATCATCAGGCGTCAAATGTGATCTTAGTTAAAAATGATGCATTGCAAAATGATATAAGTTTGCGCATCAGACGTCATATGTCATTGCAGAAAGAACAAAAATGGGAAGTGTTATATGCATCCAACATGGGTGTCTTGCTAATAAGGGAGGAAGTGCACTCTACACGTTTGTAATATGGACTGTGGAGTTGTCTCCCTTATAAGTAAAAAATCGCAATGCTTTCTTGTATCATTTTAGATAAAGTAAGTGAGACAGTAAGTGCAATAAGTTGGGATAAGATGAATATCACTGAACATACCACACCATAACTGTGGAATGTTACTACCGTACCAATACATTCGGTTCTGTTCCTCAATTTACCGTCCACTTCTCATTGAAAAGCTACCCTAATTGCATAAACATGGGCCTTATACAAACTACATGTACATGTATTTGAACATTGTCATGAGCTCTTCTTTGTAAAATTTTGTTCAAAACTTTCCATTATCACTGCGAACATCTCGTTGTTAAGAGATTTAATGGGAGCAATTTGCCTCGATTTCTTTTAAGCTTTGTTATTGTTTTACTCTTGTAAAATGCCATGACTCTTTACATTCTTGTTTGCTGACCTTGTAGCGGCAAGCCTAAGTAGAGTTTAGCATTTTCAGAGCTTATCGTCATAGTTAACAGCATTTTGCGTTGCTACGTAGCTTTCCATGCCTTTAGCTTGGAGCTGTCTTTCATATTTCTTCTCATTACAATTTTTATTTCATATCATAATTTTTGACGATGATATTTATATTAACCAAAATACACAATAAAGTCACGGGGTTATTCCAACCATTTTGTTTGTGTTCTGTTATTTTTTCACAATTGACTATCTATAAAACAGTTATGTTTTTTCCTGGGAAATATAACCATTTGAGCCGTGTCACGACAAAACCAACATAATGGGTTTGCGACCAGCATGAATCCAGACCAGCCTGCGCATCCGCACAGTCTGATTAGGATCCATGCTGTTCGCTATCAGTTCTTTACTTGTTATAGGGTCTGTATTAGAAGTGCTGAGCAGTTCCAGACGATGCTATATCTGCTATGTAAAGATATGTGCATGATGATCTTTAGTTCTACCATTTTAATAGCTTAGAAATGCTACTGTCTGTTCCACATTCAAAGCTATTTGCTACATATGTTTTTTTTTAATTTATAAAGAAATTGCGTCATCTTACATCCCATATCTTTCAACCAATAACTAAAGTTCCGTCTGCTTTTGTACCTTGTCGCTGGAAAACTAGTTAGAAGATACCCGATAATAAATTAAGTTCAATTATAGTGAACTACTATTTTGTATAGAAGTCAAAATACTACATTGTTTTACTTTTTGCTACTTTTCATGACAAAATATTTCATGTTTGTCGCTTATTCCTTCAAGTAAGAAGCAATTAAAATCCCCCTAAAGCATTATTTAAATATTATAGAAATCATAGTTGCCCTTTCTGAAAAATTAAAATAAAAAATCTAAGGCATAATGTGTGATATTAAATATACACCATCCCATCAATGAAAAAACAGCAACTCAAAGATTCGACCGGCTTGCAGCCCATCTATTTATATTCTATAACCCTAATGTAAGATTTGTAAGATTGATGAATATCAATGGTTGAAACATTAAATGACATATATGTATTAACAAAACTTAATATATTGACCCTATGTGTGTGCTCTTAATTCAAATAATGCTTTGCATTTTAATGCATATTTCTTTAGGTGTATAGACGTATTTATATATGCGGCAATATAAATGAAAAATGATCAGGTTTAATGAAAATGAACCTGCATCATTTAATTACATTACATTTTGCATAACATTTTATAATTACATTCAATATAAACAATTACCCCCACCCCCACCCCCTTTAACTATCTTGTCATTTTATGATAGTCAATGGTACATTGTGTATTCACTATGTTGATAACTTGTAAACACTGATTTGGCAGCTTGGGACATTTTCATCATTTTACCATCTTAAATAAATCAGATTTTTATCATCTTGGTTTAATCATTGAAATTTCATTTACATTGGTAATATAACCTTTAATACCCCGCCACATAAAATAAGACCACATATTGCGTTCCCGCATAAAAGTTCTATATCCAAAATCGTATAGCTGTCTTAATGCTGACAATTGTTTAGCTGGCGGTAAATTGCCCCAATAGTCCTTTTGATTTGCATGTTCTGCAGAAAAATGTGTCTCCATGGATATTTGTCTGACGTCATCAAGTGTTCCGGATGAGATCATTTGTGGAATAGCGTTCCATTCATCACCTTCTATGTCTATTTTTAGCAAGTCGATAGTACGCTGAAATACAAAAAAGATGGAATAAGACTCTAGTTTGAACCTGTTCCCCAATCGGAACACATCGGCTATTATTCATAATAACCTCGGACTTTATACGGATGGAAAGTAGTTCTACCGCGTGGTTTTAAATGTTAAAACAAAACGAAGGGAATTCATCTTTGATAATGTGTAATGAATGGATATAGTTTACATGTTTGAATTTGACATCCAAATGGAAATAATGTCCATTTGGTATGTTTGCCAATTTTCATTGGATAACCATGACTTTTATGACACGGATGCTGCAAAGTAAAGCATAATTAAACGGCTCGGACTATATTTTAAGCATTAACGTTTCTATACAGTAAAGATCTATACATGAGTTTCTTAGAAAAAAATAAGCTTCATGAAATGGAACTTGATGATGAGAAATCAACAGGCTAAATATTGGACTTTCTAACGATTAGAAAAACTACATCAGGAAATAAGTATCGCACTCAGAGGATCACTATAAAAGCTTCAAATTCTTAAAATACTGGCTATGCAATGATTGTGAATAAAATACGTTTTAACTAAATAAGGGCATAATTCTCTTTAAAAAATGTATGATAGAAAATTTTCTGTCGGAAAGGTTCACCTTAAACACCTGCTTTACGTTGCTTTATGTTCAATAACAACAGATTTGGAAGGATTTTGCGTGTCTAATGCAAATTATCCGAAGGGAATTCAAATTGAATATGAATTTAAAAAGATGAGATATCTCGCAGCCGTTTTCTGGCCTCTGTTGAGATAAAGTGTAAATTGTGTAATAAAAACAAACATATTCTAGCACTCTTACATTAGTGTGACCAAGTTCTTGGCGAATCTTATCCAATGTTTTTATAGTCCATCCTTTTGAGTTTACTTCATTTTTACCGCCAAGGCCCCATCTATAAAACCATATATGTTCAGATAATTGTCTTGTCTCGTTGTTCATGCTGAAATAGGTTATTAGTTCATACAAACAGAGAATATTAGTTCATATAGATAGGGAATATTAGTTCATTCAAACATAGAATATTGGTTCATACAGATAGAGAATATTAGTTCAAACAAACAGAGAATATGAGTTCAAACAAACAGAGAATTTAAACCATTGAAATGAGCGTCAATAATACTAAATCAATTGTTGTTTCTGCCTTTTTTAGCTTCCAAAAAGTTCCAAATCGGCCAATTACTGGAATTGTTTTTTAGAAATTATTTAGGTATTTTGTATGAATGTCACTACTATCTTGTTTCCGTTTTGCACTTTTTATGACAAATAATTTCCTATGTAGTGCTAATTTTCTTCAGGTGATAAGTATCGAACGTACTATTATTAAAATAATTATTTAAAGATACTAAAATTCATTATTACAAAATATTTGTGTCTTAGCCTCTGGGGCTTAGCAAGTTTACAAGTTTTATTCATATCAAACCAGAAGGTCAACGACCAATGTGGCAAAATGGACAGAACAAATTACAAATATGGCAATTTACATACTAGCATATAAGACCTGCATAAATAATATTAACGAACATATTTCCGTTTCAGTGTACGTAACAGTAAACAAAACTTACTAGCAAAGTGTTGAGTTTTGCTTATATAATAGTTTACATAATTACAAACATAATTATAGCAATGAAACTGGTGACAGATATGAATATAAACTGTCCAAAATACATAGATAACTAAGTGATTGAAGCAGTTTCATGCCTTTAACGTTTTTTTTTTACCTGGGATCAAAACAATGGACATCACATCCAAATCTGTCGACAATATCTCTGTCAAAATCAAACAAGTGGTTGATCCTGTGAATATTAAAATAATGTAAAAAAAAAATTAAAATAATTCTTTATTGATAACAAAAGCATTTGAAATGTTTTGATTTCTCGTGTTCGTGCGCATGAGCGGAAGCTAAACTTGGACTGTACAATGGACTGTTTCAAGAGAAGTCGGTCTTGTTTAACGAGTTATCTCCCTTTTTTCATTAAATGCTCTATCACCATGGTCGAAGCAGCATGCCTAGAGCATAATGCATATTATCATGAAATTTTTTAAAAAATGTATTAAAAAGTAAAATACATGTATTGTCAAGTGAAGAAAGAAAATAATTTTCACATTGCAGATGGCACTAAAAATCTTGTTCAATGACAAATGATAAGTGTAGATCATTTAACAAAATAAACAGGAGTTATTATATATAAGGGGGGGGGGTACTTTAAATAGATACCAAAGTTAACGCTTATCTCTTAAGCAATGTCTGAATTCTCACGAAATTTGGACAGATGAATGATGCCCCTTTGTATAGATTTGATAAGAGGCTATCTTAAACAAACAATAGTAAATTAATCACGTATATCACGTATTTACGTTTAACTTGAAATTTGTTTCTGTTATCTTGTCTCCAGATTAGAACTGAATTTATAAATTTAACTTAGTTGCAAAAACAACTGAATCTTACCATGTGTCACAAAATGAGAAAATTAAATCTAGATTGCCATATTGCTGTTTTTAGTTTTTACCCACTCACGTGACACAAATGTACTAAAAATAGAGGGGCTGATGCGAAAGTTTAAAATTATTCTATATATACTAGTAACCGATTTATTTTAAAGACAAATTGATTTATATCCGTAAATTGTTTAACCTACACATTTCAATGGAGAATTCCGTGACTGCTAAAACACAATATTATTTATACATTAAACGAGCCAATTCATAGATTATCTGTACCATTGGCTTTTATACCTGTTATGTTTGAAGATGGACATGCCACTACAAATACACAAAATATTCAAAGTATTTTTCTTTTCTTTTCTTTTTTGTAAAGAATATAAAGTATATATTAACCTACCCGAATGAATACACGAGACAGGGTGCTTTCGGTTTATAGTCTGGATCAACACATATTTCTTTACCACCATCTTTGAGATTCCCAACACGAATAATGTCTTTACATAAAATGTGTAACATGTTTATATATCTGAAAATAAAAAGCAGCAAGAACATGCGGCAGTTAATGATTGCTACAAAATGTTAATTCGACGGTTATAACAAAATGTGCCTCAGTAAGAATTAAAAAAAAAGAAATTATGTTTGTCAATTAAAACTTTTAATAGTCAAACCTGTAGTTAATAACAATTAGATGGCTAGACCACTTGCATACAAAAAAACCCTACATTTACAGACCGCAGCTATTTTTTCCTGTGCCATTATATTAATTTTGACAAACCTGTAATTATATGCAAACTTTTATCTAAAAACAAATGCATGACATAGTTTCATGATCTAAACTTCTTTAGAATGTTCTATTGATCAAGTTTGCAGTATCAGTTATACGATAAAAACAGACAACAAATGACGTACAAAGGCTGTTTAGGACATGCTTGATAGTGACTCTTTTGTTTTACTAACATTCAACGAACCTCCAGTAAATAAGCAGAAGTTGTGTGTCATCTAGCTTGGCGAGTTCCTCGTCTCCAGGAATCTGTGCGGACTTTGGTAAACCGTCAACGCTGCGCACAGCTTTCGGTGCCTCACTGTTTCCATGGTAACCTGGTAAACTTTTGCTGCTTGTATAGTTAAAAACACCTGTTAAAAAAGGCAAAAATTAACCATGAAATATCAAAAACAATATGATTTCCTATGCCTTTCTAGCTATTGCGCTTCTGTGGCCAAGTGGTTAAGGTCGTTGACTTAAAACCAACTGACCCATCCCCGCTTTGAGTTTGGATACCATAAGCGACATGTTAAAGAACTATCCGGCTAAGTTATGAAACGTTTTGATGGTTCATTTGGTGCCTGGTGGGCATCTGAGGTCTTCCTGAACTGTCGCCATATGTAATTAAGAGTGCCGATTTGATTTAAAGTCTGCCAACATACAAGAATTACCATTTTTTCTCTCTTGAAAGTGATTTAAAATGAAAAAAATCCCTTGTGGCAAATAAAATATGATTAAGTTTTCCATTTTTTTCTTAAATATGTTTCACTTTATTATGAGTCTCTTCAATTGTGCAAAAAGTAAGACTATAGTTAAACGCTAACTTCTTTGGCTATGTTAAAACGTACATTACAATATGAAATTCCTCAATTGGATATGTTACAGTTACATAATTATTTACAGTTGTTCAGAAAACATTATAGCAATTGCACTTTATGTGCATGCGCTTTTCGCTAGCAAACGAATTGTACAAACAGAAATGTATTTTGAAATAACAATAAAATGGATTCATTTTCTGATTTCAATTTTTTTTTGCAATTTTCAAACATGAGAGATAAAGCTTTGTAAACTTTAAAACGTGTGTGTGCTTGATTTTTTTGTTCGTCTCACGTGCAATGGTAAAATATTTTGATTTTAGACTAAAACCCTAACATACAATAATGTATTCATATCATGTTTACTTATCCAAACAAACAAACTTATATCAAAATTTGCATTAATAAACACAACTACAATTAATTCATCACTACATTTATCCATAATTAAAGCTTAAAAACGCATAATTTATATTCAACACTTTATGTGTCTGTTTGGCGAATGGATTGACCGATTTTCGTTCAAACGGCAAATATTTATAGGGATTAGTCCTTAAGGGTGTTAGTACATGACGATTACTTTTATATGTAAATAAGAAATTCGAAACAGCGTAGGTCTCTTTTGACTTGTTTATTTTATAAACTTACATACAAGCCCCCTTGTCGAACCTACCTTGTCTTATGATTTTCAAAGCCACATTTACAGCTCTTAAAACTTCAACACTGAGAAGAAAATACTAAAATTATTTTCTAACTAGGCCTAGTGCAAGACTTTTTTAATTTGACGACACTCGGCGTTTTACGACAGGACATGTTAATATTTCAGAATCTTCAACATCCTATACTTTGTTATTTTACACCATGAGATACTGCTGTATAGCTGCAAAACTTTATAGCTTATTATAATTATATGTATTTGTCCTTGACTTTACATTACTAATTCTTCTTTCAACAACTGAGATGAATGAATATATGAGCCGCGTCACATAAAACCAACATAATGGTCTGATCAGGATCCATGCTGTTCGCTTACCAACTCTATTACAAGTAAAGAAACTAATAGCGAACAGCATGGATCCAGATCAGACTAGTCTTGATCCATGCTGGTCGCAAACCCATTATGTTGGTTTTGTCGTGACGCGGCTCATATACATGTAATTTAATATTTATTTTTATATCCATTTCCAAAATCAGTAAGAAATAATAACATGGTATTTGTATATATTTAAAATTTATTTACTATTTTGTTAATAAGATACTGTTTAATCAATTAACGAAAATAATGAGCAGAAACAAATAATCTCATATTTCTCACATTCATGGATGTCATCTCCGATCTATGAGAAAAAAAAATGAAAAGTTCGAATATGGCCAATTTTCGTATCATTTTTTAAGCTTATTGGAAACACGTATCATGAAAATCCCGAATGATTTCCTTGTACAACGACGACCGTCATAAAAAATGATATGTTAGAGAGCAAACTAATAATTATTGGTGTAAACACGTCAAAAAACATGTCACGTGATATTTGCAATGTCTCGAGATACAATTGCGTCTTCTCTGTCCTTTCTGTTACATTCCGGAAACAATACGGCATTTCGGTCTAACTTACGCTAAGAAACTATCTGAAATGTTGTAAGAACTCGTGGTTCAATCCTTTTGCTTAATTTGTATTGATATTATGATAATATACTGATACAAATATATACAAATATGTTTAGATCAGTAATGTAAACAAATATTAACTTAATGTTGGAAGTTAGTAACAGTCCACCTAAATTAAGAAAAGATATAAATGTTAACAGTAATTATATACATATTATTCTGGTTGTAGACGCCGAAAGTAACAAATATATACCTGTTGGATTTAGTCATGACCGTTTTTAAATAGATTAATGATTGTCTCAACATACTTCTATCGAAATAAACTTTTTTCCTTTGATGTCAAACATATAAACTCACACTCTCTGTTTTTGACCACGTGGTAGAACTAAACATTCAATCCGTATTAGGTCTGGAATTATTATAAATAATCGTCGAGCATTTCCGATTGGGTCATTTTACTTTCTCGTTTAATCAGACCCCCTCCTCCCCATTACCACTTAAAGTTCCTTTGCAGACGTAATTATTTCATTTAAAAGAACTTAGCTAAAATTTGGAATGTATTTGTTTCTTCTAAAATTCTAAATTGGCTCTTGGAAAGAGTTAACAACAGTAATTTCTTACATAAAAAATAAAACCCATATTTACAACATAAATTGTTGCTTTTCAACGTATCACAATGGTAAGACATTAGCAGTTTTTCTGAAGATGTTTAAATCGTCCATGACCTACTGAAGGACATTGCTATATTCAACTTTCAAACTGATAACACATATCTGTCTTTACCGAAATATTTGAGAAACCATCAAGTCTTTTACTTTTTTACATCTTGCTATGTAACACTATTAATTCAACTGGTATAATGACGGTAAAAACAATATACAAATGAGATTGTTATGGGGAACTGTCATGGCATTGGACGACATAAATGGTATTTCGCTAGAGATCTAGACCACAGATTTATAATTTAGAAATCTGACAGTAATGTTATGTAAAAAAGTCCGAACTTCTCATTCCCAATGCCCCAAAACAGAGTATTGTAGCTACTTCCCGGTTGTTTTTATCTTAAAGTCAAGTGACTCGTGTTTATTTTATCGTCTATGGTTAGAGATAAAGATGAACCGTTGAATCTTTAGTAACGTCCTTTATTTGAAATAATGTACGTTTTTTAAAGTTTTTTTTAAAGGAAACGATCTTTGTCCGAAACATATAGATATATCGATTCACGTAACAGATAACAGCTAAAGAACATTATATATGGACAAACAATCGCGTCAAGCAATGATTGCCTTTCCTTAGACATAAGAGTGGTGTTGAAATTACGACAACCTAGCATGTGCGAGGTGCTGGGTAGCCACCAGCGTAAAGATCTTACCTACTTTACTTATTTATTCATTATTTCATGTTTTTTATCATTTTCGATAATTTATGCAATGTATGATATGAAAATATATCTATATCAGACAAACAAGCTAAATAGATAGTCCTGTTTTTGTATGACAACACAACAGAATGAAAACACATACCGGAATATACTTTGAAAAGACTACGTTGCTGGTCACCAAACGGCTCTCCAGTAGTACAATTCCATATTGTTTTATACAGAAATGAACCTGATTCACTACTTAAGGATATGTACCGTGTTGTATGCAAATCAGGAAAAAATGATTCTCATTTCGTTGGTGATATGAATATAAATAAATTTCAAATTATTAGAGATTTTAATCATAAACTTTAAACAACAGCACTCACCTGATAGTCGTCTGATTGTTTATTTTTATAAACAGACGACAATAATATTAAAACTCCCGAAATCAAGCACACTATGGATACAACTGCATACCTTAAACGTTTCATTATTTATCTTTGTGCTAGGTACTTTGAGTTGAATGTATTGAACGTTAATACGTGACAAGCGGAGGCTATCCGAGGGGTTTTATTTGTTTAATGATAAGTCAAAATAGTCTTGTTTCTAGTAGTTATTGTCAGTTTGGTAACGTGTTAGCAAATTTAGAAGTACATGTTATGACAAGTACAAAGGATTTAGACAGAATTATAAGCCCAAATAGTTATAAAGTCAAAATTATAAGTTTAAATGACGAGACCCTCGTAAATTTGGCGATGACCTAACGACATCTGCACATTTAAACATCTGACGAAGTAAATGGTTTGTATTGCGTTATTTACGCCGGTATTTTATCAGTCTTTATCTTCATAAATGATTAAATTTTCTATTTCTCAAAAAGCATTTCTCATCTTTAAACTTCAGTATTTTTTAAAAAAATGTAATTAATTGTTGAAGATGTACCATAATAAACATGATATAAAACTTTTACTTGGTGCAGAGGGCTTACAGCTTGCAGCCCGATCCATTTGCACTGCATTTGTATGAATATTTATTTTTGTATCATTCATTTTATTATTATGTATATATGTATTGAAAAGTTGCAATAAGTTATAAAATTTAACTTATTCGCGGCGGCTTGCATGTAAATGAATTTTAAAGTTTCGCTGCCAATTGCATTGAAACAATAAAGTACTCGTAACATACATATTGGAATAAAATGGGATATACAAAATTTTATTTGTTAAAGATGTTGAGCTATTAACATATGTTCGAATAAAAGCCGCTTCTAAAAACCACATGGCATCATCACGCCTGTGTGAATTACACGCAACACCGATATATCACCATGACACGCACTTGTTCGTGTTCATAATTGTTTGTGGTCATTTATACTAATATTTAAATGTCCTTGGTTGTTTAGTCTAATTTTATTGACCTGTCAATTATGAATACATTATAGCACTCATTTTAATATTCGACACTACTTCGGTTCTGTCCGTGTTGTTTACAAGAATTAAAGTCACACCAGCTTAATGTCGCAACCGTAATATCCATTCTGTAAATTAATGACCTAATATATGAGAGATCTATGGTTCGATCCCTACTGTTGCCATTGTTATAGACCTACTCTTTCTGTTTTTCTGCATTATATTTTAATGGAAATGGCCGAGAACTTGCAAAATTGTCTTTAAGCAACATAGCAACTTAGACATGCTATTTTGGCTCGATTTATATTGTGTTTTACGGCATTGAAACACAAAAAAGCAAAGCAAAAAAAAAAAATGAAAATAATAATAAAAAAAAAAATAAAAAATAAATAAAAATAAACACACCTGACTGCGAAAATCAAACGAAAATTACCGAAAATCTATCGCAGATTAATATATTTCGTGCATTACCGTATTATTATGATCAGTGAGTAATTGACAGGTTAATAAAATCAAAAACTACTCCTGTAAATTAAATATCAATGAAAAAAAAAAGCGATATAACCCTTCCATGACCTCTTGTATATAGTGAAAACAAGATAAAGGATGTGTTATCGTACGTATACAAACAATTTGTAAGTTTTGCAAGTTTTAATCTAATGGTCAAGTTTGTTCTTATAATCAAGTTTTCAACATGTGATTATGCTATCATGAATACCTATGACCCAATTACAAATGACCATGACTTTTGTCATGTAGTTTCGGATTAAATATCACTTGTAATTGTACAGCAAATAAATATCTTCTTACTCCGTACTTACCTTCATAAAAGAACTGTGTGCAAAAAGCATCAAAGGTGGAGTTGATTTTTTAAATATTAAATTAATTTTTTAACATTGCAGTGACTTTTGGTTCACAAATGATTAATTGTTTATAGGTTATGAGTTATAATGATACTTATTGGCCATAAAGCCGAGTGATTTCAGTTATAGTGATTTAGTATTTTATATGGATGTCATTTGTAAAATGTTGTTTTTATGTACATTTTATAACCTATGGCACAACATTTTATTATCTTAAATTTGAAGCTATGTTTTTTCCTTCAAAGGTTACAAAAATGTTTTAAATTGGTTGTTGTACACATGTATACCCTTTCTACAGTAAAAAAAATCTATTCATTTATTGAGGGTTTGTGTCCTTTTAAGAATATTCATACACGTGTCATATTGTTATATTTGGAGGTCAACGTGTCATAGATTCTTTGTATGCAACGTGTCGCTTTTCAGAATGGCAGATTACAAAGACAGGAATGGATTTAGGTTTTCAAATATGGTTGCCATAGTAACGGGAGGATGTCATGGAGTAGGACGTGGATGTGCCGAGATTTTTGGTAGTTTACTAGAATGAAAAGTTATTCCGCATGTTTTTCATATATAAGTTTGAATGTTTTCTTACCGGAGCATGCATAAATATACATAATGTACAAAACATTTGTTATAAAACATATCATCAAAATCAGAGAGAAAAAAAACAAGTATTGCCATAAATATAGGATATTAACGTTGGTTGTGATTCATGATTTATAGTTAGATAATAATTTATTGCATACATAAATATATATCAATTCTTTTACATCAAGATAAATACATGTACGTAACATACAAAAGGGTTGGGCCCTTCCCTGTATATCCTTAACATCAGTTTCATAAAGTAAACATTTTTCTACATAAACGTAAATATACATGAAGTAACTATTCATGTTCATTTTTAAGATTCATAAATCATGTCATCACAGTACTTCTTCAATGTTAATATTGAAGAATGAGAACAAAGTAAATATTTATAGAGTAATGAATGAAAAGTAAAATAAATTAATAGATTATCTTTGGTTTATTTAATAGCTGAAAATGGAGGGACAGTAGTTATTTTAGATATAGACGGTAGGTAAATTTTGCATATGTAGATATAACCAGTGTCACATATGGTGTTAGTATTCAATAAAGCAAAAAATAAAACATGTAATAATGATATAATACATAAGAATTAGTGTTATAACTGCAACGATAAGCTATCATTAAACTGATTTGACCAGAAGTGCACATGCATATTACATCACCTAATGCATTCCGACAAGATTAGTTGATGTAATTAACTTCTGGTGACTTCCCCGAATTATAAAAGTTAAGGAATTATAACAAAGATTCAAGTATGCTGAATTGCAAGTTTTCTCGCATAATTTGGTTATGAAGAATTCAAAACTGAGTTTTGGTATAAACTTCTTATTAGTTGTAACAGTTTGTATGATACTAAATCATACACTCAATCAAAATTGTATAACAACTATTTTAAATCTTCAGTTATCATTTTTTTATATTTCAATTGTTTAGATGAAGTTGGAAAAGCATTGTCCAGTAATGGAAACGGACAACTTGTCTACATGCATTGTGATATGCAGAGTGAAGAAGATATAAAGGTATATTGATCATGTCCTATAAATGCATGACTTATTTGTTCTCTTTGGCAAGTGACAAGTCTATTGACATACGTTTTCGCGGCTTCGGGTCCTGGGAGCAAGATTATGTCCAGTGTTCAGGTCACTCACGGATCATTTGTCCTGAACAAATAGTAGTAGAGTAGCAAATGCAAAACATGTGATGTAAAAAGAATGAAAGTCAACCTGTGGTCAGTATAACGACTAGTTTATTACAGTCGTCACATTAATTCAGGCATTTTAACGTGTGCCAACATTGTATGTGAACACTATAATTATACATATTTTTGACAAGTTATATGGCTCTATATGAACAGTTGTAAGCGAGACAACCGTTTTTCAATTCATGATACTGCGCAATTTCTTTCTTTGAAAAAAAGAAAAAAGAAAAAAGAAAGGTACATATGTAATATATAATTTATAACGGCCGTGAATACATAAAATATAAACTTCGCGTTGATCCATTAAAAGTTGACATTACAAATAGGCAAGACTCAGTATTATTAGAATGTACATGGAAAATATTTATTTAAGGTTAAAGTTAGTTCGTTGCTTAACTTCAACAATAACTATTATTGCCTAATGAATCTTTTCTTTCATGATTTGATTTAAATAAATCAAGAATTAAGTTTTGTATCTTTAATGCTATCGCAAGTTAAATCGCTTGAAGACTTTATTTATTTTGTAGAATGCAATTCAAGAGTCTGTTAAAAGATTTGGAAAAATTGATTGTCTAGTTAATAATGTAGCACGACGTAAGTTTTCTTTCTTTTTTACTCTTTGCTTTCAGAATCAGTGTATATCATACAAAGTCAGATTTAAACATGGCTTTATATATTCTTAAAATACAGTCACTTGTCCTATATTATCATTTACTAATCATGTATTAGTAGTTTTCATTTTGAAAGCCTATAAATATCTAGATAGAATTTGGGAGAAAAAAATCAACAAAAAAAGGCGATGCAGAAAAAAATAATCCACCCAAATTTGGTCTGTTTTTGATTTTAATCATTAAGATAATTTCTCTATGAATTATTAGAAGTGTTGTTCGTAAGAAAGAAATGAAAGATAGCTGACTTAGTAACTACAGTATATGAATTTATTTGTTTTTATAATTGATATTATGAGGCTTATATTTCTCATTTCAGATCCAGGTGTTGGTCTTATAGATGATATATCTATACACGATTTTAAGGACCTTCTTAACATAAATCTCATTGCAAATTTTACCGCCAGTAAGGTAATGTGTAACAGTGTAACATATGACATATATTAAACTACATACTCCATAATTTCTGAATATACATTATACATGTATTAATGTTAAAGGCTCATAACGGCTAAAAATGCAATACTTATTTAAGAAAAATGTAAAAATTATTTTTTGTTTTACTGTGACAAGTAATAAAAAGTTACTTATTGGTCATATAGCTTAGCAATCTCATGCGTTTTGACAATTAGTACTCAGATATACCACTTGGTAAACATTTAGCTTTCCTTATCACAGATTATTTCACACTCAGCGTTATATTCCAAGGCAAGGGCGATAAGAACCTTATATTTTCTAAATCAATTATTTAAACATAATATAAGGTATGTCTGGTGTTTGTACAAAACGGAAAGAAATGAGCTGTGCCATGACAAAACCAACATAATGGGTTTGCGACCAGCATGGATCCAGACAGTCTGATCAGAATCAGGATCCATGCTGTTCGCTTACAAACCCTATTACAAGTAGAGAAACTGATAGCGAACAGCATGGATCCTGATCAGACTGCGCGAATGCGCAGGCTGGTCTGGATCCATGCTGGTCGCAAACCCATTATGTTGGTTTTGTCATGACACGGCTCAAATATTCATTTCTGAGGCTTTATGTGCTTTTAACTTTAATATATCACATCAATTTCAAGCACAATTATATCTAAATTGACATTAACCAGACATTTAACTGATAATAAAAATAAATGCCACATTACAGTGCTTTACAATATGTTGTGATTAACGACATGTACATTGATTTACATTACAAGCTCATGATGATGAATAACAAAATGTCTCGTGCATAATCTTGTTGCAAACAAATGGATTTGAAATGTATGTAATCTATATAAACATATCATTTCAGTATACCAGTATGCACCTGAAACACCCTGCCCCCACACCCACACACAAAATGTAGGAATAATGTCTTATACTTTACATGTTGTAATATTGAGTCAGGATATTGATTTATAAGTGCATTCAGCATTTTATTCGAATTATTTTAATATACATAATTATTATTAAATTGGTTTTCTACATTTATTTTGAAATTGAAATAGGCACAATGAAGCTCTTTCAGGAGCAAGCCTTTGTTTCCTTTAGCAAGAAACTTTATACTCATTGTTCTGTACTAGTTGTTTTCAGGAACAGATTCAAAAGTTTTTCTATAAGCTTATAGCTTCCTACACAATCGACTTTGATTCTGAATAAAAAAACTTATGTTATATTGATTGTATATCTCGCAAAATTCGGAAAGAGGTAAATGATTTATGATTTATTTACACAGTATTATATTGATTTATTCACACCATATTATATTTATTATATCAGCTTATCATTACAGTATGCACTTCCTTATTTACGTAAGACAAAAGGAAACATTGTGAACATTGCAAGTATAAGCGGTGTCATTGCCAATGCCGCCAGTCCTACGTACTGCGCTTCTAAAGTAAGTAAACTAAGTTTCGAACAGTCCTTCCACAGCTGGAAGGAAACGAATTTTATTGAACATAGTGGGGCAAGCTGAACTGTTATACCGCGGAAGCTAAAACTAATTCATTTATTAACTATGACATAGAATAATATACCAATTTTGGTTTACAATTTCTGGTGGTTTACTATCCGAATCACGTACCTCAAAACATTTATCATAGTGTGAAAATCAGTGTATTGATCTAATTACAAAGAAATCGCAGGTATACTATTTCTTACATTTTAAAAACTATCAAATTAAAATCCATTTACAAGTTAATCAGATTTTACAGTAATGCAATGTACCTTTTTAAGTATCACATAAATAAAACAGAGAAAAAAAGGAATCCGCAAAAAAAACGCTCAAAACGTCAAAAACTGAAATATTGCATGACCATTTAGCACCGGCTTAAGCAGAATCCAATACTCAATATGCTAATGGTATACTGTTTTCTATATGCAGGGTGGAATAATTTCACTGACAAAGGCTCTTGCAATTGATGAAGCTATGCATGGAGTCCGAGTAAATGCGTGCGTATATTTTTTAAATTCAAACTTGCGTGTATTGTCGCAAATGTTAATCAATAAGTAAAGCTTGATCAGATTCCTGTTATGAATAAATAAATAAATAAATAAACAAAGTCGATTTCCTTGTGTTTGGTATGAGATTAAGTGTGTAATTGAAAGTATTAAAGCAAGGTTAATTTTTTTATGAAGCTCAATTTGGAAAGATTGTAATGGATAACTTAAGAAAATTAGATCTTCTGTTTTGACAGTCAGTGATTCTGCCGATCTTCTTAAGTGATTTAGGTACAGCTATGACCTTTTAAAATAGAGCAAATAGAGGATATTGAAGGAGTTTTAGTTCAATTCTTAATTGATTGCACGATATGAATAAATATATATATTATGTGAGCCTCTGGCGAGTATAATATTATTTTATTTATCGAGTTCAATAAATTCAGTGATGAACGTACACGAGTTTAATAGTCTATTTTATCACATACCCAACATAAATACCGTTTAAGGTGGAAAAAGCAATTTTAGATAACATTTAAATGCAATTTTTTCTTTTCTACAGGATAGCACCAGGTCCAGTAGATACTCCAATGCTAAGAGACGTCATGGAGAAAGCTGGTGATGTTGAAGGAATAACTAAAGCGATGATAGAGTCAAATGTAAGACTGTTACATTGTAATTTACATTTTTATTTTTTTGATACATTGTACTGTAATGCCAAGAAATTAAGTTTGTAGAGAAATACTTTAAGAAGTAAATGAAAGAGTCGAGTGTAAAAAGTTTGTCACTGAAAAATGTTTACTGGTACAGATTAAAATGTCCATTTTATCTAGTGCTGTAGATAAAAGAGTCAAATGTTAAAACGATGAACAGTTTTAAAAATGCCTAATCATTTGCAAAATACGTACTGGTACAGACAAAATTAAATAATGCGAACTTTGTTTATGTCGAAATATAGTTTATGAATGCCAGGAGTGTCAAACTTTTGACTTATTAAATAATAAGCAATTCTTATGTAACTTAATTAAACAAAAACGAGAATAAAGATCAACAAGGCAAATGCAACGTTCACAGGACTTGCCCCCCTCCGCCGACACATCCACGCCGACCGTGTGTTGTATGCTTATTAAGTGGACTATGAAACATGTCATTTATGATATGACACACATCATCATTGCTTCATTTATTCATAAGTTGATCATATATAAAAATGGTGAATGAACTAAGCCCATGGTTTTCCACGTTAACTATCTTTAAGAACATTCACTTGCAATTCATCTGGAGACTTTCTGATCATATTAAATTGACATTTATATCTATTTCTAGCACTTAAAAAGAATAGCTGATCCTAAGGAAATTGGCAAGGCATGCCTATTTTTAGCTGTGGATGCAACTTTTACAACTGGTGAAGTGCTCATGTGTTCGGCGGGAAATGAAATAGGATACGGAGTAAAATGAAACGACAGTTTATACCGTTTTTGTGAAGATAATTCATTATTGTGATAAACGTTTTGCAATATTTTACAGAATATTGTATTTTACAGGACTTGCTTTGTTATCTTAACACATATCTGTGATATCTGATAAAATTTGTTACGATTAAACATTGAAACAAATGCTTTACAATGAATATTCTCTCCCATAAATAATGCATTCTTTTAAAAGGCAAAAGCAATGACTTTTTTCTATAAAAACAACAAAATCATGATATAACATGTTATGTTATGTTTACAAGCATTAAATTTTATTAAATATAAAAGAGCCCATATTTTTAATGCCAAACCGATGTTCATGGGTCATGTAGATGTACTTTATTTTGCGTCTTGATATTTCGGCACAGCAAGGACGGTTATAATGATTTAATAGTTTGTGTGAAAGTCAAAACACTACTTTTACTAAATCAGTCTATTGCAAATTGTTTCAAATTCAGCACATTTTTTTTATGATAATGTAACGTTTTGAAGGCACACAAACCCTGTCGATGAAAAGCTAGCTTACCACCGATAGTGGTTTATGCCCTTATATATTGGATACTATCCTTTATGTGAATTCATCATCTTTTGTTTTCGCATATTGTAATAATTTGCTGTGTTGGACGTTCTTTAGGAATTCCTATTTTCTCTATTTTCAATATGTTACACAGTTTGGAAGCGACTGTTACTAGTCTTGCTGTTTCATTCAAAGGATTATATTTTATTTAGTTCGTCGGTTAAGTTGTCCCACATTCAACATATTCAAAAAAAGTGGGCGGATTTAAGTTAAAATACATACGTTTTAAAGTTATTCATGATTATATTTTCTGGAGATGACCATGATGCAAAACGTTATCAAATGCCTTTGTGGTTTCGCATAGTACAGCCATGACTCTCTTAGCTTTCTCAAAGGGCTTGACACATTTCGTTGTACAGTGAAACTAATTAATTAAATGTGGAGTCACATATTAATAAACCTGATTGGTGATGGGAAAGCAAATAATAGAGACATGGTCATTTTACAAATTCTTATGAACAAATCTTTCCATCAGTTTTCCTGATATTACGGTAATATTCAGGGTAGGATGGGTCAGATTTCTCTAAAGTACTAAAAGTTGCATTAGGGAGTTTATAAACTGAAGAAAAGAAGAATAACTAATATTTTTGTTAAAATACACAGCGAGTGGACTAGATAAGACGACTGCAGCTTCTTGAAGAAGTTGAGGACTTACATGGTAAGGGCCACTTGCTTTTGTGGTATCTATTGAAGATATAGAGTCAAGTCCACACTGTGGCGCAATGCTAATGTAAGCTTTGACTGGTATATTTGTTTCTATGTTGATTCCTTATCAGGCCCTTTTGGCTGTGGACTAATATATTCATAAAGAAGTTCTTTTTTGTCTTGATCCGACGTTGCAATGATAGTGTTGTGATTTAACATAGGTATTGAATTTGTGGAGTGCTTGCATGCTATTTGTTTGCTAGTTTGCTACATTAGTATCTTTCTTTAGTTTATATGTTATTTTAAGGTATTTTTCTATCAATGTTTTTGATATATTGTTTTTTTAAATAGTTTTCTAAGTGCATATTTCTTAATTTTGACCTATGAAAATCAGAATTTATTTATTTTATTTGGTTTGTTTGCGAACAGTATGCTGTTTTCCTAATTTGTTTCCTGATAATGTTATTCAACTTAGGGATGTAAGTTGGTCTTATTATCACATTCTTAGTTTGGAATGTTTAATATTTGGTAGATAAAACCTCGGCTGAATCATATAGCTAGATTGATGGTTCCATGATAACCGCCTTATGAACACATCTGCGAATGTTTCATAACTTTCTTAACTCAGAATTGCACCATTTTCATGTTTAAATGTTTAATTCTGATTGAGCCGATGATAGGGCGCGTGTACGGTAGTTTGCATTTGAAAATTCCGTCAATGAATAGGCTCAATCAAACCGAGCTTGCAACATTTTCAATTTTTTGCCATTTTGAACTTTCTTAAGGGATTCTTATTTTTTCTATTTTGTGATTTTCCCTTGAATACGTCGCCATCCCCTTTATCATATAGTCAAATATTCTCTAAATATTGTTCTGTTTTAAGCTTAATTGTTTTACTGCAGAAGAAAGACAATGTGTTAGATTAGGAGTAAAAATGGTTGTCTACGATGGTAGTTATAACATTTTGATTGACAAATATAAGGTCTATTAAGGAATAAGATTGTTCACGGAAGTGCACCGGAGATAATGATAAACTGGTATGCAATAAAATACGCATAAGTCTAGTAACTTTATTTGAGACTTAGAAGTGAGATTAATTTTGATTTAGAAGTCACCTGAAAGTATTGTATTATCAGTGTGTACAGATAACATTTTTCTTAGAGTTGCCAGCATTCATTGCTAGAGTCAAATACCATTTTAATACACTGATAAGAAGTATTTCGTGTGAATGATGATCTCTACCCAAATTGGTTCGATCTGTAAATATTTAAATCTTGTCTAAAGACAGCGTTTAGCTAATCTCCAAGAGATTGCTACATCGCTATTAATTCTTACATGTAGATCAAAAGGGAGGACAAAGTTTATGAATTCTTGGGTCTTCATCCGATGTGAAAAAGCCAAGTTTCTGTAAACAAGAAAATATCATTATGTCCACCTCTGCCTAAAGGGAGTCTTGCTTTTGCTTCATGATTTGGACATTTAAATGCATAAGCTTGAGAAGGCAAATAGTGATTTCTCGTTGTGATGAGGAGAAAGAAAATGAAAGAAATAAAGGATAAGTTGAATGGACTGGTCCATCTGTACTAGGATAAATATAACCAGATAGGTTGAGAAACTGATACGGAAATAGGTTTGTTATTAGGTTTTCGTTAAAAATGTCTTGTTTGTGAGAACAAAGATGGTGTATGCCGACAAAGAGGTCGACAGTATAACTAGTAAAATGGCATCAAAAAAGGAGGATGAGTGGTTGTTGTGAATATTATGGGTAAGATTGGAAGTGAAAAAGTCCACAGCTTTGTAATCATAGGATAGAATGTACTGATCCCGCGCGCTGTCCGTGCCCCATACGCTCATTTATCAAGAAGAATATTTGTAAACAAAATAATCGAAAGAAGTGATACATGTAATACATTTTACGTGTTATTCCAGTTTTATGGCGTTGTTGCCATTTTTACACTTTAATGTCACAAAGTTATTGGATTCGAGCGAAGCAATTACATTGCAATATTTTGTGAGAACATTTTATCATTTTTTTTATTCCCTGAAGCCATAACTAATCTGTGCAGTCACCTGATTGAATAATTATCGGATAGCGGTACGGGATTATATGGACTGATCTTTGATCGAGCGCATCCCAATATTTCCAATTATAACAGTTTGTTTTAACCGACGAAATATAAATTTTCGCCATTTAGGACTTGAAAAAAATGGTTCACAATAGCCGAAAATTAGTTTTAAGCGAATACTATTAAGCAATGTGATTTAATAGAAAAACCAAGAAGGAATCGGCCGGGGTTTAAAATTTAGTGTTCGCTATTAACGATAATTCGTTATAGGCGAGTTCGTTATAAGTGAAGTCAACTCACACTCAACTGTAATTCAAAACCAGTTAAAGATATGAATCATTTAAACCTGAAGATACATGTATCTCGTTCAATGTATTACATTTGTAATGGACAGTGTAAACTAAACAAAGAAAACCATTTGAAAATTGAGAGTGGAGGTATAAGTTATCTCGTATCGAATTAATACAGGCAAGTATGGAAGATGGATTACGTTTTAAAGACAAGGTTGTGATAGCCACCGGAGGTTGTAGCGGAATAGGAAAAGGGGTGGTAGATATATTCAGTAAGTTTAATAAATGATATGCTTAAGACTGAGATATAACTTATTTCACTTACTGTTTATATAACAAAATTAAAACATATTATTATATAAGAGTATATCAATCTAAATGATCATTAAAAATAACTAAAAGCATTACACATTATTAATATAAAAACGTCATCTGTCTTCCATGAAGGAACTATTTCAAAGTTATAATTTATCTTCCAAGCCACCCTACCTAGCACCGCCTTAAGAAGAACTCAACATTTAAACATGATATGGTGAAATTTTGAATTTAGAAACTTCCACAGAAATTAAAATGTTACATTTTAAGTTGGATAAGCAAATACTGGACATTAATATCGAGTACTAAGAGTACAAACACTGGACATACATATAGATGTGAAATTCTAATGACCTTGCCACATCAAATTACTTTATCACTATGCAAACAAATCTTAACAAAGTTCATGATTATTTGCACTTTATAGATGGTCAATTTCATTATCTTGAAGCTCAATACTTTGGACAGATTGTAATACATTGTTTATCGAAAATTAGCAAACACGTTACGATAATCGACATCGGTTGTGAAGATATGATTAATATACGTGTAGTTATTATACTTTTAAATTATCACAACATTTTAACGTTTACTGTGAAAACGCACATTTATTACCAATGCCAAGAAAGTTGGGATGCAAACATTGACTATCTGACGGACTTACCAATACGCTATTGTGAACTCAGTGAAATATATCGATGTGGCGTAGATTATTATAAGTTACCAAAAGTACATTAAAGAAATAGAGATTCCGACTGAATAAATTATCGTAAATCATAACTTTCCTGATTTTTTAATAAATACCTAAAACAGTATCATTTAATGTAGTTGCTTTACAGAGTAAAAGTTATCAATCTATTGTCATACTCGTTCAACACCCGCTCATCAGTTTATCTTCATTTCCCAGTTAGGTTATTGTTCATTTCAATTTCAAGATGTGTGCACCTTTTTAAGGACCAACTGTCAAAAGAAGCGTGATATTGATTCAAGAAAACAAAATCGAGAAGAAGAAAAACTATGACGCCACAAGAGCTGAAACCCAATTTATCAATTTGCAGAATTAATACTTTTTCAAGCATGATTGTTAACCTTTCAAAATGATTTTACATTATGCTGTGTTCTCACCGCCGATCAGATCAACTCGATCAAGCACGATCAAGCGATCGGGTACCTGTCTAGCTCGGTCTGCATGCGTGATCGGGGGTGGTCGGAGCGGTCTACCTTGGTCGGTATGGCCCGGGCTTCCTACTCGATTTTTTTTGACATGTCAAAAAAATTCGAGTAGCAATCGAGTGGATAAGACGTCGAGAAACGATCGTAAAGTGATCGAGTAGAGGATCTAGTTAATAGAGAATACAATGTAAATTGTGTAACGATCTAGTTTGGTCGGATACATCTCTTACACGATCATCTCGACTTCTACTCGGGCATTATTCAATCTGTTCGGGTGAAAATCTGGCAACGATCGAGCAAAGTTCCAGTTAGTCTAGTTGAGATCGTGTATGACTCGTGTGTAGGTCTGGGTGATCGAAAAGAATTTGGGATGTTGGTCGGGTTGTCGTCGAGAAGAAGTCATAAACATGGTCGACTTGAGGTCATGTAGGAGTCGTGAATTTGCATTTGATCAAGCTTGGTCGGTCTTCATCGGGGAATTAATGTGATCGGGACGATCGAGTTGATCTGATCGGCGGTGAGAACATAGCTTTAGTGTAACAGTATTTGAAAAGATAGTGACAAATACACAAGCCGCTTTCTTCTGTCATTTTGTCCAAAAGTCACGTGGGTTTGCTACCCTTATACTTATAGCACTGGTAAGCCAATATTCCTGTGAGTTTTCAAGTTCTTAATTATCTTAAGAATGCCGCTTGCCTTTTTATATTTTAATTAAGAATGACGTTAACCTCTAAATGTCGGCTATGAATGCCGCTTTCATTTTTAAAATTCAGTCAAGAATAGCGTTTAACTATTTAAATTTCAGTTAAGAATGGCGTTTAATTTTTAAAATGTTGGCTATAAATGTCGCTTTCATTTTTAAAATTCAGTTAGAATGGTGTTTACCTATTTAAAATTCAGTTAAGAATAATGTTTAACTCTTTAAATTTCAGTTGAGAATGGAGGAACAGTAGCTGTGTTTGATATTAATGGTAACTAAATCTAAGACATATTGAGATTACTTTTGCGACTGTGAATGTATATGAACAGTATCAACCATACACTAGAAACATAACAGTGGAATCGTTCCAGTGAATTATTTTTCTACTTTTTTAAAATATATATTTTATTTAGGTTCTTGCATTATTGAACATTATGTGCGTATTTTTTTTCCTGAAAAGAACGAAAGTTGTATTAAAAAATACTTTAAATGAATTGTTACATGTCATTTTTGACACTTTCTTTTCGCAAGTTAAATTTTTGGTTGAACAAACTTGTCTGGGTGATTTGCAGATGAAATTGGCATCTCTCTCAGTGTTCAAGGACCTGGAAAGATATCATACAAACATTGTGACGTCACTAAAGAAGACGAAATAAAGGTAAATATAAATATAAAACACATGTGGTTGTGTGGAAACGGCCTTCTTTAGCTGATAAGTATCATCTGTAACATAGGCGTATCATGTTCATATTTCACATGTATTTAATTTAAGACTTTTTGTTTGGTTTCTCGGCGCACCAAAAGTTTAGGTCTTATGGCGCTGAAACAGGAAAGATGATTTTGGGTTACCTAGGGCGTTACAAACTACAAAGAAACGCCAGTGGTCAAAACCAAGGTTTTTATTTTATTTTAGACATAAATAACAATGAAGAAGACATATTAATTGTACTGTAAGAATTCATGTTTATTCACCATTATAGCTTGCGATATCATATTCATTTTTATCAAATTTTGTAATTTTTACATTTCAGAAATGTATTGACGAAACAATTGAGGCTTTTGGCAGAATCGATTGTGTCATCAACGACGTTGGCTACTGTACGTTTTATTAATATCATAGCCAAATTCATATACATGTTTCATTCCATATTTGGCAGTTCTTATGTTGGTCTCAACAAAAATTACAAGTTTTCTTTGAAATGTATTATATTAATTTTCATTACTAATCTGTCCCTCCTCTCTTGACTTAGTATATTTTATTGAGTAGTTGTCCATATACAGGCTAAAACAAATTTAACTTTCAACGGAGGAGACTGCCATAGACTTACGCAGCTCTCGGTTCAATTCATTTTTGCCTAAGTGTATAAATTATCTACATGTTTATATGTCACTGTGTGAGAAAAAGTGCAACCTGACCCGAATTCGAGCCCTCAGCACTCGGAATGCCTCTGCAGATCTACCGACTGAGCTATCCGACCGCAAACATCACAAGTTATCCCTAACAAGTGAACAGTTCTTGACCATGACACAACATAAACCTTATATTAGAAATATGTTTAAAACAAACTTTTTTTGCCAGATAAGTGATCTTTTCTCTAAGGCACATATACTCAAATTGTTGATACCTATTTTGTGGTATTTCATTAAAAGTTCCAGGAGGTCATAGTATCAATGACGTCACTTCCGATTTGTTCAGGCGTGTTCTAGATGTTAACATAGTCAGTCAGTTTACGATGTGTAAGGTAAAGCTATATTTTTTTTTCTTTCCACGAAAATATGTTTTGTCACAATTCCGTGCCCTATTGTAAGGCCCCGCTTTAACGGTATTGCACGTTCCTGTCTATATATTTTGTCTTGAGGTCATTCTCTTTATATATAGAAAGCTATGGTTGTCTTAGGAATGTGAAAAAAATTATATATATCATATTCGTGTAGAGTCATTACTATATTTATTAAACTCATTGCATATTGTAATATTATTCAACTCATTTGAATTAATTCAGTGCTGAAACAACACTCATTCTATATTATATATTGATTGAACGGTAAAAGTGATTCACAACACTTAAGTTGGGATTTTAAACATGTTCCATCTTTGGTTTCTGCATCTATTGCTATTGTATACTTTGATTTTGAGCATTGACATATTCATATAAAGTGTGAAAAAAATTACACTGAAAGTATATTATCGAGTCTTCTTCCTGTAATGGCAAGAAAGGTCCAATCTGAAAATATGTACTGTAGTATTTAGGCTTCGAAGAATTAAAAACAAGTAATGGAAGAAGAAGAAGATGATGATGAAGAAGGAGAAGAAGAAGAAGAAACTGATTGGGATTAACATGTGTAATATTACACATACAATCGTACAGGCTTGCCGGATGTGGTACAGTGATATGTTTTGGTTTCCTTTGTGGTCGTGTTGGTAAAAAAATAGAACTTTCTTTTCAGTACGCACTACCATACATACGGCAAACCAAGGGAAGTATTGTCAACATGTCAAGTATAAGTGGTGTAATTGGCACGGCTGGGAGCTTTACGTACAGCGCCGCAAAAGTAGGCCCTATTTTATTATTCATATTTATACATGTAATAATAATAATAATATAATTTCTTTATAATATTCAACATCCTCTTTATAATAACACGAAAAGAAAAACACAACAAATTCTATTGAAATATAAAAAAACAACAATTTTTGATACTCCACTGTAGAAAGTCATAGCTCCTTTTTCATGGCTGTTCTCGCAATAAAAGATGCTTATCCGATACAAATAACTATTTCTTGTTATTCAATAAACGAAAGGCGAATACCAAAACAACGTATATCAACAAATAATACTACAATTTCAAGATTTTTTTTTAAAGTAAAATGCAAAAAATGGGCAATAACTTTTTTCCAATGGACGTATTTCTGTTTGTGAATACATATGTACTTGTCTTGACAGTTATTGCCAGTATGAAATTTAATAAAGTGGGACGAACATCAGCTCGAAATTAAATTCAATTCAACAAAACCCTTTTAGTGTGAGCTTGCCTCTGGTTTCCGTTTGTTAATCGGTGCTGCTGTTTTGTTTTAATTATGTTATTCAGGGCGGAATTATATCTTTCACAAAAGCGCTTGCAATTGACGAGGCAAAACATGGAGTTCGCGTTAATGCGTAAGTATTATGTTTACGGTTATGAAAGTAAAGCTTTAACTGCAGTACATACGAAGGTCAATAAGAACGCACTAGGAAAATTTCTGTCAAAATGCTTGTAAATATACACCAGTATTCATTTTTATAGAGTGCTGTCTTGGAAGCGATTAAGTTAAGTCTTCAATACACATTCCATTGTGGCTGAAGGGTTGCCTTTGAGGATTGAGGCATCAGAATTGCAGTCACCATTTATCCTTGCATGATAGTAAGAGGTGACTAAATGGGTTCAAATTACCTGAGACTGTGCATGTCTTAGCTCCAGTAGGTGGTCTGGTTTTGACCCCGGATAGAATAAAATATTTAATATCACTGGGGTGGTTCGGGATGATCCAGGAAGAATAGCTTTGCTGGCTTTATCCTTAGCTCTGCTCTGTAAGTGTGACCACAACAATAATTTCACCCTGGGCTCTGCCGGGAGTAAGTGAGACCGCAGCTTAAGGACTTTTTGCATATTTTGACCTCTTTCTAGTATGGTGGCTGATATGCTACACTTTTGCATGTTGCGTTGTTGCTTATCGCCTTTTTTTCCTGGGCGCTACAAATTGTGCCAGACTGTAGCACGTTGTCCCCATGTCTCTTGGCTTATAACGAGGGAATGACTTCTTACTGTGTTATCGCATGGCTTAATTGAGTCGTTGTCGCCAGCAACAAAGCAGATTTAAGCCTCAATAAGCTAAGTTTTCCATTTGAGCCAAGCGACAATGTGTCATGGTGCCACACACTAAGAAACAACCTGCCATTTGGCTTGTTTTGCTAGTGACATGACAACAAGATATCAAGGCCTGAGCAATCTTGACTTTTTGGTTTAGGAATAATAATTGTTAAAAAGCAGAACAGTGCATGAAATATGGAATGAACAAAATATATTCTTTTATATGACTTCGTTCCTTTGTTTTGCCAATTTTGATATCAGATAATGGTTTTATACACAAAACACAACAAAAACACAAAAAGTCAGGAAAACTGTTTAACTGACAGGGGCACAAAAAGTTTAATGCATTATCAAAACTTCTTCATCATGATAAGTTCAGCAAGAGAATTCTCTAAGGTGATATATCCTGTCGGTCTGTAAATCTGTAATAAGTCATGTTGTTATTGACAATTACACGAAAACGCACACATATGTGTTGATCGAAATAAAATTCACTGATCAATCACAAAGTATACAGCCTCATGTTTGTCTTTCTAGGGATCTCCCGCGGCGTACTGGTCCAGAATGACTTCGTAATTTTATCTATAATTGTCCTTCAAGTTTATCCTCAGTATTAACCTAAGCATGATCTGCATTCAATCGGTTTAAAATGACATTTTGTATCATGTGTTATCCGAATTATCGACACTGACAGCTGATTTTTAAAACTGTTTATTTCGGGCTCTGGAAAAGTTTGTTTCCGTTTCCCGTCACTACGCAACATAAAGAAATATCGTTGCCATCATATACAACACCGATAATAGTCTATTTCGAAGCAAAAATGAACAAAAGTTGAGACAAAGCGTACAAACGGTAGCCATTTTATTTCTGGTTAACATTTGGTTAAAATTTAACCCACCTCCTATACGTGGGTTAATTCAACCAGAAATTTACGCTTGTTAAATTTAACCAAAATTTTATACAATCGGTTAACCAAAGTTTAACCGAAAAGTTAACCTAACCATGGATTTAACCCAGTGTTTAAAGTTAACCAACGTTTATACAATTGGGTGCTGGTGTTGATTTAAGTTATAACACCCGTGGTTAGCCAAAATTACCTTCTCTGTTTCGACGCCATATGACCTAAATTGTGTGTTGCGCCAAAAAACCAAACAAATAAGCTTCAATACACACAGAAACTAACCATTTTGTATTGCAGAATAGCCCCAGGGGCAGTCAGTACACCCATGCTTAATGACTTCCTTGAAAAATCCGGTAACGTTGATGAAGCGGCCAGTGTTGTCAAAGGTTATAACGTGAGTATCTGATAATACCGATACAATGCCATACTTAATCCAAAAATGTACTTTATATGACCTTACTACACATTAGCAACTTGAAAAGGATTTTCATCATTTTAAAATATGAATCGTAAGATACTTGTTTACAACATATAGGAACATACAACAACATTTAACATAATATTATTTTAGGCATTATTCTACATAAGTTCAATATATTGAAGTTGTATGCTTTATTTTTTAACCATATAAACCCTAATACATGAACAATAAGATAATTGTATAATTTGATAATTTAATGCTTTCTTGAACCATGTAAAACTATATATATATATATAAAAGACTTATACTTAATTCTACCACATGTTAATAAGGCTAGATATCTATATCTTAAATATTGTCGCAAAAAGAAGCTCCTTGAAACGGTGCGAGGAGGGGGGGGGGGGGGCGTTGTTAACCAGTTACACTAACACAGAGAGTGCCGTCTTTCCAATATTTCCTTGTCGGGCTACATCTTGATTTTTTTGTTAACTATATTATCTTAATTTGAAATTTTAGCATTTGAAAAGAATAGCAGATCCCAGAGAAATTGGGAAGGCGTGTTTGTTCCTGGCTGTCGATGCAACTTTTACAACTGGTGAAGTGCTCATGTGTTCCGCCGGAAATGAAATAGGTTACGGAGTGAAATAGACATTCAAATCGAAGAGTGTCATCAGACACGTACTCGTACATTTTATGTTTAAGCGCTTTTGAATTTGTTAAATATGTGCATTAATAGAAAATAATGTATTTGTTTCATTTGTTCACATAAACACAAAAAGAAGCCATTTTTTGCAACGGTCTTATATTATCATATATTCCATCTTAAAATTTGTATTTGAAAACATGAAACGTCAAAGACTTTATACAAGTTAATTGAAACTTTATTTATAGTTGAGTTCATTAAATAAGTGTGAGACCAAGCTTTTCACAAATACCAATGTCGACAATGTTATAAGGTTTATCTAGTACAATATTCCATTCGCAATATTGAACTTAAGTTATGTCGGTGCTAAGGAGCGGTGACGGTAACTAATATTAAGCATGGGTGACCGCGATAAAGCTGATTCATACTGAACTTGCAGAATATGTTTATACTTATCATGATTGACGGTCTTCCATATGTCCCAACTACACTCAGAGGTACTTATGCCCCGACACTTACATTTTTTTGGTATTAATTGGTTATTTGTGAACGGATTTTAAACAGTTTTTGAACATACAAAATTCAACATATCATACTTATTTCCTAAAATGTTATTTCCAATTCACAACAAGAAAATAGAGAAAATAACAAAACAAATATGTTACTGCAAAATGAAAAATCACTAAATGACTGTAAATATCGTAACACAATGATAAGTCTCTAAATCCAACTGATTCTGTATAATAACCAGTTCGAATACTTTTGTGTTATTCCATGGCTATAACAAAGTGTAAAGACATGTATCATGGTTATGAAGTATGAAGACTTGGGGGATATTTCGCCATTCCTGAAAAAAGGCCTCCTCGAGTTCCAGCAACTCCTGCATTCCAAGTCACCAGATCTAAACATCACACTTGTCGGCTGAATTGAACAGGCGTATGAGAAAGAGGCCAAAAATTCCTTGCAATTTGCTGAAAAAAAAAACGAGCAAGCCCTTATTCAGGAATAGAGATTTGTGAGACAGGGGTGTTTACTTTGTTATAGCCAACTGTGAGGATATACAAACTATAAGAACTGGTAAACATACAGATTTAATGGAATTCAGAGACTGTTCATTGTGTTACGATTTTTACAGTCATTCTGTGATTTTTCATTTTACAGTAGCCTACTAGTATTTGTTTTGCTATTTTTTCTATTTTCTTATCGATGAATTGTTAATATAATTCCAAGTAGTAAGTATGATATGTTGAATTTTGTAATGTCCAAATTTGAATCACAAGTATCCAATTTATGCAGAAAAAAATGTCAGTGCCGGGTTATAAGTGCCTCTGAGTGTAATATATAGAGGATATTTGTTTGTTTGTGTGTAAGATGAAATTTTATTTCATCGAGTGAACTTTAAAAACAGTATTCTCACGAGTGCTTGAAGTATAAGTCTACAACCAAAACGTTCTTGAACAAGAAATGTTTGTGTATTGAACGTAATTTTCGGACTTGCGAACTAAACCATTTATACAGCATTGACAGTGACATAGTTTGTTATTGTTAAATGCAGTTCGAAACTTTCGAATTCGAATAAATTAGGAGAAAAACCGACCAGAACAGTCACATGTCAAATTTAAAAATATGTACATGATCAGTTTATATCTTCAAAAACTTCGTCAAAACAGAATCTAGGATGCTGAAACCTTTAACCGAGTGTGGCATATATATTGCATTATGGAATAGACATACAATGGACTTCAAAATAACAAAGAAACCCACTTGCCTGGCAAAAATTCGTTCACCCGTTTCAAAAAAACACGCCGTGTTCACCATTTTGTCAAGTTTGCAACCAATTCGTTCGCTTGAACCAAGAGTGCAACCACTTCACGTCCTGCCCCTTGCGAAATACAGGTGCAAAACCTGTATAAAAAGTCGAAAGTAAAATGGTGAAATACGAAATCAAGATGATGAAAATTTGAAGTTGGGATGACGACAATTTGAAATGACAAAATCTACGATGGTAAAAAGTCGAAAATACATTGATGGAAAGGGTGAAAATTCGAAATAACGGAACAACGAAACCACGATGGTGAAAGTTCGAAAGTACGATGGTGAAAACACGAAATGATATCGAAATTCATAATCGTGGTTTCGTTATTTCGACTTTTTACCATCCTTATCCCTTATCGACTTTTCACCGTCCTTATTTCGTGTTATTATTTGTTTAGAGTTATGTGCCCTAAAAGGACATAGTAGCTGGCAAACACTTAAGGTGATTCCGCTTTGTCAGCCATGTTTGTTTTCACAAAGTCTGTCCAAAGTGAAAGTAGGCCAAAATTCATATAACAACAAAGCTCTTATTTTAAAATGATGAACCATTTGAAAGTACACTTCCAGGTTTATATTTTAAGGACAATTATAAACAAAAATAAAAATGATAACAATAAGAATATTTACCTTGAATGTGCTACATTTCTGAAGACCAAAAACATTCTGTTGCAAAGTTTTATGCACATTTCATGAATGGCAAAATCCTTTTTTAAGTCTGTTTTAGTGCCTACAAAAGCTATTTTTTGCCGCAAATACAAAAATCTTTCAAAACTTAACTCCAAATAAATCCATATCTCATGTCCTTCTAAGCATATGGCCTCCATTATTTTTTGTAAAAAAGTAGTGCAAGAAAACAATCATCATTTATAGCCTTATGAACTACAATTAAAATGAAAACACAATCAAACTTTAAATCTAACCTTTTTTATGTGTAACAGTGAAGTGTGTCTGTTTGTCATGTACACAAGAGATAGATAAATGATGTTTATTTTCATGGTACTACTTTTTTACACATGTCATGGTGGCCATGTTTTTTCAAGGTCAGATAAACTACTTTCCTAAGGTTTATATTTTTTAAAGTTTTTTGTATTTTCTGCAAAAAGTAGCTTTTGTAGGCACTAAAACAGACTTTAAAAAGGATTTTGCCATTCATGAAATGTGAATAAAACTTTGCAACAGAATGTTTTTGGTCTTCAGAAATGTAGCACATTCAAGGTAATTTTTCTTATTGTTATCATTTTTATTTTTGTTTAAAATATTCTTTAAAACATAGAACTGGAAGTGTACTTGCAAATGGCTCATCATATAACAATGTGAGCTTTGTTGTTATATGAATTTTGGCCTACTTTCACTTTGGACCCACATAGTGAAAACAAACATGGCTGACAAAGCAGAATCACCTTAAAATTTTGATCGAATTATTTCATTGACATAACACCTATGTAAACTTGCAAGCAAGGTCAGCATTTCATCTTAACTTGTATCAGAAACATTTATAAGATATGATATTGCTAACTAGGCCAACATGTCGATATTTTGCTATTTTAAACCGCACACTGTATTTACATAGATCGGTCATCGTTGCACATGTACAGTAAGTAACTGTTATACTGATTTAATTGTTGAGTAGTGTGGAAAACTACTTGAATACAGGTAAGCACTTTGTTATACACATAAAAAGTTGTATAAGAAAGGTCGCCAAATGTCAATTGAGTAATGTATTGTTATACTCTTTAGAACATCAAATGTGAGATTATTATGAAAGTATAAAGTCAGTTTCTAATTCTATTATTATTCTTGTATGGTATTTGTTCCTGTGACTATGTAAGGGGCTATCAGGACTCGAACCCGGGGCCATCTGGAACGGATCCGGAGCTTTGTCTGTTGAGCTACCTGGCGTCTTACACTTCTACATATTCTTCTCTATAAGTGAACAGTTCTTTACTCAGGAGCGGGGGATTGGGGTTATGGGCGCGGAGGAGGTGATTGTTAAATTATTTCTGGTTTGTTTTAAGTGAGGCAAATATTTACTGGTGTAAAGATGGATTTTTGTGATACATTTATTTAGTTTGGTCGTATCATTTTGACAGGTAAGTATTACATTGTATTATCTTTTTGTGTCGCCTCTACGGAGTAGTGGCGACATATAGGGATCACTTCTCCGTCGTCTGTCTGTCCGTCTGTCTGTCTGTTTGTCCGTCCGTCCGTCACAAAACTTGTCCGGACTACTCCTCATAAACTACTGGTGCAATTTCATCCAAACTTTACAGGAATGATCAGTACCAAGTGTAGTTGTGCATATTGTCAGCATTTTCCGGTTCAATGGTTTTTGTCAGAGTTATGGCCCTTTAATAATTTTTAATTTTAAAGTTTGTCCGGACTACTTCTCTTATACCCCTAATGCAATTTCAATGAAACTTTACAGGATTGATCTGTAGCTCAAGTCCTTGCGCATATTGCACGGGTTTTCCGGTTGAATGATTTTTGGCTGAGTTATGGCCCTTTGATAAAAAGGTGTTTTTTTCTGTGTGTTGCCAGACACGCAAAAGCTTGTCCGGACTTCTCCTCATAAACTTCTGGTGCAATTTTATCCAAACTTTACAGGAATGATGAGTACCAAGTCTAGTTGTGCACTGTCCATCTGTCTGTCCGTCTGTCACAAAATTTGTCCAAACATGAAATTGGCCATCATGAGGCGACACATGTGATTACTGATCGCTCTTGTTTATAAGAACAAAACGAATACACTCTTGCTATGTCTCCTAAATTCCCAAAAGAAAAAAAATATATTGACGTACTACATGTGCTTGCAGAAAATATGGCTGTTCATGTACACAATTTTTTATCATTTTACGGGATGCTAAGGACGGTCATTTAAGAGGGGAACCCATACATTCTATGTTTCCTGGGAACGTACCTGTTTGTCCTTGAATGAAATTGCGCGAGTGTTCAAATACACGGTTTCACTTTCCTTAATTTTAAATTTTAAATGTTGACCCTTTTCCAAAAACATTTTACGTATTTGTTTCTCACTAGAACGAGAAGGGTTATACACCTTACCCAAATAAATATAATGAAATATCGGAAAAATTATGGAGAAAAAAAATAACCGTCTACTACATGTATATTTTTGCCCCACGAAGATCATACGTATAATGTAAGGTGATATGTATGCACCGTAGTACTTAAACGGAAATTTATTGTTAAAACAGTATCAATGGCATATAATTCATTGCAACACACATACATTGTATTTACATATCAGGTCATAGATAATAAATGTCTGCTGCTAATACTTCAAGTTTATCATGCGTTTTGTGCTTTAGTGCCTAATGATAACTTTAGTAGCTTTAGTAGCTTCTGATGATTTCTTTAAGCAAACAATATGTGCTGATGATCAACGTAAACATTCACATCTTTGCCTGAAATATTATTTTAAGAGATATTCTACCTTTGTTTGTTAAATTACAAAGGTTTCATCTAAAAATATAGATCTAGTCTTTTTCAAGACAAACGTCTTTACAATCAGAAAAAACTCTTTGCTTTTCTAACTGTTAGTGTATTGGAAACATATTATTACCCTTAAGAAAATGTGTGGCAAGAAATTATATTTGTCACATATCATTTTGACAGTAAATATATCTTCAAGACTGATTAAAACAGGACTGGAGACTTAGTTGCTTACCACATAAACCGTATGAGAAATTTATCCGCCGTTTTTACATCATCATTTCTTTTGCCTCACTTATAGCACTACGGAAATAGGTTAACGATACATCCCCTCTCCTCTTTGTATATCGCAACATGTATATGAAAAGGCTTATTTTCTTTTAAAAGGAAAGAACAATACAAGTTATTATACATAATAACAAAATTGTATGTTATTTTAGCTTTTTGCATTTCTGTTCACTTTACAGTCTAAATCAAGAAACAGAGATCAACCATGGCTAGTGGATTACGTTTTAAAGATAAAGTAGCTATTATAACTGGTGGATGTAGTGGTATTGGTAAAGGATGCGTCGAAGTTTTTGGTGAGAATTATCGCTTGCTAAAATGTTTATATCATTGACAAATGATATTTTTAAACATTTAAGCATATGGAATCATATCAGAAAACCGTTGACTTATATTTAAGTGCATAAATAACCTATATTTGTTGAAAGAGTGACATTAACGATCGGGGTGACTAAATATGACGAGCGGCCCGGGCCCTGTTTCTTACTAAAGTGAAGACACTAGTGCTGGCTAACAGCTTGACAGCTTGCTCGGGAACGGTGATTGAACTGTCCTCTGGATAATTCAAAATGGTTTACTGCCATGAACTGAGGGTAAACTATAACAGATATACCAACATCGACAATTTATTTTAATGATACAATCTCAATAGGGAGAGCGTCGGACAATTAATCTAGTGGGCGCTGGTTCTATCCTCAGCAATGCGTAATTTCTCCGCCATGGCAATTTGTTTTCGGACATTGAGTCTAATGGTCAATTGTCATTCACGTTTGATATTCTGAAATCATGTGTGTTTAATAGTCGGTTACTTGCGAAGAAATGGGTATTTCCTGGTAAGTTATCCAGGAAAGCTAGTAATCTCACATGATTTCTGTACCAGCGAATCAACTCAATAATATTCATTAGTTCTCTACGAAAGTCATATCAATGTATAACAATGAGTTCAAAACTGTGTTTCTTAATATTGATACAAAGTCGTACATAAAAACACAAACAAAAGCACAACATTTGAATTGCCAAAAGGCTTATTTTTGGGGGGCATTTAAAATTGCCTAGTAATTATTAGCGAGTGTAATGGTTTCAATGACATTTGATGGATATCATGGCGTAATAGTCTTGTGATTAGAAATGAAGATCTACTTATTATTTCTGATAAATTTAAAACAAAGAAGTGATTAAAATTTTTCTTTCAGTCGAAAATGGCGGAACAGTGGTCGTGTTTGATATAAACGGTAAGTTTTTAATGTGAATTCTCGAAAAGCAAAGCTGTACAAACATCGTTGTCAACTTAAGACACCAGTAAGATATGAGCCGCGTCATGACAAAACCAACATAATGGGTTTGCGACCAGCATGGATCCAGACCAGCCTGCGCATCCCCGCAGTCTGATCAGGATCCATGTTGTTCGCTTACAAACCCTATAACAAGTAGAGAAACTGACAGCAAACAGCATGGATCCTGATCAAACTGCACTGATCTCGCAAGAAGCGCATATTTTTGTCATTCGGTTCTGACATCAATTAAGTTTGGAACCTATACTCATAGTACGTCCACATATTTTATTTCAATAATAAAAACATAAATTTCTATACACAAATTCAAAAGTACCTTATTTTCATTTGGCTGTTTCTGGTAAAAAGAATTCAACTTACTGCCACAGTTAAAATTGTTTTTGTTGTACAATTGCATGTTTAAAGTTGTCAAGAAAAATATCATTTCAGATAAAGTTGGCAATACACTTAGTATACCAGGACCTGGAAATGTTTCATATATACACTGTGATGTTACTAACGAAGAAGAAATAAAGGTAAGTTAATGGAAACTTTATCATTAACAAGTGTACTGAATATAATCACGCTATTTACAGAATTTAGTCAATTTACAGATTATTGTAATTGTGTATTTGTGTTTTTCAGAAAAGTATTGACTGGACTGTTGAGAAGCACAGTAAAATTGATTGCCTTATTAACGACGTTGGAATACGTATGTTGAATTTTCTATAGTACTTATTTATTAAAATTCAAATACTTTAACTTAATCTACATGTATAAATTTCCAAGGAAGCAGGTAAAAAGGGAAGCTATGAGGCTTTCTAGTGATAAAATTTTGATTTTGTATATCGGAAAAACTAAACAACTTGTTTTATTATATTCTTATAAATGAAATATTGAGAAATATTGATAAATAAAAGGCGTATTTTCAATTTCCGTATTTTCACTGTAAAAAATATTAACTTTCATTGCGGTGAAACATATGTCCGTTTTCAGAAGTGTCTTGTCGGACTACGTTCAGTACACAAATTTAAAGGAAAGTCTTTTAGATTGTAATGTCAAAAAAGAGAAAAATGTATATAATAAACAGAAAATTCAAGTTTTTTTCTATAAAAACATGATTTATTTTTATCTTGTGGCATGAAAATGGTCACATTTCTTTCATGAAATTTTTATTTTCATACAACTCTATGGAAAAAATCATTTATTTATAGAAAAAAAAACTTGAATATCCTCTATAAACAGGGATGGGCAAATTTTGGTAAAGTTCTGGATACTTAAGAAAATTGAACCTATAATTTTTTGCATTAAAATTTAATAATTTTAGAAATAATAATAATAAAAAAAATCGCGGTAACACTATTGAATGCACACTCCTGATGAAATTAGAAGTGATTGATAAAAGAAGTAAAAACAATTCCATATACACAAGCGGACTTTTCTAAAATAATTGCAAGAAAACAAAAAAATTCCAAACACATCAAAAATATTAATTGCGCAACCATTTCTTTTCGGCAATTCAAAGGTTTTTGTAGATATAAGGTTGATATATCGGTAAGAATTTTACCAATTTATTGTATTGTTGGAACAGCAATACGGTATAATTTTTGTTCCCTGCCTACATTTACTACGGATTATCGTGTCAAGTGAAGGAACTTAAGATTATACCGTATTAATATGGTTCCCTGTCCACATTTACTACGGAACATAGTGTAAAGGGAAGGAACTCTAGATTATACCGTACATATCAGGTGTCCTGCCTACATTTACTACGGAACATAGTGTCAAGGGAAGGAACTCCAGATTATACCGTATATATCTAGTTCCCTGCCTACATTTACTACGGATTATCGTGTAAGGGGAAGGAACTCCAGATTATACCGTATTAATCTGGTTCCCTGCCTATATTTACTACGGAACATAGTGCGAAAGGAAGGCACTCTAAATTTTACCGGTATTTGTTTAATTTAAGATCATGGCAATCATCTGATTGACGAGTTAACTGTTGATAGTTTCCGGCAAATCCTCAATGTTAACGTCGTGAGCATGTTTGCAATGTGTAAGGTAGGTTAAAAATGTAATTGAGCCGTGTTACGACAAAGCTAACACAGTGCGTTTGCGACCAGCATGGATCCTGGTCAGACTGCGCGAATGCGCAGGTTGGTCTGGATCAATGCTGGTCGCAAGTACACTATGTTGGTTTTGTCGTGACGCGGCTCAATTAATGAATTTTTGTTTTAATATCTTACAGTTAAACACAATGAATATCTTACAGTTCAGAATGATTTTGTTTTGCTTTGTAAAAATTCGCTCAAAATTATATAAATTTGAAATCTCTTCAGCTTGTAGTTTAAAATGATTTTTTTTTAAATTTTAAAATTCTTCTGAAATATCTGTAAGAGGAAAATATGATTTGTATATTTCCTGTATAGAGAAACGAGCATGCATAAATTCATTGCTTAACGGATAAAGCCCTATATAAAGAAGCAGCCGACTATATTTTTCCTGAACAGTTTCTTCTGTTTCCATACAATATTTATAAATGTTACATAGCTGAGGAATTCTATGTTACAACTGTTTTCTGAATTGACCATGAAAGTGTATAAAGCTGCTGCTTGAAGTTCTTTTTTAATTTTGAAAAAGGAATACATGTATATTTTAATTTTAGGAAATGATTAACCCATCATATCGAAATATCTTCTCCATTTTATTAAAGACATTCACGTTTAAGCACTTCGTAAGTAATTATTGAAAATATCTACTACTACAACAACATAAGTATGATTATATTATGTTATTAACACTCATAATTGCGAAATTTAAAATGAATGTACTAGTATAGTGTAAGTAAGTATAAATAAACAGACCTTAAACGTGGTTAAAAAAATAAAGAAAAGTAAAAATAATAAAAGAAATGATTAACGAAATCATTGCTCTTAGAACCGACGTACAGAAGCTTAACGTTTCTTTGTAATAACATGTAGTTTGTTGACGTGTTTTAGTATGCATTACCTCATCTTCGGAAGACTAAAGGCAGTATTGTAAACATGTCGAGTTTTAGTGGGACAAATGCCCAGGCAGAAACACCAACTTATTGTTCCTCAAAGGTAACATTCTACGTTTCATGGATATAAGTTTGTATTCAATAATAAAAATATTGGCTTATTTTTAATAATGGACCAACACTGCAAAGGTCTTATGAATACTTTCTAGTTTTATTGGTAGGGAAAGATCTCACATTCAGCCTTTTTTGCCCATGTAAAAGCAACGAAAGTGATTAATTAATATTATTATTCTGTTTTCAAACCAAACCTCAGTCAAATGTACATGTTACTAGAAAATTATTATGAAAATGACGACGTCCTAAAGTCAAACGAAAAATAAAAGAACTGTTCTGTTCTGTTAAAGTTCATACTTGTAAAGACAGGTGAAATAAAAATAAAATGATAGAAAGAATTATCATATTGGTATTTTTATTATTTTTATTTCAAGTTTAATATAATATATACCATCGTCGGAATCCACGGTACACATTCCGTATAATTATACTTCATTTGATACATGTATACAGCAAACAGCCTTTGTTACAAAGCTTTGTTACGCATCCGCGCAGTCTGATCAGGATCCATGCTGTTCGCTTACACACCCTAATACAAATAGAGAAACTGATAGCCAACAGCATGGATTCTGATCAGACTACGCGGATGCGCAGGCTGGTCTTGATCCATGCTGGTCACAAAGCCATTATGTTGGTTTTGTCGTGACACGGCTCATTTCATGTTGCTTTCTTCTTCATCTTTTAAGGGTGTTATTATCCCGTTGTCAAAAGCGTTGGCTATTGACGAGGCCAAGAATGGTGTTAGAGTCAATACGTAAGTACACTAATTTTTCTTTTACGTACATGTATGATACTGATTTCAATTTTCATATGATTTGAGGGTATAACAGGGCAATGCAAGCAAAATGTAGGCATGTCATCCTACAAAGTGAAGTCGGGCCATGCCTGATCCAGATACATATGTCATAGATAAAGTCGGAGAAATGAAAATAGGAAATTTATGATAATGATAATGATAGTGGTTGTGAAGATGATAATGATGATGATGATAGTTGTGCTAATGATAACGATGGTGTTGTTGATGTTGAAAATGGTGGTGGTAGTGATAGTAGGGGTTGTGATGGTACAAGTGGTGATGATGATTGTAATGTTAATGCTGATTATGATGTTGCTGTTGATACTGCTGGCGGTTGTGTTGATGGTAATATTGATGATAGAATAATGATGATAATGATAATGATGGTGATAATGATGATGATGATAATGGAATAATGATGATGATGATGATAATAATAATAATAATAATAATAATAATAATAATAATGATAATGATGATAATGATGAATATGATGAACAAAATTATTTTTAATTTGTGAAGGGTATGCCCTGGACCAATAAATACACCATTGCTTCAAAAGTGGTTGGAACAAGAAGGGGACAAAGCAAAAATAGTGAAAAATTGGTCGGTACGTAACATATCAATTATTATAGCCTCCGTGACCAAGTGATTAAGGTCCTGTCAGAAACATAAGAAGCTTTCATGTGAGAAACCCATCCAGTTAATTTGCGGAAGATCGGTGGTTAACCAAGGTGCTCGCTGGAAGTCTGAAATATTGAATGCACGAAGTAGATCATCGTAGGACTATTACTGTGTTGGTGTTGAATATCTAATAAAAGAACAAACAATCAAGCAAACAAACACAGTTCTAAACCACTTGATATTTTGATATATTTTGCTTTCTTTTTTCTGTAATCGAAAGTAATACAGTTTCGTACTTGCTTGGTTGCTACGCACTAATTAAATTGAACGCTTGCCACATTGACAACGTGTTATGGCGTCAGATAATAAGGTGGTTGTTGGTCCCCGAACTTCAGATACGCCGATACTATCCAAATAGATTGTTTTCACTTATAATTTATCTTAGTTCAAATGCTTTACAAACTTTTAAAAGTAAAAGTTATACATTATTGTATGCCTAGAAAATTCAAACTGTCTGTATTTCAGTGGTCAAAAGTAAAGTATGCTGTTTTTTCATATCATAACTTTTCAGTTTGCTAAAGGTATTATTGTAATTGAATTCTAATAGGTTATTTTCATTTTATTTATATTTAGCAACTTGGACGATTTGGAGAGCCACGTGAAATAGGTTTGGCATGTCTATTTTTAGCAACAGAAGCCACTTTCACAACTGGTGCAAAACTTATGTGCACCGGTGGATGCGAAATCGGAATAGGTGTAAAATAGAACTTTTGACTTCTAATTGTTATTACTTGTTATTATAGTCAAGAATCCATTACTTTATTGATGAAATAGTTTTGAAAGTTAAGTACATGTATACAGTATAGGTGCAGTTGCGAGTACTCCTAGTAGAGAGTTTTTTTCAAGTAATGGGTTAATTTTCTATACATTTTGTATATTGCATGTCATTATTGAATGTATTTGTTATTAATGTACTTTATAAAATAGAGTTCTGGTTTTCATATTGTTCGATGTGAAATTTCACAAGGGTATATGTCACATTTTACTCGAAATTTACATTATATGCCATACAACATTATTTAATTTCGGTTGAAAAGAGGGTAAAAATCTTGTTCTAAAAACACTGTAAAATGTCTCATTGTAAAATCAAAATCATACCCAACCGGAATTAGGTATAGTATAATTATATAACATCAGATATTCAATCAGGGAGACAGATTATTATTTGTCAACCTTCTCCGTTGTTTCATTTGTTTCGTACATTTATGCTATATACTGTATTGCCATATATTAATGTCCTTATGGGCTATATGGCCTTATGGATTATTGAAAATAAACTTATCAAAACTTGTAACAATAAATGAATTTACCCTTTCCATATGTTGTTTTGTCACTCTGCCAATGCCTCCTTGTGAACGATCGTGTAATATAATACTCAGAAAACTGAAAATGTCAGATTCGGTTTAATTAATAAATTTAGGTTGTGTGCAGCAATTTTATGACAGAGTAATTACAGATCTTACTAAATAATATATGCATGAATTTTATGAATCATGTAGGAATCATTAATGACAGCCAAATTGTTATATTACATAAGTCCTTGAAATGTATATACCAAAAGGATTTTAAGTTAAATAAAAAAAAAATATCAACCAAGGAAACTTGAGTTGTTGAGTTATTGGTCAGAAACAGTCTTTACATACAAGGCCAATATGACATTGACCTTTGACCCTTAAATCAATAGGGGTTATCTACTGGCCAAGACCTATGAACCTGTGAATTTTGAAGGTAAAGGGCCTATGAGTTGGGATATTGATCAGAAAGCGTTGTTACCTATAAGGTCAAGGTATTCTTGACCTCTGACCATTTAACGCAAAAATTCCATTGATGTCATCTTTTGACCAAAAGCAATGCATCTGTTTAGCTTGAAGGTCAAAGGTCCATAGGCTGTCAAGTTACTGATAGAAAACCATTTTAAAATACAAGGTCAATGCAACATTGACCTTTGACACCTGGCCCCAAAGTCAATAGGGGTCATCTACTGGCCAAGACCAATGCACCTTTTGAGCGCCGACAGCCCATTGCTTGTCAAGTTTATTAAACGGAAATGATTTTATAAGGTCAATGCAACCTTGATGTTTGACCCTTTGACCCCAAAATCAACAGGGGTCATCTACTGGTCAAGTCAAATGCACCCTCCACGTTTGAAGTTCATAGGCTCATTCCAAAGTAAATAAGGGTCATCTGCTGGTCATAAACAATCAACATACCATGTTTGAAGTTCCTAGGCCTATGGGTTTTTTAGTTATTGACCGGAAACCGTTTTTACTTACAAGGTCAATGTGACCTTGACATTTGACCCCTTGACCTCAAAATCAAGAAAGGTTTTTTGCTGGTCATGAGCAATCATCATATTAGGTTTTTAGTTTCTAGGCCTAAGCATTCTTTAGTTATTGACCTACAAGGTCAATATCACCTCAAAATCAAAGGGGTCATTTGCTGGGTAAATAACTCATCAAATTATAAAAGTACCTATGTATATTTGTGTAAATCAATAACTTTTTGTATTAAATACTATTTTTAAGGGGTAGATAACTCTTGAAAGCATAAAAGTACACGTGTATATTTTTGGAAAAAATATCAACATAATCATTTATTGTATGACAGACTTTCCAATATGAATGTGTTTTTGTTTTATATAAAAATGTACATATAATACGTTCATGTATTACTCTTGAGGTTATAAAAGTATACATGCAAAATGTTTAAAATACTATTTTTAAGGGGAAGATAACTCTTGAAATTGTTAGAGTGCACATATATATTTGTGTAAGGTAATAACTTACTTAAAGATTGGTTTACAGAAATTCAATATGTTATAACATAGCATAAGAAGTAAAATATACATTGTATACATTTAGTATCAGGGGAACAATTTTTTTGCTTATGGTGTAACTTACTTTACTAGTATGTTGGTTCATTTTATATTGTTAAGATACCAACAAAAATATAATAATGTACAATTTTTTTTATATAAATACATATTTAAAACACATGATAATAAACATTATTAAACAGGCAATTTATTTGTGTTAAAACGATAACATTTAATGCATATACTGCTATTTATGATAAAATGTGTACAAGTATGTAGTTGTGACAAGTAATTATATGTTTTCTAGAATATATAAATAACAAAATAAAATTAAATTTAACATTTAAAACACAAATGTAAATATCACAGAATTATCAAAATATCACTGAATATCTTCTATGCATTCTAAATTGATATGAAAGGTGACTTCTAGCACTTCCGGTACGATCATGTAGACGCTCGCATAAAAAGTGAGTACTCTGTCAAACGTTTATCGGATACCGATTTTATTCCCATGCATTTTTCTTGAGGGAGGGGGGAGCATATTCAAATGATGGCACCGGTCAATATTTTTAATAACTAAGACTTGGTGTTTTGAAGGTACTGGAAACTTCTGATATTTCTCTGTCATTGTAATTCTTTCTTGTTTGTGTGTAGGAAATGAGAAGTATTTTTGGGTTTTTACCCGAAACTAAGCATTTTGGTAGCTTTGTATTTATTTCTTACTCTCCGAATGGAGGTGTAAAAGCTAAAAATGAAGGTTTGACAGTTGGCGCGTAACAAGTAAGACATTTCGGATAAATTTAAACGTATGACAGACACTTTAATGGTTATTTTTGAAGCTGCCATAGCTTGCATTGCGTGTTAGTGATATTTTTAAAGGAGTCGGACGGATTCTGGAGTATGCTGCACCTTCATGAAGATTGCCCATATTGGTATATTTCAAGTGTGATTTTAGCTGGGTGGGGGTAAATATAAATTGCTCAGTCATTTTTTAAGGAACAATGCATGCAAACTATTATTTTCTTCAATATGTCATATATTATTGAATATTTGCTGTGCAACTGGTTATCTGCCTGTGAAACAGATTTTGAAATATTTGGAATTGTGTTTCTGGTCACACTGAAACACAAAATTGTTCATTTTTAGGTCCCCTGCCCCCTTGTTTACTGGTGGTGGTGATAACGGTGGTTTATCTAAATTGGTCTCTTAAATAATATGAGCACCGCTTGCATCTGTATACGCCACCGGACCAGCACTCGTATCTTTGTAAATTGGACTGTTGATAAACAAAAATAAATAAATGATAGAGAAAATTGGTATACAAAAGGATCATTTTCCAAATAAAAGAGGTTTGTATTTTAAAAGCAATTAATCAGAAAGTAGTGGGCCAGATGAATATATTAATTATTTTTTATATATGGCAAACATATATTATTACCTTTCTTATTGTCGTTATTTAATAAAATATTTACTTAGGGATATTTTACTGAAAGTTGGTCAGAGGGATGTGTTGTTCCATTACATTTTAAAAGGCAATATTAATGATGAAAGCAATTATAGAGGAATAACACTGTTAAGTACCTTAGGGAAATTATTTACGCGGATATTGAATAATAGGTTAACAGAATGGGCGGAAAAATACGGTGTTTTTGTTGAGGCGCAATCGGGATTTAGGTCAAAAATGGGTACAGTTTTGTACTTCATAGTCTTATTAGTCATACATGTATGTCAAATAACGGGAAACAACTTTTTGTGCATTTATTAATTTTAGCAAAGCTCAGAGATAATTTATGGTTAAAGATGATAAATTAAGGTATTCGTGGAAACATGTTAAACATCATTATATCAATGTATTCAGCAGTTAAATCTAGAGTTAAATATTATAACCATATAAGTGATCAATTTCAATGTTTCTTTTTTTTTTTAAACTACGTTTAAGGCCCGTTTATTTAAGAAAAATAAAACAATACAAGAATACAAACCATGATAAATTTAGAATCTTCATTGATATCTAAATAATTTAAAATAACTTAATGTTGTTATGTTTTTAGTCAGAATGTATAAAACATTTTAAAAAATTAAAGGGATATTCAGTCAAAATTATGACAAAAATATTAAAATGATCTTATGTACTCAAATCACGTTAAAATGACTTTTCTTGAAGTTTCAGCATGAATTTCTGTTTAAATACTATATATTTTAGGTTTGAAGCGTAAATATATCTATATATTTTGAACAAAATTTAGACGCCAATAGAATCACCAAATAGTTTTAAAACAAGTCCGGTGACTAGAACAGACCCTTGAAGTTACAATAACAGATATTGTGGATATTGTATGATTGAAGCAAGCCTAAATCATGCATTTGACATTTTCTTTAACGTTTCCAGAGTTCATTTTGACAACTATTGTTAAATGCTAGCGCTCTAACCTGACCCACGCGGGTCAAGTTAGGAAACCACCATTTAATTCTTTATATGGAGAAAAGTTGTGTTCCTTTGACTGTCTAATATACTTATTTTGAGGGCATTTACAGAATAATGAATGAAAAATTCAAAACTAAGAAATGAAAATTTTGCCTGTGTCTCCCTTTAAGAGGTTCATTCATTTTCAAAATTACACAAGAAAAGGAGCAAAAGTTGAAAAGAAAAGATTAAATAAACTGCTTTAGTAGCATTTTTTGCTCTGCATGTACTAATTAGAAATAAAACAATTCAATTAGATTTATCCAGCAATTTTCAAATTCTTCTAATCTATCATTTTGTAAAGTAACAAATCTTTCAATTTCTAATCTGTTTAAAAAAATATTTTGAAGATACATTTGTACTTATATCTGGAGTTTTTTTTTAATTTACTGGTATAAATGTAATATTTTGAAAACAAAAAAA